GACACCAACAAAGCGTCTGCAAACCAATACGACCGACGAAGTGTCTGGCAGTATTGAGGACTTATTTTTAACTATAAATTCTAAAATATACTTAAAAATCAGCTTGGAGAATTTACGTAAGATAAATAACTTGTAACCAAGCTAGTAGGCAGGACCGCGATCGTAGTACATACTAACACTACTCAATCATACACATTTCGTTCGCCAGAAAATACATGACATCTGGTGGCCCTGCGATCTTGCTATACAGTCTTTACACTTAAAATGGACCCTGACATTAGTTATAGATATTAGTTAAGTCGACTGCATAGCTCCCTGGCTACTGGCTAAACGTAGTGATTACATTCTCTTTGACTGGTCTAGCCAGCACCTGGACATGTAATCCTGAATGGCAGCGGCGAAAAATAAAATTTTGTGACATTTTATTTACACGTTTTTAAGACTTCATTATTTTTAGAACATTCCTAAACGAATTAAAAAATGCTCACATTTTGTAATGTCAACTTGAGACATTTAAGGCATAACATGGTAATCTATAATGTATGACACATAAACATGTTTTATTAATTTCCCGCTTCAAATACTATAATATATATACTATATCACCTAACTAATAAATGCTCAGTCTATATTGTTCAAAAAAGTGTGCGCCGAAATGGGTAGTCAATACAAAAAGGTTATCACAATCACAAAATCATAACCGATAGATATAATACCGAAATATTAAACAAAAATAATAATTTTGAACAAAAAAAATCGACTTCAAACAGAAAACTAAAAAACACATTGTCAACGCCTATAACATTTGAAGATTGTCCTCGATTTTTCTGGGATGCCATCATCAGATCTGGGTTTCCTTATCATGGTACCACCCTTAGGATATCTCCTTTCCAACAAAAAAAGAATCATCAAAATCGGTGCATAAATGACGAAGTTATCCCCGAACACACATAAAAAAATAAAAATATATACAGTCGAATTGAGAAACCTCCTCCTTTTCTGAAGTCGGGTAAAAATTAATAAAACTGTGGAACAATAATTTCATTCATCTCATTCATAGTGAAAGTTGTCAATGAAATAATTAAAATATTTCAATAGTGTCAATCTTTGTAAAAGTTTAGGAACCCCTGTTTAAGTAGATATGACTTTAACGTTACGGAAACTCGGAAGCATATTACATACCTGTATTAGTCGCATTTTACTGATGTTTTTTAAAGTATCGTTGTCGTTGTGTGCACATTTAATTATTACATTATGCGAAACTAAAATACCTGCATTCTGCAACTTTTGGCAACATTTCTAAGAAATGTCGTGTAATCTTGATTTAAGCGCACAGTTAACAGCTAAATAACGTTACATTAATGCTTAAGAATAAATTATCCACAACCGGCTCTCAATTCTAAAAACCTATTTCACAACCTGTATACTTATATACGTTTACATTGATGCAATTTATATTTAAGAATTTTTTATTATTCATACATTTATAACAGGTTTTCTGTTATAATATACCAAAATGATAAATCAGATAAACTTATAAAATGACGTTCGATTTTTATGAAAATTTTATTTATAGTTTTTTGACAGTCATAAGAGCTTAAAATAAGCCTGACGAGGAAGACCAGCGCCAACCAACTTATAAGGCCTTCGACTTGAATTCAAAGTATATCGGAACACCGATAGTATCCCAAAATCAAAATCAAATCATTTATTAATCGAAATAAGAAACATACATCTAATCTATCGATAGTATTTTTTTTTTATCTACCACCGTTTCGTAATGAGTTTCCTCTAACGGAGAAGAAACAGGCGAAAGAAACTCCGTAGGTATCTTTTTTTTTGTCATTTTTTTTTCACAAACAAAAATACATTGTTATAGAGTACATTTTTTTTATTTAGAAACGGCTTAGGAGCGATAATCTCATCCCAGAGGTTATGCAGATATATGCCATCTGCATAGGACGCCCTACTGTAAGACGTAGAGCCTTCGCACACTACCCACGGGCAGTTATGAAAATGAAAGATGGGCCCCATGACCGTCGTTGCAACCTGAAAAGGCAGAATGTTTAGAGGAAAATCTAGTTCCAATGTACGCCATTACGCGAACACGTCACATTTGTAAGAGTTTGACCGCGTTTTCGATCTTACCATCAACAGACGTTTTAATTTAGTGGATAATCTGAGGAGGTGAATGACATTAATGAAAACTTAAACCAAAGTCGAACCAAAGCCCAGGTAAGATCAGTAACAAAGTGTTGCCCTCCCTACTCCACTTCTATGGAGAGCAATGAAGAGCATTTTCAATGCACTTCTCTCCACCTGTTCCTGCCTTTGCTTCTTGCTCTACACGAGCGACATGCCAAAAGACCCACAAATCAATATCGTGCTTTTCGCATGTGTGGGTGGTATTTTGGAAATAACAATAAAAAAATGTTTCGAAGACATGTGAAGTCCGCCAATCCGCAGTGGAGCCGCGAGAGGACTGTGCCCTAATACCTCTGTAGAGAGGAGGCCTTTGCCTAGTAGTGGGACATATATAGGCATAACTAGCATATTAGTTTTTCTCGGTAGGATACAACCCCATGGCTTCGGTTACACTAATTTAATCGAAATAGACATCGATATTTCAACTTACGCAACGATAAATATGCAACAGTGTCAGAATGAATAGAAACAACGTGATATTGTCTGCTCAGCTATTTTAATAACATTAATTATTCAAGAATGTGCTTTGCGTTTTCTCCCACCTTCTTCGTAACTATCGTCCGTATATCGGGCGTGATATCTTGTCGGATACAAACCGTCATGATATTCGTACGTTCGACTCTTAGATTTATTTTTATCCTTAGACTTTTTATCTTCTTCGTTATGAGGTCTATGATGGCGGCGTGTATCCTCATAGCTTGAAAATCTATCCCTGCTCTTTGTTGAGGTTTCCGGAATATCTTCCTTAATAGGCACAAAGGGATATTTCCAATCCATATTTGTCGTGGAACTGGACGTAAAATAATTATGACTTTTTTGAGTTCTACTTTTTCTAAGTTCCCTTGGTTGAGGAGTACTGTCTCTTTCCAATTTTACAGTGGTGCTTGGTTCCTCGTCTCTGTATTTCTCAGGAGTAGCTCTTCTTATTCTCAAGATTGTTTCATCTCTTTCCCATGAGCTGTTGCCGTCTCCGGGTCTGTGCTTCGTGTTTTTGAATGCGTAAGCATTTTCATGTATTTCTGTTTCGCTACATTCTCGCTCAGAGCTATCCTCCTTTTCCGTTTTTATTGATTTACCCGTCCCTTCAGTTGTGATATTTTGATAACGAAACTTGGAGCTGTTATCTTGTCTAGTTTCTTTTATTCTATTTCTCTTCATTGATGGATCACGCTCTTCAGATGTGCGCGTCCTAAGACTTTTGTTGTTATAATCATTTCCATCCGTTTCAGTAGGCTTCCTCGCCCCAATATATCTGTCCCTCTTGTATCTAGGTTGATAATCAGAGTCTCTAGTTTTACTTTCTTCTCTTATTCGTCTTCTACTGGGTGTATTCTTGTGTTCTCACATTCGCTCTTAAATTGGACGTGGGGGTCAGAAATAAATTTAAAAGTAATTTGGCAATTATCCTGAGATAAGGGGCAGTAACTTTAAGCATGAACACCTGTGTTTTGATGACGTCGCGCAGGACATCGGAGTACTTGAGCGTTTTGGCCGCGACGCGATACTTCGCCCGGCGCCGCTTCATGTCTCGGAGCTCCGCCAATATTTCCGCTCGGGACTTGCTCCTCTTAGCCGGATCGACATTCCCGGCCCTGTGCGAGCAAAGGATTACTCCTAAACATTCATGTACACCGTGTGGAAGGAATTCCCTTCATGGCGAAACGTTCCGGGTACATCAAATTTTGCAATAATTGCTCATAATGATCACGAAACTCATAAATGTTTTTTATAATATAAGTATTTGCATATTCACTCAATACATAGAGAATAGAGATGTATCGTAAAGCAAGCCTTGAGTAAGAGAATGGACGAAATAAATACGATGTCTCTACTTTTCTATTTCCTAGATGACTTTAAACCGGGAACGAACATAACATTTTCAGACTACGATTTTGATTTTTTAATTGCTGTAAAGGTCAGGAGAAAATGTGACCACACATGCTAAATTGCTGAGCGTCAGGCCTTAAGTTCAAATCCCAAATCATCCAAATCTCACCCAAAATAACATTCTAGTAAATACAATTATACACTTGATCTGCATCAGTGACAGGCTTTTTTTCTTAATGTGAGAAGATGGCAATGGAGCAGGCGGTTCACCTGTTCTTAACTGATAACCACCGCGCATTGACATTTCAACACCCGTAGGGTTGCAAATGCATTACCACCTTTTAATAAATCGGGCCCCGGCTACCACAATCACCAGACGTGACGCAGAAATATAACACACGTAAATTTCGCGCGAACAAACACCCAGATGCGTAACAACTATTTGTGGGTCACACAAATACTTGTCCCGCGTGGAAATCGAAGCCACTACTCCCGACGCCGAAGCCAGATAAACATCCACAGATTGATAAAAATATCATTAAGATAAAATAAAGATTATTTAATGTGAAAAAAGTTAGTAACTAGGAGGGAAATAAAGAGGAAGCTATAAAATAATTTAAACTAATCCTATTACTGCCTGTTACTAAAACATTTATATGTATACACATTCACATATTAAATCTTCAAACAATAATGTTTCTCGTTTTTGTAATATTTCTTTTTATGTTTTTATAGTAGGCAATAAAGCTGGGCAATATAATTGCTAAAAGCAATAACATGTACCCTTACCCTATATTTTAAACAATAATCTTATTAAAAATGAACTTGATACTGTACATTTTAACTAGATAAATTTATTGCATATAATTAACAGAGAAAAAACGGGACATGCTACTAAAAATGGGTTCACATAGTTGCATATTACATCTATATAAAGGATACATATATGAAAAAAACATCTCTTTTCAATGCCTGCGGAAGAACATGCATTTAAATTCTGAAAATTGAAAAAACAAAATATCAACTTCATTAATGCAACATTCAGTTTTGTACTGTAGAAAAGTAGTATAAAGGTCATACCTTTGAATAATGGGTCGGAACATGATGCATTGTTTATTATTGTTATGACGGCTTGCTTATCTGCAAAAAAACATCAATTATTAAAAATTAATAAAAAAAAATCATTGCACTATCCTCTTCGACTATATAGTAATCAGTTCCTTCCACTCTTCTTGAAGATGCCAAACATCCTTTAAAATTTACAAAAGGTAACCAAACTACCACAAAAGGTAACTACCACAAATTATTACCTACATTACAAAATTTTTAAACTAAGCTTAAAGGAAACATATCTATGGAATAATCCCATAGTCAAAATATTTTTATATGAGAAGGCGGCGTACATAACACAAAACACAAAAGTGGTCATCACTAACCATGAACAGGTGTAAACCATGTTTGACGGTGGTAGGGCCACGCAGCAGCGTAATATTATTTAATAATGACGTACCAAATTTAATGAGAGTGTTAGCATTTATATCCAATGGGTCAGGCAGCAATAGATCATCTTTATCATAACCATGGGATTTCAAGAAGCACTGCATTTCATGAAATTCCTTCCTATCTGGAGGCAGTTTATGACTCTTGTCATAACTGCAAGTTGCTTTTGGTACATCCTTAAACAAACAAATTTATTTGTTTTTCCAAAAACATTTAAAATAATGTGAATATATCCCAACCATATAATATATCCCAACCACAATTTCTTAAAAACAATCTCCATTTTAAATTTTCATTTGAAGAAGCTTTTATTAAAAATTTACATACTCACAAGCAGTTAAAATTAACGAAAAAAATTTTCAAATTAAGTGAAATTTCGAGCATACTTGAATGCCTAATTATATCCATAAAAGAATGGAATAAAAACTGCATAGTCAATTTCATTCAAACTTTAGAAAAATATAGTATCAGTACAAAATCAGCAGTGCAAGTGCTTTATTGTCAATCTTCCCAAAGGTATTCAGTTTTTTTTGGCAACTATACTTTTTTATATATTTTTATGTGTTTATAAAAGTTTAAATGAAACTATTTTATGGATTTTATATGTTTTAATTTGATAGTTCATGGTTACAGGACAAGGTCTGTCCTTCATATGTTTCAATAGTTTCATATTACCATATTTGTGTAAAATCAAGAAATCAATATATTCACATATTTATTTTGATAAGCACAAATAAAATACTACAGATTTGTTTATGAAAATAAGTCTTGAGATTCTTTTACAAATTGTTAACTTCATTCTCTATACAATGCTAAAAAAATCATTTAAACCAAAGTTGCATTCTATTGATTACTCAATTAAATGAAATATTTCATTATTATACATTAACATAATAACATTTTTAGTTTTCACCAGTTTAAGCCCTACACTACTATATAAATCACAACATCCACTCTACATGATTTACTACAATATTAATACAACAAATATGTCCAGCAACAGTAAAATTAATATGCATGAGTCTAGGGAATATATTGCCCAATATGCATGTTGTTTATCGCCACAAGAATATTATGCCGTATAGAAGGAACATACAGCAATACCCTTTATGTGGTACAACTATGAATTGAAAAGTAATTTAAATATTACCTAGCTAGATAACTGTCTAAAATTGCGCCAAGTAAGATTGTAGAATTACTTTTGCTCACTTTCATTACCAGCTTCCTAACATAACAAGGAAATCGATAATGAGAGATACTGTTTAAAGAATTTTTAAAACACAACAATTACAGTAACAATATATACAGTAAAAATGTCAAAATAAAAAATATATATATATGTACCTCCAATAATCGTCTTTTATCCCATTTTAAGCCCTGTAATATTACTGACACTTCTTTATCGATTCCTTCAATGAAGCAATGTATTTCTGATAATTCTTTTAGCCTCTTTTCCATTTTGACAATTTATAATAATAAGTTTAAAACATAGGAAGAATAAACTGTAACCTATATAGAGTAGTCAAACATAGTGGCTAGAGGCTATATTCTCTTCTCTTTAGTACTAATAGTATTATAAATATAATGTAACATACATCATTATTCTATTAATTTAAGAAATCTTATCATACAATTTATTTAGGATACAATTACAAACACAAAAATAGCTGCTTTTTTTTTGGATGTTCCTGTAATGTCACTGTCAGTGTCACATCATATCAACTTATCAATACATTGAATAGGTACAGAATAAAAAGCAAATAAGTCAATACCTACTAGTCCAGATTATTACTTTTAATTAAGTTATATTTTTGGAGTATAGTTTGCTATTAGCCCGATGGCTTTAAGTTATTACAAATTTATTTTATCAGCTTGAATTGTGCCTTGTTAAGGTGTTTCTTCATTATTTTGAGCATAAGAAAGGTAAAATTATAAGGTAAATTCACTGCTACGAGTGCCAAATAGGCTCAATAAAATCATACGAGAATACTTGCCGAACCGTGGCACAGTGGTTCGTCTCCATACTATTATTACATAAATTGCCGGACATAACAGCTATAAAAATCAAAATATTTTCTTTCAAAATACTAAAAAAAACATCGCATTCTACTAAATATTGATGTCTACAGTAATTAGTAGAACTCGAAGTTTTTTTTCGTGATGCTGGAGCTCCTCTGGGGTTCATCATGAGGGGTTTATAGGTACGCGGACGACAGCTCAGTTGTGAGAAATACCAACCGTGTTTTTAGGTCAGTAGACATCACATCCAGTCTGAAATAGAGACCATAGTAGAGCGTTTGAATCTTACTGAATGGGGCGATGCCAATCTTGTGAGATTCAACACCTCCAAAACGCAAGCGTGTCTTTTTTTTGGCAAAAAGGAGCCTCTTCACCTTGGCTCCTACTTTCCAGAATGTGTCCTTGGAGTATACCGACCGCCTTCAGTTGTTGGGAGTCGAAATATTCTCGTACCACAACTTTGGGTGGTTCATTGAGTCAAAGCCAGGGCAGCTGCAAGGAATTTAGGCGTCCTTGTTAGGTGTGATGGTATTTCACGCCGGGACAACTTGTTATTCTATACAAATCTCAAGTCCGATCGTCTGTGGAGTACTGTTGCCATATCTGAGCTGGGGCTGTAGAATGCCATCTGGCTGCCTTGGACTCATTGGAGAGACGTACGGAAAGGCTCATTGATGACCGTTACTTGGTTAAAACCAACCTCACTAGCCTTGAGCACAGGCGCAGAGTAGCCAGCCTCTCGGTTTTCTACAGGATGCTTTTTGGAGAGTGTGCGTTGGAGTTGCATGATCTAATTCCTCCCGCCCTTTTCCATCCTCGGACAACTAGGCGTTTGGCGGGGCTCCACCCGTATGCTGTCGACTTTACACGCACAAGAACAAAACGATTCACATCGTCATTTATCATCCGCACAGGTAAGGAATGGAACAAGCTGAAGGGAAAGACGGACGCCAGTCTTTCCGTCCGATTACAACGTTTTCATGGCAAGGTTTTTGCTGAGCTAGCGTGCTTATCATCAACGACTGCATTACCACTTACCACCAGGTGGGATGGCAGTCAAATGCTGGTCAGTTTTGAAATAAAAAAAAGTTAAGAGCAAAATAAATTTACAAATAACAACAAATTTTTCGATCTATTAAATGTCCCACTGCTAAGCAAAGGCATCCTCTAGCAGAAGGTATTAGGGCATAATCCACCACGCGGCCCACTGAGGATTGACGGCTTTAACATATTCACTTTATTTATTTACCTGTAATTATTTAGAAATATACAGGTTTAGCCCGTTCCATAGCTCGCTGCGCGACTTTGAGCTTCCTCATACGGCCAGCAGTGAAGGACCAAGTCTCGGTTCCGTAGGTCATCACTGGCAACACACATTGATTGAAGACTTTAGTCTTCAAACATTGAGGTATATTCGACGAGAAGATTTTCCGAAGTTTCGGTATTTCTCTGCGTGATAGACTTCGTAACGAAGACATCCGCAGTAGAACCAAGGTAACCGACATAGCTCAGAGGATTAGCAAGCTGAAGTGGCGATGGGCCGGCCATATAGCTCGTAGAACCGATAACCGTGGGGGAAGAAAGGTTCTCGAGTGGCAGCCTCGTACTGGCCATCGCAGTGTAGGACGACCCCCCACTAGATGGAGTGACGACCTGTGCAAATGTGCGGGAAGTCGATGGATGCAGGTGGCTCAGGATCGTACTTCGTGGCAGTCTATGGGGGAGGCCTATGTTCAGCAGTGGACTCAAACAGGCTGAAATGATGATGATGCAGGTTTCCTCAAGATGTTTTCCTTCACCGCTGAGGACGTGATAATTCTTAAAATTTAACAATCATTGGTACCGGCACCGGGGATCGAATTCAGGTTGCTTGAATGTATTGAATTAAAAAATGATTTTTGATGAATGGCAATGATTGCAATAGCGATTTTGTTTGACAGTTTCTTCGTCTTCATCAATTATTGCGATACATACCTAATTTTTTTTAATCTGTTTTTCTCTGCAGGACGTGTGCTTTTCGAGAAAAGAGAACCATATGATTCTTTGCAGAAAATGGCAGATTCTGAGGTAATTTAGGGCCTATATGGATAATTAACGTATGCAATATGTAGGCCAATATGGAAACATATGATCTTTTTTCAGGTGTTGAAAAAATTAAAGGATATACCATTTAAAATCCAGACCGCAAGTTTGAAAGGTAGACGTGAAGTAATTGAAGAAATTCAAAATGTATTATCTACACCAGGTAATTTTCTATGTAATGAATTAGTAATATAAATAAGGATAATATATGTTTGATATATACATATTACATAGATACTTTGTAGAGCTAGAGTGAAGTTATTGGTTATAGGTTGTCTATCGCCTAGATTTATTGATTCATTACACGGGTGTATCAAGTAACTGCTTGTACTAAAGTGAATACAGCACTATTTTGTAAAATACCAATGAAGCACTTAACTCTACAATCTGCTGTAATATTTAGAAATACATAAGCAGAGTAAAATTAAGTAACCTAATAGCATTCACTGATTACTCCATTTATATTGTCCCTGAATTTATTTTGTAAAGATTATTTTTTTTATTCTCTTGTTTAATATATTTTGAGTGATATTGTATATAGAGAATGTTGGAAGTCTGTCATTTATTTATTTTGTTTATTTATTTATTTATCAGCAACAAAGTACACACCGTAACAGAATAAATGAACAAGGATTGCAAAAAATTGATGGTACCTTAATTTTGGTAAACTATTTTTTAACAGACAGTAGAGACAAAACTAAAAAATTTTTACAAAACTAAAGGTGAAATACGAACATTACAATAATATAAGCATTAAACTAAAATACAGTAAAAATAGAAAGAAAAAAAAAAACAGTATATAAAGTATGTTACTACAAAGAAAAGTTACAATAAAAAAAATTTATGAATTGAATGGTGAAGATATTAACAATTTATAAAAAGATTATTGGGACTTAAGTATAATTTTATTGAATATCTGAATTTAGATATATTGTTGCCAAAAATATTCATTTCTGTTTCCTTATTTAATAAGTTGAAGGGTTTAATTAATCTATTAATAGGAGCATGATGAGAAAATGTTTTTTATCTAAGATTTAGGCTTGGGTGATATACATATCATGCTTTAATATTGTATCAGGTATAACGGAACCAGCAGTGAGGTTCATATGCCGCGTGCTAACCCTAACATTACACCGCTACCAAGACACCACTTCCCAGTTTTATGTCAAAAGTCTTTTGGCATATCTCACTGCCAAGCACCGTGAATGGACTCTACGAAATTTTCTGCCATTATTAATGGAAATATCCGAGACTTTAAAAAATACAGCCACATCGTGAGTATATACTTACTTGTTCTTGTCATACAATATTTAGAAATTAAACTTGCTAAAGTACTCCTATTTATGCACTAACACTCAGAAACACACACAAATGCTTGAACAAACCTATCATAAAAGAATGAGGATATTTTTTTTGTATTTTTAATCCTAGAATTTATGGCAGAATAATTACAATTTGTTCATTCAAATTGTTTTAATTGTTTTTAGTTACGTTATCTTTATTTGTTTTGTTATTTTTATACATTTATTCAAGAAACCTAGGTACACTCAGTCTATTTGTATCTAATTGTTCTAAAAAAAATTATTACTTACAGCAGGTAGGTTTAGCATAAAAAAAATTGAATTGTAAACATTCTTGAAATTAAGGCATCATAAAAATTAAGCATAATGAAGGATATATATCTTGATCAAAATAAAACAAAATGAATCTAGAGTTTCTATAACAATTTTATGCAAATGGCAGTTTATACCAGTACTTATGATTTAGGTTACATTAAAAAATATAAAACTAAGCACTTCATATTTTAGATTATGTTGCTTAATCTTTTTGTATGTTTCTTTTTTAGTAAAAGCTTATGTCAAAGTGCCTTGTTTGCATTGCGCTGGTCCACCGTCCTTACAGAGGGATCCTTGAAAAATATAGAAGAAGATGGAATTGATTACAAATCTTTGGTATTATCACAAGCTAACTTGTTGGCTGCTGTTACTGCTTTTGGGAACAAGACAAAAAACAATAAAGCCTTTTCTATGGTATGTTAATATACTTTAATTGCCTCCGCTTTCTTAGTTCACTGCTTACATATTGCTTATCTATAATGATTGTTTGTTGCATATAAAATTATATACCAATGTAATATTGACTGATTTTTTAAACTCCTATTTATATGTATATTTATATATGCCTATTTTGACCGCCGCAGCAGGTCATGAGTGCAATTCTTGAACTAATTTTAAATATAACTTATATACTTATGTTGTTGCTATATAGTCAAGCTTCAACAAGTTATGTTTTCCTTTAACAGGAGGAGCTTGATTACATCTTAATATTTAATTTAAGAAAGTTTTGTGTACCCTTTGTTGAAGTTCCTAAGCATTTATTAAATAAATAACAACTAAATAAGTTTTAAATCATTTACTGGCCAGAGCTAGTAGAGTTGAAGACACATGGAAATTTACTAAAAATAACAGCCCTGTGAGAGCATGGGTCAATGTAATTTTACTGTGAATACTTCTAGAAATCTTGATAAGGCTTGCCTAATTTATGTGCACTGACTGATTTTTGTTTCTTAAAATCTGAACAACATGTTCTCAGCTGCACACATCCTGGGTGGCAATTGGAAAACAGAAGGTAACCAAATGGCTAGATGTACTCATTTTGGTGCCTGCGGATTCCGGACCACAGGTGTGCGTCATGTTTGCAGCGCTCTGCAGGCATTTCAAACAAACTGGGGAAGAGGATCTCATCAAATCACATAAAGTAATTCTAAGTATTCAATGAATTTTTTAATATATTTTATTTTAATACATTGCACTTGGTGAAGCAATATTGCATTATTATTATAATATTATCATAGGAGAGATCTATGCCCAGCAGTGGACAACCAAACGCTGATGATGCTGATGATTAGTATTATATCCATATAATTAAACCACTTTTTTATAAATGATTTTTTTTATGTTTGGATTTCAAACTATCTTGTCTTTGACTGGGTATTAATCAGTCATTAAGAAATCACAACAATGTTAAGAGATAAGGTGTTAAGATTTTCATCTGTGTGGCAATGAGTCGTTTAGCTTAGTGGCGTCAGGCCGAGTATGCCGAAGATGTGGGTTCGATTCCCACAGCGGCGACAATCTTTTCGTACTTTTTCTACAAATTTTAATGTTTAATCTTAAGTGCAGAGATTAGCACTATAAAAAAAATTTAATTTCTAATATGTGCTTGTTTTCAACAGGCTAAAATGCTTGAGAGCTTCATCAAGAGCCTGATCAGCGTTAAAAGCCGCCCCAACGCGAACTACATAACTGCATGTGCGGACCTTCTGCAACTGCTGAACAAGTCCGACGTCCAAGAGACCCTGCTACCTGCTCTGCAGAAAGCGATGCTCCGCAGCCCAGAGACCATAATACAAGCAGTCGGAGAAGTCTTCGCAAATCTAAAGATCAACGTTGATGGAAATGTGGTTGATATAGGAAAGAGTTTGATAGGTAAGTTTATACATGCAATTGTTATAAACACCCTGATAATCTAGTTTTCGTCTAGATATAGTCCATATCTAGACTTGGATAAGGTGCCAATTTCCTAAGGTGGTTCACACTAATGTTATTTGATAACCGCCGCCCATGGAGTTGCATTGCAAATATGTTACAAATAAAAAAAAATGGGTCCGGTTATCACTCACTAGTTTACTGTTAATGTTGTTATTTAACAAAAAAGTGTTTGTGTTTGTCCAGTTAATCTACACTCGAAGGATGCATGGGCTCGAGCTGAGGCCAACAGGGCCCTGACCAGCCTGGCGCGGCGCTGCTCAGACCTGGCGTCAGCGCGCCAGCTGCTGGCTAGCACCTTTGCTGAGTACCACGGCGCGAGCGGGAAGCTCACTTCCAGTGAGGACAAGATGGCTGTACTGCAGGTGGAGCAGACTGCATTTTGTTTTGTTTGCTGATTGTATTAATTGAGTCCTTTGTGTTTATCTGTGGATTAATGTTTGCTTAACCTTCTGTGACGCTAGATTATTGTCTAGTGCAAGAAAATCTTTCATTAAACAAACTTAAAGGTAAATTTATGAAAAATACTATTTTATGCAAGTACATTATATGTTTGCACACTCAATTGGCGTAGTGATAAGTGAACCTGTCCCTTGCATCACATGGGTTTAATTCTCAATATTGGAAAAACATTATGAACAATGTATGTCTTTTGAACAATGAGTTGTGCACACTAGGAGGTTTATAAATAAGACTACACTGTATACTGATCTGTTGCTGGTTATATTGATGTAAAAATTTTGGTGACCTTATTTACTCCCAAGTGACAAATGATAGCGTGATCTATATCGATCGCAACGCCAGCAAGTGTTGGGCGGACAGCTGCAAGCTTGATGTACATACAATATGATAAACATTGTTTTCATAGTCTCTTCTACATGTACTAAAATTCATATTTATTTACAAAAGAAAAGTATGTTCAAGGTTTGTATGGATTAATATTTGTAGAAGAAATGGACGAATAGTTTTTCGCCGTTGTGATTATAGTATATAGTAGGATGAAGGTTTTTATTGTGTAAATGATATTAGAGTTTAAGTTTACAGTTGAATTGAAACATTACCGACGGCACAGGGCGCGGGCGCGCTGAGCTCGCTGGCGGTGGGCGAGGCGGAGGCGGCGGCGCTGTTCGAGGAGGCGGCCGCGCAGGTGCGCCGCGTGCTGGACAGCGAGTCCCACGAGCGCACGCTCTGCGCCGCGCTCGACGTGCTGCAGCGCTGGACGCCCGCCGCCGGCGGACCGCTAGCCGACTCGATATACGACATTTTCAAGGTGAACTCCAACATCTGAATCGTCTTGTAAGCGGTTTTGGCTCTTTTATTTATGACCGGCCGCCCGCGTGTCACACAAATACTTGTCTCGTGTGTGAATCGAACCCATGAACCCCGAGCCCGAAGCTTACAAATGCGCCGCTGAGTCATCCAAATCTACAGATACGTTACCTCTGTTAATCTGCTAGATTATATTATATATCATAATCATACTGGTCTTGCATATAAACATCATGTTTTATCAAGATTACAGACAGCACTAAAAGTGCATATAACGAGGAGTTAATCAGAAGGACGTTTGCAGAAGGGCCACTCGGCGAAGAGCAGCACTGCGGCGGTGCGCACGGCGTACGTGTCGCTGGTGGCGCGCGCGGCGAGGGGCGGGGCGGGGCGGGCGCACCGCGACGCGCTGCGCCCCGTCCTGCTGGAAGCCGTCGAGCGCGCCCTGCACCAGCCGCTGCAGGTGAACCAGGACTAGAGTAACATCCCTGTATACATTCCACTGCTGGGCCTCCTCTATACAAAGGGTATTACGGCATAGTCCACCACGCGACGCCACTGCGGACTTCACATATCTTCAAAATAATTTTTTTTTGTTATTTCGAAAATGTATGTTTTCCTTAACGCTAAGGACGTAATAAGTCAGCACTTAGAATTGCATTAACAATTTCGTTGGGTGTTGAAATCAATTGTGAGAACAATAAGTACAAGTGACTCGGTTGTCCATTCGCGACACCGCACCGTCGGACAAATACACTTACGGAATGTGCATGTACCCAAATACTACATATAAAGGCTTAAAAGTGGTCTTCAAATGCAACATCCTATACCTTATAATGACTAGATCACAACTAGTGCTCAAATAAATCAAATAGAGTTAAGATATATTTGCAACATTTCACAAAAGCAATGTAGCAATTTTTACTGCTATACGGGCTGTCTTTCGGGTAGATTGGCAAGTGAAGTATTAAGAAATCGATGTTGTTTATTTATTTATATATTTATTTAACACTTTTATACAAACTGGTACAAACGGCGGGCTTAATGGCATATGCCATTTTCTATCAGCCAACCAGAAGAAATGCAGGTGCTATAAATTGGAACTATACAGGTACACTTGTCCGTTTGTCACGTTGTGCTAAATAAACGGGCGCCCGCAGCAACCGGTGGTGAGCGAAGGCGTGGCCGCCATGCTGGGGCTGGTGCTGCTGGACGGCGCGCGCGAGCTGCCGGCCAAGGGCGCGCTCTGGGCGGGCCTGGTGCACCGCGAGCGCCACGTGCTGCTCCACGACCGCCTGCTGGCCGCCGCGCCCGACGACGGTACCTCGCACTTGTTTTTTTAGGGTTCCGTACGCAAAGTGTAAAACGGAAACCTATTACTAAGGCTCCGCTGATAATTAGACAGTAGAAATTCTCACAGATGATATATTTCTGTTGCCGCTATAACAACATATATTAGAAAATAAAATAAAAAAAACATTTAACTGGGGCTCTGATACAACAGTTTTTTAGATAATGGTACGGAACCCTTCGTGCGCGAGTCGATAGTATCTTTTATTTGCTAAATATAGGCTAGGCATATGGCGTACAGTGCAGTAATTTATATAGAAAGAAAGAAAGAAAAGTTTATTTGGTACATTAATAAATCGTTTACAAAAAATTATTTACAATAAAAAGAAATACAATGTACATGCACCAAGTAGGTTTCCACTCAGCATGAGTTCACGGAGTTAGTAAACTTACATCGCTCAATTCTACCCATTTTGTAAGTTGCGCAAATATAATACGTTCGCCAAAAGGTTGTCAATATACATTCTTGTTGTCTGTCCTCTTTACAGCAACATTCCTTGGAAAGCACAGTCCTCCGGTTTGTATTTCTTGGTGTACAGTGCAGTAATTATATTGCTATATTCTACTCATTTTGTATGGTGTGTAAATTTGGTACGTTCACGGAAAGGTTGTCAGTATATATATCCTTGTTGTCTACGCCCTCTCTACAGCGACGTTCCATGGATAGCCCAGCCCAGTTTGTGTTTCTCTTCTATATAGAAATGTCAAGCACGCTGTCAATTCACCTGATGTTATGTGATAACGGTAGCCAATGGACATTCACCAACACCCGTAGTGTTTATTTTTCATTCATCTCATTCATAATAAATATGTTCTTTTCGTTCTCTCTTTCTCTTCCGCCCAGGCTCTGTCCGTTCAATATGTGCTCTGTATAAATATTGAAATAAAAGTGTTTAAGGTGCAATAAACGTACTAAATTGTCAATCAGTGACTTTGGATAATCCATCTCGAACCCCGAATAAAACAATTAGTTCAATCGTTAACATTATTGTTGGTCCTTCGAGCCGGATTGCAGATGTGTTGCCAATTTTTAATAAAGTGGAGCCCGTGGGTCACCTGAAACGGTCACACGAAACACAGTAGTATGCCACTTCACACCGGCCCGCCTATTCGTGAACAACAGAGACTGTTGCGTAGCGCTCCCGCAGCTAACAATACTCCTGCCTCATTTAAAACGCTCTTGTTTTCTACTGAAGGAATTTCTTTCTATTGAATGAAGACTAATAAACTGTCTCTGCTCTGGAAAAAACTAAAATTCATTTTTTTCGTTTGTAGTAGTTTATTTATCGAGTTTGCGGATTATTATAAGTAAAATTTGATGTAATCCAAAAATCTGTTCATCAATATTAACGAAATTGTATCAAAATATTAACATAAAATAACATTGTTTACCATGGCAAACAAATGTCTGAAAAAATATATTCTGCTTATTATTCGTAATACGTGTTTTTAATATTGCAATGATCAGTTGCACTATAGCATTTACCCCTTTATAGTCCTAATACAGGTGGGGTTGCTATGCAGAACAGTATTGGAAAACTACCCGAGTGTTGCCAGCGAGAAGGACTCACCGGTGTACAGGGCGTTCATACATGTGCTGCTCTCCACGACGAAAATGGTGCGCGGCGCGGCCATTGAGGAGGCGAGGTCACTACTGGCCAGCGAGGACAGAGCGCAGCTGGCGAGATATTTAGTCCTGAGACTGAATGAAGTGCTGGAGGAGGGGAAAATATTTACCACCAAGGAGAAGACTCCACCTGAGGAGAAGCAGCCTGAGGTCACAGGCAAGATAATACTGGACTGCTTGCACACACTCTGTTCTTTTAGAGGTGAGTTAATTTTGGTATAAATGTTATATCAAAAAAGTTGAAGAAAATATACATAATTATATTATAATTTATAACATTTTTGTAAAATAAGGTAATAATTAATTGAATAATTTATGATAACAAAAAAAATTTAAGGATTGAGGTTCAGCTATGCTTTAAACAACCTCAGGGGAGTTCTTTCCATCAATAGGTGGTAATTTACATGTAGCAGCTTCTTTCAATTCATTAATAGGCCAGCATGATTAGAGAAGTAACTCTGGTATTACTTCGTTATTAGGCCAGTGTTAAGTAATAATATTCGCACTTTTGCACTTGATATAGTCAGTTAACCCTAGGTCCATTCCCTTAAAATTTACTAACATATTTGCACAGTCTTCGATATTTAAGCGTTCATGTGTGGCATTTATCATTCACCAGCCAATCTTCTTGCTCATTCCGCACCTCTACCACTATGCAGAGTACCCGCTGGAGGAGCGCGAAGGCCTGGCTCTGGACGTGCTGCCCAGCTGCCACCATCCGGTGGTGGCGAACACCGAACGCCGCGCGTGGTTCAAGCTCCTGAAGCACATGCGAATCGAGCCGCGCGCCCTGGTCACCCGCCATTCGCACCTCCTCATCACCACCTATGTCGACGGCTTCCAGCCCACCGAGGTACCACGGTTTGGTACTTCTGCGGGGTCGCAGAAATACTTGTCTCGTATGGTGGACTCCGCTGAGGATTAAGTTGCGTCCCGCAGACGACGTCGGCCGTGGTGGCGAGCCTGGTGGCGGCGGAGGAGGAGGGGGCGGAGGGGGCGGAAGGGGCGGAGGGGGCGCCGGTGGCCGAGGCGGCGCTGGGCGCGGCGCTGCGGGCGCTGCGCGACGCAGACCTGCTGCGCGTCACGCGCGACGAGTACTTCGTCTACCTCACGCCGGAGGGCGAGCTCTACGACAAGACCATGGTGCCGGGGTCGGTGCTCATAGATACTACCGCTATTTTAAACTGTGTTTTTTGATGTGTAGGATTTGTTTAAATATGAAAGAGACATCTTAATAATCAGTACAAAAAAAAAACAGCCTAATGACAAATTTTCTTCGTCATTAGAAATGAGGATAGCAAAGAAATGAACTTGAAACGTGAGAGCAAGGCCTACAGCTACAAGGAGCAGCTGGAGGAGCTCCAATTGCGCCGCGAACTGGAGGAGAAGAGGCGTCGCGAGGGCAAGGCCAAGAAGGAGGTAATGTCACTCTTAGGACCCATCTTTCCTCTCTAAGACTGCAATAGAGGTGATAACTTTGGTTTTCCGCTTCAGGTGCCGCTGAGTGCCAAACAGAAGGAAGCCATAAAGATGCAATTGGCTAAGGAGAGCGCTATTCGTGATCGACTCACTGTGGTAAGACAGTTTTTAAATAGAGTAGTTATAAGGATTTATGATTAGCAAAAGTGCTTCGTGCCAGTCTGTGGGGAAGGCCTATGTTCAGCTGTGGACTTAAACAGGCTGAAATGACGAAGATGATGATGATGATTAGCATAAGTTACATTGTTTTTTCTTAGTTTATCTGTCATTATACAGAGAGAATGTTGGAATTGTGGTCACCAATACTAAAATAACGAGATTTTTCAGCTTTTATCACATTTAGCACACCTACATTACTACCATATGACAGTCATAAGAATGTGCTTTAGTAATACTGTAATTGTATTCGATTATCATATTTCCACTGGAGATATTATTTTGGTTGTTAATACCATCCGAGTCATACAAAGGAGTTGCGTGTAATTCCTCGTACGTGTACCGAGTGCGATGGTGAAAGCCGGCGTGTGCCGCAGCTGCACGGGCGCGTGGTGGTGGCGGAGCGGCTGGTGGGCGCGGTGCAGGCGGGCTCCGCGGCGGCGCTGTGCCTCCGCGCGCGCCACCTGGTGAGCGGCGTGCTGGGCGCGCTGCGCAGCCCGCTGGCCGCGCCGCGCCTCGCCGACGCCTTCCTGCGCCTGCGCCGCGCGCTGCTGCCCGCGCACGCCGCGCTCGGCGACGCCCTGGCGCGCGTCTCGCTCAGGTGCGCCCTCCCCGGCCCCCTCGCTCCTCCCGCGCCTCCCGCACCTCCCGCACTCGGCCCTCGCACGACTCACGGCTCGCCCTTGCCTCGCAGGCTGCACCGGCCGCAGTGCGACCTGGACCCGAGCTGGGAGGAGGAGGAGCTCGACAAGGCCGCCATCCGCACCATCAACCTGGTGCACGCCGCCACGGCGGAGCCGAGGCCCGGCCCCGACGGCGCGCTCCCCAGGAGCGACCACTTCACGGCGCCCGGCTTCTGCTACGTCTTCCCGCTGCTCAAGCAGGGTGCGAAGCCAACTTTGCTCAGCGACATTTTAATTTTGCACGACCTGTGTCTATCTGTACATTACAGACTGCAATGTTTATCGTCAGTTCCTAATTGTAACGTTTAAGTACTGCTACCACGTGGTAAATTTTACTTTAGAAAAGAACTCGAAACGATGTGGAACGTTAAGAAACATTTGTGACGTGTCGTGACGTGGCGTGTGCAGGTCTGAGCGGGCCGGTGCGTGCGGACGAGGCGACGATGCTGAACGGGCTGTCGGTGATCGCGCGGCACGCGAGGCTGCGCGGGGACCCCTCCGACCCGCGGGACCCGCTGCGCCCGGACCTCTTCCCCATAGACCACATGTTCCGGCTGCTCATCGACCTCATCAGTGCGTCCAACCCCGACTTGAAACGTATAATATTAAAGTCTCGCTCGTTTGCATGCATATATGCAGCCGTGATAGCTTAGTGTCCGAGCGCTCGCTTTCAATTCAATATACCGATGAAATTGTTTATTTTATAAGCTGAATTATCGCGTGCTCAGAGGGGTAAAGGAAAACATCGTGACAAAACCTGCATGTTTTCGAAATAATAACAAAATGAATATTTCGACGATATGTGAATTTTGCCAATCCGCAATGGAGCCGCGCGGTATACTATGCCCAGCAGTAAGACTTGTATAGGCTGTTACTTTACTATTCACTTTTGTATGTGTTGTTTTCATCTCGAAACGGTGCGATCGGCAGGCAGCACGGGCGGGCGGGTGCAGGCGGCGTGCACGCTGGCGCTGCTGGAGAGTGCGCAGTGCGCGGCGCAAGGGACGCTCACGCTCGAGGACGCCACCTGCCTCTTCAACGGCCTGCAGAACCCGCTCGAGGTGATCCCCCCTTCCGCACCGACCCAATTGCATTTGTGCTCATGGAGAGGACCTAAAATTGATACCGATGAGTACATTGTACCACTGCGGGGCTACCATTAGCTTTTGTTATATTAACTATTTCATACATTTCGAATTCTTTAAAATGGATAATATAATGGCAACTATGGCAACGCCACGCCACAGTCTTCGCTGAGGAAGTATCACAACATCACAGAAGACGGGTATGAAGTGGAAGTCAGCGAGGTAACCAGGGCCCACCTTATTAAAAGGCTACCGTACGGACGTTGTAAATATCCATGGACTGCGGTTATCACTTGTCCTGCCACCGTTTGACATAAAATTTAGAATTTTATAATAATGATAAGTTGATACGTGCGGCGGTGCAAGGTGGTGCGGGACGCGGCGCTGCGCGCGCTGCTGTGCGTGGCCCACTGCGTGTCGCCGCTGCTCGAGGAGCCGCAGAGCGGGCTGGACCTCGCCAAGCGCCTCTACGTCGCCACCTTCGACGTCTCCGAGGACAACCGGTGAGCGCCCCTGTCCTCCTTGCCATTCGGCCTCGGACTTTATTTATGTCTGTTTTCACTTGTGCAATGGTCTAATCGGAAAAAACAACAGCGACATTTCGTCGTTTTTTCTACAAATTGTAATTTTTCATCTTTAGTGTAATGTCTCAGGAAACTGGCGTACGAGCTGTGGGCCGCTCTGCCGCGCGCCGAGGCTTGGCTGGGCGAGGCGGAGTCGGAGCTGGTGCACGAGCTGGTGCGCGAGGTGCAGCACCCGGCCGAGGCGGTGCAGCGGGCGGCGGCAGACGCGCTCGCGCAGCTGGTGCGCCGCGCCCGCAGCGCGGACTGCGCGCCCGACCTCGTCATGGCCATGCTGCACCAACTATACGTCGACAAGTTGCCGGTGAGCGAGCGCGCAAGTGCACTCGCACGTTCCGACGCGCCCCCGTATCGTGTGATCGGTGACGTACGGGTGGCGTGACGTGTGGCGTAGTCATGGCCGACTTCGTCCTATTGTTTAAGGATGAGCACGGGCGGAGCTTACACTGCGCTGCTTTTTGTGGCCATCTTTCGCTAACCCCCGCCGATGCATAAAGTGTCAAGCGTGAACAATTATTACTATTCGTTCGTAAGAGTAAATGCTATACGCGGTGGCTCTCTTGTGTTAGTTAGAAATGATATAGTCTGTAAAAATCGACAGGATATAATGGCACTCTCTGTCGAACGTTCTATAGAATTATCCTGCGTTGAGAGTCAACAGTATATTATAGTATGCGTGTATCGACCCCCCTCCGGTGATTTCGACCAGTTTGAGTGTGTCATGGATGATGTCCTTAAGAAACTGTGTTTAACTAGTAAATCAGTCATAGTTTGTGGAGATTTTAATGTGGATTTATTACAAGTAACACAACTTAGTAAGCGGCTTTTAAATTTATTTAATTCATTCAAACTTAAAAATCTTTTTTATGAACCAACTCGTGTTACTAACTTATCCTCCACATGTATCGATAACGTTTTCTGTCACAATGAAGTATATGACAAATCTATTATAAATTATCTGAGCTCTGATCATCTTGGTTTAAAATTTTCAATAAATGAAAACATTACTACAAGTGAAATTAAGATCAGGTGTAGACCAATCACTGCTAGGAGACTAAATTCTTTTAAAGATAAAGTAGCACAGCATGTATTCCATAAAGATATCGGAGACAATAACCCTAATGATTGTTATAGATCAATGGTTGATTTTCTCATAACTTCCTATAATCATATTTTTAAACCCCGCACAATTGTTAAAAAATCAAAATTAAAATTTAGTGACTGGGCAACAGTGGGTATATATAAAAGTAGGGATTCACTGTATGAATTATATAATATGAGGCAGTGGAATCACGACCCTAATTTCCATAAACGGGTACAAAATTTTTCAAAAATATTTAAAAAAGTCTGTATACATGCAAAATCTATCTACATAAGAAATAGGATTTTAAATTCTAGTAATAAAATAAAAGCTACATGGGACATCATTACCTGTATATCTGGAAGACCCAAGAAATTCAGGGAACCTATAAAGCTAGTGATAGGCAATACACCCATAACTTCAGATAACGAAATTGCAAGTAGTTTTGAAAGTTATTTTTCAGAAATTGCAATTAATGTTACATGCACGTTAAAATCCTCTCCCATTGATGCAATTAATGTATTAAAAAATAATGTTACCTATTGTCGACAAACGTTTAAATTTAATCACATAGATACTAATGATATTATAAAAGTTTTGAATTCTATTAATCTTAAAAATACAGGAGATTTGTGGGGCATGTCCATAAAATTAATGAGTACAATAATGCCGTATATTGCACCATATTTGGCAAATATTTTTAACAAATGTATAGATTCTGGAATATTTCCAGATCTTATGAAATTCAGTAAGATAATCCCCGTTTTCAAAAGTGGGGATAAAAATGATCCAGGAAATTACAGACCTATCTCCATATTGCCATCTCTGAGTAAAATTTTTGAAAAACTAATTTTAAATCAACTCTTAGTACATTTTAATATGAACAAAATTTTCCACAATGAGCAATATGGATTCACTAAAGGCAGATCGACAACGGATGCGGGTGTCGCACTTGTCAAGCATATTTATAACGCCTGGGAAAGATCACAAGATGCAATAGGTGTCTTTTGCGACCTTTCAAAGGCTTTCGACTGTGTAGACCACGAAACCCTCCTTCAAAAGTTAGATTATTATGGCATTCGTGACATCGCCCTCAATCTCATTGCCTCTTACCTTAATAATAGAATTCAAAAAGTATCTATAAATGATGTAAATTCCACAGGGTCCCCCATGAAAATGGGTGTCCCACAAGGATCAATCTTGGGTCCATTATTATTCTTAGTGTATATAAATGATCTCCCCTTTTATGCCAGTGAGTTATGTGATATTGTACTGTTTGCTGACGACACATCGCTCATTTTTAAGGTTGACCGAAACGTGTCGGATTATGACGACGTGAATAGTGCACTTTCGCGTATCCTCCACTGGTTTACCGTTAATAATATGGTGTTAAATGCTAAAAAAACTAAATGCCTTCTTTTTACCCTTCCCAGCGTAAGAAGGCGAAGTTTTAGCTTAACATTAAATAGCGTAACCCTTAATCCTGTTGAGTCCGCTGTATTCTTGGGAATTACAGTGGATTCAAAGCTCCAATGGAGTCCCCATCTATCATCTCTTGCGAACAGGTTAAGCTCCGCTGTTTTTGCAGTTAGGAAGGTTAGGCAGCTATCAGACATCGACACTGCCAGACTTGTTTATTTCAGTTATTTCCACAGCATCTTGTCTTACGGCATTTTGTTGTGGGGTAGTGCATCTGATATAAATTCTATATTTATTCTTCAAAAAAGAGCTGTCCGAGCAATCTATAACATCGGAGCCCGGAATACACTCAGAGACCTTTTTAAAGAGATTAATATACTCACTGTTGCGTCTCAATATATTTATTGTAACATTTTGTATGTTAAAAATAATATTAATAGTTATCTAAAGAATAGTGACAGACATAAACTAAATACTAGAAATAAGGACAAACTAACTACGCCATTGTTTCGTTTACAAAAAGTAAACAGGTCGTTCATGGGGCAAGGTGTGCGCATGTATAATAAAATCCCACAGTCGATATTAAGTCTGCCACTTGATGAATTTAAACGAAAAATTAAAAGTAAACTTATGGCTAAAGCCTATTATTCTATTGCTGAATATCTTGACGACGCCAATGTGTGGGGTTAATACTGTTGATACTCACGTAGGCTAAAACAAGACTATTGTACATGTACTATTATATTGTAAACTGATTTTTTTTTTTAAAAAGAGCAACTGTTGAGTTTCTTGCCGGTTTCTTCTCAACAGAAACTGCTTTCCGAACCGGTGGTAACTTACGAACGTGTTCATTTCTTGTAAAATTTTGACGTTTCATAAGAACGCGCAAGCGTCTATGTGAATAAAGATATTTTTATTTATTTATTTATTTTTATTATTAATTAATTTTGAGTATAAAACAGCTTGTAGTTTCTGTATACCCCATAATTGTACAGTACTTGTCACCTAAACAAGTTATCTCTTTCTTTTAAGTGTTTTATTGGCAGCTGCCTTGCTTAGCCTATACAGCGTGTCGTTACCATCGCGACAATAAATAAACACACATATAGGGGATAGCTTTTTAAAGTTGTATTAAACATTTAAATTCTTTAAACATCAATATTTACAGAGTTATTAAATTTTGTAAAACAAAGAATTTTAGAACACCCTTACCTATAAAAGCGTAACGTAAAGTTCATTTGTAAAGGTCACAAAGCATATGAATGAGTTGAATGAATTTAAAAGAGACAAAACATACTGTTAGAAGGTGAGGCTTGTAATACGACGCTGTGGCGCGAGTTGTATAGGATGTTACAAATTTTGTTTCCTTTTTACTTAATTAGTTTGTTTGAAAAATATTTTTTTTAAATTATGGATTTTGTTTAACGTTAATAATTTTTTTATGATTATTGGCAAGTAGCGTTAGACGTGTGTTCATTTATTGTCGCGATGGTAACGACACGCTGTATAAATTAAGAGTGTCATATTATACTACATAAGCTGGTTCATTTATTTACAGTAGTAAAAAAAATAATGTTCAAAATAAATAGTAAAAAAAATCAAGACGTTTAACATGTATGATATTTATGTAAAATCAAATATATTGTAATTAGTTGACAATTCGATGTTCGGACTGGTTTCACACAAGCTGGCCTTGATATTCAGATGATCCCGGCCAAGCTGGACCAGTTCGGGCACGAGCGCGCGGCGGCCGTGGACGAGTGGGGCGCTCGGCGCGGCGCGGCCTTAGGGCTGCGCGCGCTGGCGCCGCGGCTGCAGGCGCACCACGTGCCGCAGGCCGCCGCCTTCTTCGTGGAGCGCGGCCTGGCCGACCGCAGCGACGAAGTGCGCGCCGACATGCTCGCCGCCGCCATGGCCCTCGTCGACCTGCACGGCAAGGTCTCTGCTCGCCCCACCCCCCTTCTTCATGTGAAATAATATTTGTCGCAACGCTTGTACTATGAGTACTAGATAACTGATAAACATAGTGTTCAATGTGTATTACTCTTATACTCCCAGACACTAGAAAAACACTATGTTCATCACACAATATTTTTCCAGTAGTGGGAATCGAACCCACATCCCCCCCATTCGTACACCAGCAGAATTATTATTGCGCAGGAGACGCTGGGCAGCCAGCTGCCGGTGTACGAGCGGTTCCTGGACACGGCGCCCAAGTCGGGGGGCTTCGACGCGGTGCGCCAGAGCGTGGTGCTGCTGGTGGGCTCGCTGGCGCGCCACCTGGAGCCCCACGACGCGCGCATCCGCCCCATCGCGCTGCGCCTCGTGGCCGCGCTCTCCACGCCCAGCCAGCAGGTGCCGCCGCTGACCCCCGTCGTCGTCGTCCTGCCCTTCTATGTTTTTTACAACCGGCCGCCTGTCTCCTTGAGAAACAGACACCCAGATCCCGAACAATCTGTGGGTCACACAAATCAAGTATTTCCCGTGTGTGAATCGAACCCAGGATCCCCGACACCGAAGCCCATAGCTTAGCAACGTTCATTTCTTCCAATGAATATGATTACTTATAACCACCCTCATAGACATTGGTAAACAGAGGGTTTGGGTGGAGGGAAGATTGGACAATGGAAAACCAGTGGTAATATATGTAATCTCTTATCATCAGGATTGTTTACGAGTAAATCTAAACCACCTACACTTATAAAATTATGTAATTGTGAAAAATCTATTTCAATTATTACATTCAAAACTTTTGCTCATGTATTTCAGGTACAAGAAGCCGTCAGTAACTGCTTACCACACTTAGTGACCTCGCCGGCGCTGGAAGACGAGATTCCCACGATCATGAACAAATTGATGAAGCAATTGCTCACAGCGGAAAAGTATGGCGATAGAAAGGTCAGTCCAACCCTTGTTTTACCATGAGTTATTTTTACTACGAATATAATTTCGATCTAACCGCCGTAATTTTTCACTGTAGGGCGCCGCGTACGGAATTGCCGGCATCATCAAGGGCCTCGGTATTCTATCGCTGAAACAATTGGACGTAATGGGCAAACTAACAGAAGCCATACAGGAGAAGAAGAACTACAAATACCGCGAAGGTGAGCCAAATAAGGAAAAGGAATGAGTATATTTCGACACATGGACAGGATTCTTTAACGCAACAGCTTGGGCTATTGCAGAAATGGGCAGGTCCGTCCGGGTAAGTACAACGACCTCACAGAAGACGGACGTGAAGTGGAAGTGTCATCCTGCGTTTCATCTGGTGAGTAAGGTACCCAGGGCCCACTTTATTTAAATATTCATGGGCGGCTGTTATCACTTAACGGTCAGTTGAACCGCTCGGTTGCCACCTTCTACAGGCGCGCTGTTCGGCTTCGAGATGCTGTGCTGCAAACTGGGCCGGCTGTTCGAGCCGTACATCGTGCACGTGCTGCCGCACCTGCTGCTCTGCTTCGGCGACAGCTCCCAGTACGTGCGCACCGCGGCCGACGACACCGCCAAGCTCATCATGAGCAAGCTGAGCGCGCACGGCGTCAAGCTGGTGCTGCCCTCGCTGCTGCAGGCGCTGCAGGACGACAACTGGCGCACCAAGGCCGGTCGGTTAACTAATTAATAGATACATATTCCTCGATAAACTGATGGATATACTTTTTGGTAAATAAATACGTAATAAACATATGTAAACACCCAGACAATGGAGTAACACTATGCTCATCACACAATACTTTTCCAGTAGTGGAAACCAAACCCATAGATTGGACACTTCTCCACGCACCACTGTGCACTTAAATTCTGCCGGTGTACTTAACTGTCTTTAATATCTTCAAGATTTTATATAGTCAAATAATTTAACCGTTGCCTGCTTTAATTCTGACTTTAGTCTTAAAAAAGACAAGAACTCAAAAGCCTAAATAACTACTAATAAAGCCGTGAAGTTCCGTTGTGGCGTTTTACTTAATCGTGGTATTTAGGCAGAAGGCCCTATATCGCAGAAAGGTTTCAGGCTCGATCGAGCTGCTGGGCGCGATGGCGTACTGCGCGCCGAAGCAGCTGTCCTCGTGCCTGCCCTCCATCGTGCCCAAGCTGATCGAGGTGCTGAGCGACTCGCACATGCGCGTGCAGGAGGCCAGCGCGGAGGCGCTCAAGGTCATCGGCTCCGTCATACGGAACCCCGAAATACAAGGTGCGCAATATGAATAAATAAATAATGTGTATGTCACTGAACTCCTAAATGGCAGCACCGATTTTAATGAATTACAATTCGGTCTACTTCAATTTTAGTGCTTTTTGAAATATTTTATACCATACCATTTGTAAAGCATTTAAAACCAGACTATCTATAAACTCTCTATAGTATTACCATGCACCACAAAATGGAGACACTAATCGCCAAGAGATAGGTTATTCAAAAAAATATTTGAATACTATGTAGGAAGTAGTCTTTCTATTACAAAGAGCAGAATGTATAAGTTTCGTGTGTTGGCGCAGCGATCGTGTCGGTGCTGCTGCAGGCGCTGCAGGACCCGTCCAACAAGACCTCCGCCTGCCTGCAGACCCTGCTCGACACCAAGTTCGTGCACTTCATCGACGCGCCGTCGCTGGCGCTCATCATGCCGGTGGTGCAGCGCGCCTTCCTCGACCGCAGCACGGAGACGCGCAAGATGGCCGCCCAGATTATCGGCAACATGTACTCGTTGACGGACCAGAAGGATCTGCTGCCGTACCTGCCCAACATCATCCCCGGTCTCAAGCGCTCCTTGCTCGATCCCGTGCCTGAGGTGGGTGTTCATGGTACCAGCATTTGTGTTTAGTGAAAATTCACTTTATGTCATAGTTATTTTTTTCAAAATGGTAGATTTTGACACTCCTAATCTACTATATCAACTATTTGTATCTCAAAGTAATTTCGAATTTATTCAGCTGTTGTTTCACGAGAGAATGAAGTGACAAGGCTCCAAGCAACCATACAGTGCAGACCTTCCTGGGAGGAAGGAACACTCCATGCATTTTGAATACTTTCCGGGTACTCTTTGAAGCGCTAAATCCGTCACGTGAACAGGTGCGCTCGGTGTCCGCGCGCGCTCTGGGCACCATGGTGAAAGGCATGGGCGAGAGCAGCTTCGAGGAGCTGCTGCCGTGGCTGATGCACACGCTCACCTCGGAGAGCAGCAGCGTGGACCGCTCGGGCGCCGCCCAGGGCCTGTCCGAGGTGGTGGCCGGCCTCGGCGTGCAGAAGCTGCACAAGATCATGCCCGGTCGGTGCCCGCTCCCTACTTAAATGTAATAAGTACGCCCCTTGCATCGGATCTCAACCTGGTTCCCGGCCCGCAGACATAATAGCGACCGCGGAGCGCACCGACATCGCGCCGCACGTGAAGGACGGCTACATAATGATGTTCATCTACATGCCGGGCGCGTTCACGGACGAGTTCACGCCGTACATCGGGCAGATCATCAAGCCGATCCTGAAGGCGCTCGCGGACGAGAACGAGTACGTGCGCGAGACGGCGCTGAAGGCGGGCCAGCGCATCGTCACCCTCTACGCGGAGTCGGCCATCGCGCTGCTGCTGCCCGAGCTGGAGCGGGGCCTGTTCGACGACAACTGGCGCATCCGCTACAGCTCGGTGCAGCTGCTGGGCGACCTGCTGTACCGCATCTCGGGCGTGTCGGGCAAGATGAGCACCGAGACGGCCTGCGAGGATGACAACTTCGGCACGGAGCAGTCGCACCGCGCCATCATGGGCGCGCTGGGCGCCGAGCGTCGCAACCGCGTGCTGGCCGGCCTCTACATGGGCCGCAGCGACGTGGCGCTCATGGTGCGCCAGGCGGCGCTGCACGTCTGGAAGGTGGTGGTCACCAACACGCCCAAGACGCTGCGCGAGATCCTGCCCACGCTGTTCGGCCTGCTACTGGGCTGCCTGGCCTCCACCAGCCACGACAAGCGGCAGGTCGCCGCGCGCAGCCTCGGCGACCTCGTCAGGAAGGTGCGCACCCTCATCGACGTATGACGCGCGTCCATTCCGACATGCTCCTGTACGCACCTTCATGTGCAGCTGGGCGAGCGCGTGCTGCCCGAGATCGTGCCCATCCTGGAGCGCGGGCTGCGCTCGGAGCGCGCCGACCAGCGCCAGGGCGTCTGCATCGGCCTGGGCGAGATCCTCGCCTCCACCTCGCGCGACGCAGTGCTCAGCTTCGCCGACGGACTGGTGAGTGTAGTTTGACCAAATGGAATCGAAATCAGCGTACCGCTCAAGCATTTGCTTAATTAAACTATAAACTTTTGAATTATAAAGATCTGCAGATGTGCTTATTTAATATAAATCGTTAAATGATCGTCTTGCCAACTGATGACATCAGTTTAACACACGTGTGTCCTGAATCTGAGTATTATATTTTGTGTTTGTAAATTTTCAAATCTTTATAAAAGTGGTCTGGTGTCTGTCTTTTTTTTTTTAAAGAAAATGTAAGTATCCAGTCGTAAGGACCATAATGAAAGCAGGTCTATTTGTTTGTTTGCATGTACTGAAACAACAATAGCATGGAAATAAAATGCGTAGGTGCCGACGGTGCGCACGGGCCTGTGCGACCCCCTGCCCGAGGTGCGGCTGGCGGCGGCGCGCACCTTCGACTCGCTGCATGCCACCATCGGCAACAAGGCGCTGGACGACATCCTGCCCGCCATGCTGGCGCAGCTGCACGACCCGGACCCGCAGCGCGCGGAGGCCGCGCTCGACGGACTCAAACAGGTCGGTGCGACCCCATTTGCCCACCGAGAGTGTTGCGTGAAGTGAGTGTACACTAAAGAATGTTCAATATAAGAAACTTAAATATTTTTCTATAATAAGAAACTTAAATATTTTTCTATTCTGTTTTTTTAGTATTTGTCGTTTTAGCGGCAGAAGAAATACATCATCTGTAAAAAATTTTAACTGTCTAACTATAATGCTCATGAGATATAAGCCTGGTTATAGATAGTGACACACAGACAGTGGAGTTTTAGTAATAGGGTCTCGTTTTACCTTTGGGTACGGAACCCTAAAAATTAATTAAAAACCTTTGTAAGGATGTAGAAATTTGCTAGTTCAGTTCAGTTGGATTCACTCAGTCGTCCGTGCAGGTAATGGCGATCAAGTCACGCGCCGTGCTGCCGTACCTGATCCCGGTGCTGACTGGCGGCGGGGGTGGCGGGGGTGGCGGGGGCGCGGTGGACACGCGGGCGCTGGCGGCGCTGGCGTCGGCGGCGGGCAGCGCGCTGTCGCGCTACCTGGCGCGGCTGCTGCCGGCGCTGCTGGGCGCGCTCACGGCCGCGCACGGCACGGCGCACGAGGCGCGCGAGCTCGACCACTGCCGCGACGCGCTGCTGCACGTCACCGACGACGCCGGCGTGCGCTGGTGAGCCTCCCCTCCTGTGCTGGGCTCCAATTTACGACCATTTTCGATATTGAATATTTTCTATCGATATAGCGGATCCAAGTATCATCCCTGATTTTGAGTGGAATTGCCACTCGATAAACTTGATCACGTTCGTAATGCCCGCAGCATCGTGGACACGCTGCTGGAGGTGGTGTGGGGCGAGCCCGGGCCGAAGCGCACCGCGGCGGCGGCGCTGCTGTGCGCGTTCGTGACGCACTCGCGCGCCGACCTGGGCCCGCACGTGCCGCTGCTGCTACGCGGGCTGCTGCTGCTCTTCGCGGACACCGAGCGCGAGCTGCTGCAGGTGCGCACCTCACTCGCGCCTGCCTCCGAGCGAGGGCTGCTAATGTGCCCACTCCGCGACGATGTTATTCTGAGATAGCCTTTCATCTTTTATCCTTGCTTCATCTGTGCTGCCCAGATGGCGTGGGAGGCACTGTCTGCGCTCACTCGAACTCTGGACGCCGAGCGGCTGATCCAACACGTGGGCGACGTGCGCCAAGCCGTGAGGTATGCGGCCGCAGATCTCAAAGGGGAGCTGCTGCCCGGCTTCTGCCTGCCTAAGGTACTGATGCTTTAATTATATAAACCTTAATTGTCCATAAAAGTATTAAGGTGAAAAAGTATGATTATACGATATATATTTATAAAGGGATATCCCAAACAACACTATTTTATGATAATAAAGAATACCTTTTTAATTTTAACAAATCTATTTAATTAATAAAATTACAATAAAATCATAATTTAAACAACGAAGTCATTTATTTGTTTTTGAAAACATCCAATGTATATGTAGAATTTATTTTTTGGGGCAATATTTAGTTAACAATAATTGATTAGTTCCTTATATTAACAGGACAACTCGTACATAGTAGTTGATATAGTAGCTAAATGCCATGGAACTTTAGAGAAATTCTTACCCAGGACACGTTTCTTGAAGTAGAGTTTGCGATGGTAATACGCCTCTACATCACAGAATAATTGTTATCTTCTGTTAGAATAGTTGTTATCACTGTTATCCTGCAGTGAAAGCTGACTAAAGCACAAAATGCACTTTAGGGCATAGCACCGATCCTGCCCCTATTCCGCGAGTCGATCCTGAACGGGCTGCCCGAGGACAAGGAGAACGCGGCGCTGATGCTGGGCGAGGTGATACGGCTGACGTCGGCGCCCGCCCTGCAGCCGTCCGTGGTGCACGTGACGGGGCCCCTCATCCGCATCCTGGGTGACAGGTTCAACGCCGCCGTCAAGGCCGCCGTGCTGGAGACCCTCGCCGAGCTACTCTCCAAGGTGAACATTATTCATTCTTACAAAGCAACAGTCAAAAAAAAATCATTTCAAAATCGAACATAATTTTTTTTTTACATTAGAAATAAAGAAAGATACACATTTATTCACGGTATAGTAATAATATTTTGATTTGTACTAAACTAGTTTAGTGCATAGTAAAAATATAGTGTTAGTCATGGCAATCACATACTAGTTTTGAAATTAGTTATACCGGATAAAAATTTCATGTATAATACCCATGAAATGAAAACTCATAGAACGAAATATCTAAGATCCTGTTTGAGGTAGTTAATGTGTATAAATGCATAGTCTTGCTTAGTTATAAACCTTAAATAACTTGTGCGTTCCGACTTAACACGTTGTTAACCGTCCACCAGGTCGGCGTGATGCTGAAGCAGTTCCTGCCGCAGCTGCAGACCACATTCCTGAAGGCGCTCTACGACCCCAACAGGCCGGTGCGCATAAAGGCCGGCCTGGCGCTCTCGCAGCTGGTGCTGATCCACACCAGGGCGGACCCGCTCTTCGTGGAGATGCACAAGGGCATCAAGAACACGGACGACCCCGCCGTGCGCGAGACGATGCTGCAGGCGCTGCGCAGCATCATCACCGGCGGCGGCCACAAGATGTCGGAGCAGCTGGCCCTCGGCATCCTGACGACGCTCACCAGCCCCTCCCTCCTGGCGCACCCGGACGACCCGCCGCGCAGCGCGGTCGGCGCGTGCCTGGGTTAGTCCGTTCGCCAGATTCTCATTTCGTACACTCATGCCGTCTCGAGCTTGTGAAGTCTTGAACGTGGTCGTTTTTATGCGGCGCAGGCGCGCTGCTCCGCTGGCTGCCGGGCGCGCACCGCGACGCCGCCCTGCAGCACCACGTGCTGGGCGCGGGCGTGGGCGTGGGCGGCGCGGGCGACGAGTGGCTGCTGCAGCACGGCCGCTCGTGCGCGCTGTTCGTGGCGCTGAAGGAGAGCCCCGAGGACATGTACCGCGAACCGTTCCGCGAGCGCGTGGAGCGCGCGCTGCTGCAGCAGCTGGCCAGCGAGCGGCCGCCGCTCGCGTGCAACGCCGTGCGCGCCATCGGCTACCTCATGCGCCACCTGCTGCGCCACGACCACCCCGTGCCGCCCGCGCTGCTCTCGCAATTCGTCCGCGTGAGTCACCTTCCCCCACCTGCCCTCCCTCGCCCTCCCTCGCCCTCCCTCGCCGACAGCATTCGCATACAGCTCAACATTGATACGACTATAATAAAATTATAATAAAAAATCTTTATTCACATAGACGCTTGCGCGTTCTTATGAAACAAGGGAATTAATATGTTCGTAAGTTACCACCGGTTCGGAAAGCAGTTTCTGTTGAGATGAAACCGGCAAGAAACTCAACAGTTGCTCTTTTTTAAAAGGTCAGTTTACAATATAATGTTACTGATATAATAGTCTTGTTTTAACCTACGTGAGTATCAACAGTATTAACCCACATTGGCGTCGTAAGATATTCAGCAATAGTATAATATGCTTTAGCTATAACTTTACTTTTAACTTTTCGTTTAAATTCATCAAGTGGCAGACTTTGTCCCATGAACGACTTGTTTACTTTTTGTTGACGAAACAATGGCGTAGTTAGTTTGTCTTTATTTCTAGTAGTTAGTCGACTGTTCGGAACACCATTATAAATGAAACGTAAAGAATCCCCATTGATCCCACACTTGCAAAAAAAATGTATTCAAGGTACGCAAATATGGGTTTTCTGCGTTTTTTAGCCTAACGGTAAGTTTTATGGTAAAAATAGGTCAGAAAAAAATTTTTGATTATGTAACTATCTATATAAAATTGTCTCTACAATTATTCTCCTAAACGTCACCATTTCTGAGTTATCATGGTTGATAAAGTTTTTTTCTTCATGATATGCACACATTTACACTCCACCTGGAAAGTAGTGAACTTGGAGTGATTTTTTAACATGGTTTCCCCAATGGGCCTATTCCGCAATCTATTATGATCCTGTTTAATTTAAATGTTGCAAGGCATTACAAACATAGAATATGGCCATACAAAAATATTTGGGCGAATTTATATTTTTAAAAATTACAGCATAAAAGTAAACTTTGTGATGAGTGGCTGACAATGAGTGCTAGGGAAACAATATCTGCAAAGTGAATTTTTAGGACATAAAAAAGTCACGTTTTTTAAATTGAAATCTGTTCCCTGCAAATAGGAATGGCTTATTGCTCTTCTTACGAATAAAGTAACACTATTTGGTATTCAAGACATGCTGATGAATTTTCGTTGTTTGTTTCTTATTATTAATTTCTGTTTGTTTTAGTTAGTCTTTGACCATCACATAGGAATTAATGTGATAAAGTATTGTGATTATATGATGTAAAGTGACATATAAGGTATGCTAATTATAAAGATACATAAAGCACTTCATTGAAAAGCGAAGTGTCCTATTTTATTTTTCTTATCTTTCAATAAAAACATTTAATGTAATTCTCCTTTATGAATGATTCCGACAAGTCAACAGGTCGGCTGATGTCAATGGTTGATACAGATATATTTGATGATTATCTGTAAAGATAATGAAAAAATTTATGTCACTCATGTCGCTTAAGTGCTAATTTTCCATCAAATTTGATGAACTTCACCTTTTACTCAACGCTTATCTATTCAGCTTTTATTTGATAAATTCTTACAATTTTTAAATAATCTCTGAGTAGATCTAAAATAAAATATCATTTGTTGTTCCTATCTAGTACTTTCTGCATTGTGTTTTCTTAATATGACTACTAAAAAATAAATTATTGTTTAAATTTTCTTTTATTATTTTAGTTACTTTACACGTAGACACGACTATAATAAGCATACAAGTCTATTTCACGTGCTCAGCGGCGATAGAAAACATTGTGAAGAAACAAAACCAAAATTAGTCGAAAATATGTGAAGTTTTAAAATGTAGAAGAGTGGAGAGATTTATTTGTATTGGCTGTTACATAAATTTTTTACTACTTGTAATTTAAAAATGGATTCCACGCGAGAACTCGAATAAACATAGATATACGTCGTCCCACGACAGAGTATGAACCACAGCAGCAACGAGGTGAAGCAACTGATGGCGCGCGCCAGTGCGATGCTGGGGCGCGAGGCGCCGCTGGCGGCGTGCGGCGGCGACGTGCTGCGCGCCCTCATACCGGCCCTCGTCAACGGCACCAAGGAGAAGAACACCTACGTGCGCTCCAACTCGGAGATCGCGCTGAGGGCCGTGCTGCGGCTGCCGCACGACGAGGCCTTCCACCAGGTGACGCGACTATAGCTCATAGCCCACGTCTGTCTGTTGCGGACAGGCCACACATGCAATTCCCCTCGATATTCGCTTATATTGGACTAAGTTGCAAAATAATTCAACTCAATAGTAGAATAGAGAAGACTTTTTAAATTTGATTGATGATAGACAAAAACAATCAATAAGACACAGCAACTTTGTTAAGTGGTAAGAGCAGACTGGAATATAAAATATATGTTTATTATGATTTTTTTTATCAGATATTGAATTAAAATGTTTTTTATTAAACCAATATATCACTCCCTTTAAGCCCTTAAACTGTAAATAAAATGAAACTCTTGTACACATTTGTAATGTTAATAGTCTTAATTGTCCTGTTTCAAAATTTTTAATTATGTACTCCCTACATTTATGTCGCATCACATTACAAACTAAGATAAGACTTTATACTTAGGTGCCATTTAGATATCATGAAGTGGTCACAAATGGAACAAGCATTATCTCGATTAATCTTACTGATTCATTCTAACAAATTTAATCATTTCCATTTAGATTATCAAGGATAATTTTCTTATAGTTATTTATAACATAATATTCTTTCAAAAACTATCTATAATCTTAGATTTCAATAAGCATCTTTTACTCCACAGCAATGCATCTCACTACTAGATGAAGGTGCACGAGAAGCCCTAAGCGATGTGGTGGCTAGGATACAGCGACGCCCGCATACTGAGGGCCGCGATGAAGATCTCGACTGTATGCTGCTCACCTGAGACAGCATGTGCCCATTTATATATATAATACATTGTTAATAATTATTCAGTTTTTTCTTACCACCGCTACTCTTAATTTCACAACCTGTTGCATCTAATCAATGTAGGAAAGGACCAGGGACTAGTTAATCACAAATTATTGTTTTTAATCCCACATATTACAAACACTATTTAGAAATACAGTGCGTACCCGAACATAAAAACGAAAACTTGTATAGCATAGTACATCAACTCGCTAACACAATTAAGTGTCCAATAACGGACTTCGACCTGCAATACTGCAATCGCATTGCGAAATTTAACACCAGCAGTCCTAGGCCACGTTCGATCCTGGTAAAATTTGGCTCTCGTCGACTACGTGACACTTTCTTAGCTGGTGTGATTAAGTACAATAAAAACAACAAAGACAATAAGCTAAATACAGGTCACTTAGGTTTTGGTGGAGACAAGACAACTCCAGAATTCGTGTCAGAGCATCTCACTTCGGAGACAAAATTGCTGCATGCTGCTGCTCGGCACAAGGCCAGAGAACTAAATTACAAATTCGTGTGGGTGCGTGACGGCAAAGTGTTTCTAAGAAAATCTGACAGTTCGAGCTTTATCTTCGTGAAGGACGGGGACATCTTAGAGAACCTCACATAAAAAAAAATACATTTATATAGTGTACTGTAATTTTTGAGCATTACTTTCTTCTTGGCTTGCATCTATTTTGTTATTAATGTTAAATATTTACTATCAAAATATACGGGGCTTAAGAACTAAGACAATCGAATTTTTTAATAATATTGTTTGTAATGATTATGATATTGTGATTCTAAGTGAAACCTGGTTAAATGACAGTATTTTCGATTCTGAATTGTTCGACAATCGCTATTCTGTTTACAGGCGCGATAGAGAAACTAGTGGATTTCACGAGAAAAGAAATGGTGGAGGTGTACTTATTGCTATCTCAAGACGCTTTAATTCTATGCGACTGCAGACTTTTGAGTCTAAGTGTGAAGACCTCTGGGTAGCATTAGAGTGTTACGGTAATACCGGTAGTAAGGAACTTCTTTACTTGTGTGCAATTTACCTTCCACCACCTATACAGAGGCATATCTTAGATGAATTCCTTAATAACTCTACCAGAGTGCTGGACCAACACAATATCCCGAACGTAATGCTTGTAGGAGACTTTAATTTGGGATCAATAACTTGGAACTGTTCAAACAATAAATACGCCACTACATACATAGACGCAAATAATAGTACATACTCTACCCTTCTCTTGGATTTCGTAGAGCTGAATAATTTAAAACAGTTCAATTTTAATTTAAACAACAAAGGTAAAATTTTAGACTTGGTATTGAGCAACATCAATGTATCCAATCTCAGTGTTACTAGTAGCCCTCTATCCATCGTTGACCCATTGCATCCACCACTGGAATTTGTTGTATCTATTTACTACGATAATAATAATTTACCGCGTAACCTCTCGGCCCGCTACTGCTTCTTTAAGGCTGACTACGATAAGATCACAATGGACCTCAGCAAGGTACGTTGGAATGACCTATTTCAAACTTGTAAAACGGTTGATGACATGCTTGCTGAATTTTACAAGTGCCTTCGAGATATTATCGAAATCCATGTTGCCAGGTCTCATCCTAAATCGAATAAATATCCCGTTTGGTTTTCACAAAACTTGAAAGGAATGTTGAGAGAAAAACTCAAATATAAAAATAAATTACGAAAGTTTAGTAACAATCCTCTTGATAAACTTTGCTTCGAATTAGCAAGGAAACGTTGTGTTCAATTAATGACCCAATGTTACAAAAATTACATTAACGGGCTTGAACAGAACCTACGTTCCAACCCTAAGTTTTTCTGGACATTCAAAGATATTTGCAATCTGTTTGCTGATCACTTTTCATCCATGTATAGACACGACACCCCTGTTTCCAGCTCCTCTACTTACGCCCAAACATTATCTACCAATAATTACATAACCTCTATCAAGCTTAGACACGATCAGGTTTGGAAGGTTTTAAAAAGACTCGATGTATCTAAGGGTGCTGGATCTGATGGACTACCAGCAATTTTTGTGAATAAATGTGCCTCGGTTCTGGCTAGACCTTTATGCCTCATCAACAATAAATCCATCAATACTGGCACCTTCCCTTCCCATTGGAAGACGGCACTAATTGTCCCATTATTTAAGAATGGCGATAAAGATAATGTGCGAAACTATATACCTATTTCTATCCTCCCAGTATTTGCTAAAGTGTTTGAACAGCTGCTTCATCCTCTTCTGACCTGGCATTTTAAACACTTCATTCACAGCCGGCAGCATGGCTTTATCAGAAACAGATGCACCATAACTAACCTGGTATCTTTTGTTAACGACGTAAGCCTGATTGTTGATTCTCGCTCATCAGTGGAAGTAGTCTACACTGATTTCAGCAAGGCCTTTGATCGAGTGAGTCATCAAATTTTAGCACGAAAAATCTCTGCGTTTGGTATCGGCGAACCCTTATTTGGATGGTGCAAATCATATCTGTCGCATCGTAAATCCCTGGTTGTAGTCAATGGCTACAGATCTGATCCCTTCACTGTGTGTTCTGGTGTCCCACAGGGATCACATCTTGTAAAAACACAAACACAAACACAAAAAAACTTGTAAATCTAATAGTGTTAATAAATATCCATCATTATGTCTTCAAAAGATGGCTCAAAGCACCTTGACCTTAAATTATATTGAAAAAAGTTCTTTTTTATTTAAGCTCCTGTGTATAAAAAAAATTGTTTAGTAACGGTTTAACTTCAAAGGCGGGATATATTTATCAGACAAAGAAAGTACTAGTGTTTCATTCACTTCTTTGCTTTCATTTAAGTAGTTATCTTAACTGTAATATGTATATGTTAATGTAAACAGCACACCAGTAACGGAAATAAACGAAGGCACAACAATTCATGACAATGAAATTTTATTAATCTAAATTAATCTTACTGTAATAACAAAATCATTGTTCTATATTACGGAATGTAAACACATTTATACATGATAAAATAATTTACATATGTACGACCAGCGCTTTGCTCTTCAAAATTCAGAATTTTTAATCTTCTTGGAGAAACCCTTGCTTTGAACTAATTCATTACATTCGGACCGAGACAAATGCGAGAGCGGAATTCGCTCAAGTTCACGGTCGCCGTTATCAAGGAGTATAAATTCGGGTTCCGCCCCCGTAATAAATTTCACTTCTAGCCGCTCATAGTTTGGCGCGTCTTCCATTACGAACTTCTTTACTTCGGGGAGACGATTAAGTGAGCAGCCCCTACAGCTCTGCAATTAAAAAAATACATAGTAAATTCCACCTTAAACATACAAGTTAAATTTATTGGCATTTTAGAGCTACCTCAATTCTAGCTGATGCTATGTCAGATTTTTCGTAAGCTGCAGTGATAACAAGAACAAAATACAGTAAAAAGAACATAACATTAACTTTTAAGGTCATCTTTAATAATCAGATAGAATATTACACACGGTTTAAATATTTCTAGATTTTAAATAATCCAATTCACAAATACAGTGACCTGTGACAGTGACTGACAGACTGTAGGCATGGACTAAAAATATCAATAGATAATATCGATATTTTTCCATAAAAATATCGATATATATCGTCGACATTTTCTTCTCAACATATCGATATTTAATATTTTATTTCCGACTATCGAATTACTGTTAATCTTTTAAAAAAATCAACTATTTTCTTCATGTCTATTCTTTTTTACGAATTTTGAATGGTTTCAAAATATGGAAAAATTGGTATGAATCATCATCATCACATCAGCCATGTCCACTGCTGAACATAGGCCTCCCCCATTGGTATGAATAATCATGCAAAAACTGACGATAAATCAATATTTTTCACTCGATAATTATCGATACTTTTTAAAATGTTGATACGATAAATATCGATATTTTTTACTTGCCCATCCCTAACAGACTGACAGTTCTTACTAGGTAAAAGCAGTGCTGCCAACTAATATAAAAAAATGGCCCTAAAATCAAGATGAAATAGCCCTAAAAATCCCTCTATTTTTGTTGAAATTTTTGTTAAAATATTGTTTAAATGTGTTTCAAATTATGTTAAGGTAAATAAATATAAACTTAGTTTTAATTACTTTCCATTGCAAATAGTTGAAATAATTAATAAAACCACATAATACAGCGTGTCTTTACCATCGCGCCATTAAATGAACACACATATAGAGGATAACGTTTTAAAATTGTATTAAACATTTACATTCTTTAAAAATCAATATTTAACGAGTTATCAAATTTTCCAAAACAAAGAATTTTAGACCACCTTACGTATTAAACTTTAATGTAAAGTTCATTTGTGAAGGTCACAAAGAATATGAATGGGTTGAATGAATTTAAGAGTCAAAACATACTGTTAGAAGGAGAGGCTTGTAATGCGGCGCTGTGGCAACGAATGAAAAAGTCTCTGAATGTATGAATCAGTCAGATATAGTTGTAAAAATATTTTTTTTTCAATTATGGATTTTTTAACATGCATATTTTTTTATGATTATTGGCAAGTAGCGATAGACGTGTGTTCATTTATTATCGCGGTGGTAAAGACACGCTGTATAAACTAAAATTTCATTAATTACATTACATTAATATGATGCGTTATTGTATGTTGTATTATTTAAATACCTTCTGATACGATTTTCGACATTCAATTTTTCTATTGATATATGGGATCCAAATCCAAATATATTGGCAGAAAATGTCGATATATTTACATAGATTCAAAAATATCGATATGTCAATACTTTTACGACATCCCTATAATATATACATATGTCAAGTCGAACAATAAAAAATGGACATGACAACAAAAATCACTACACCTAGGAGTTTTCACTAATTTATTTTATACAAAGAACATAGTTTTGTATTCTATAAGGTAACACTTTAAATTGTTTTGTAGGAAATTTTTGGGAAGTGCTGTTTTAACTTGGATGTTGAAACTTCATCAGCGAAGCCTTGATATATTCAATTATTAAAATTAGATATTTTGGTAAAACACAATGCCAAACGAGCATCGGAAAGCCATTCAAAATAATTTCGGCTCTTTAGTGGAGCAGACTGATCTTGACATAATGGTGTCAGCCCTGTACGAAAAAGGAGTCTTTTCTGAACAAATGATTGAACCCTTCAAAGTAAGTTATTTTTTTACTCCTTAGAACTTTATTAAAACTAACTATAAAGTAGGCTTATATTCAATACTTATGAACGGTAATAAATAAGGTATAATAGTTATTTCTTATTCTGGAAAATTTGCAAAACTTAAAAGGTATTTAAAATAATATTATTTCATTAGATTCTGATGTTTTGATTATTATATAGTTTTGAAAACATGTTTAGGACACAAACAAGGACACAAGAACCCGGAAACGACAATTATACATGGATATAATGAGGAGAGGGCCTGATGCTTTTGGCCATCTACTAGAATCGCTGGAAGAAAATGGTTATTGGGACTTGGTGAGGGCTCTGGATCCCACAAGCTCTTTGCATCTGCAACCACGAAATTCATACAATGGCCAAGGTTTTCTTTCAAATAATTTAATATTAATACCTTCATAATTTTTAAATTTAAATAATAATTAATTACTGGGTAAATATGTTGTTACCTTTTAGATTTAAATTTTCTTTATTTGTATTTTCATCAATTTCATTAACATTTTTTACAGATTCAAAAACTGGCGAGAGTAGTTATGTCAGCATAAGGACAGAAAAGAAGAGAACAAAACCAAATGTTGAAATCCACAAAAGTTAGTGCTATTTATGGAACTCTACTTGAAAACATTAATAACAGAATTTTTATATTTATATATCTCTGGTAAGATTAATTAATAAAGTACTTGTAATGTTTAGGTGAGGCACCAACTTTGCCCCCCGAAAGTAATAAAGATATAACAGACCCATCTGTAGACATTCCATATTTTCATGTTGTGAAGTCAACTAAATTCTTTGAAGACAATGAGGACAAAGGTGAGTTGACCTTAGAAAATGTTATATATTTGCTGTTCGCTTACTGAAGAGTATGACTGTTAAAGGGTATGGGCACATTATGCGAAGGGATGACAGTCATGTGACTAGAAGAGTGATGGATATGAATATAGTTGGAGGATGCAAAGCTAGAGGAAGTCCAAGAAAGATTTGGATGGATTGTGTGAAGAACGATATGTCTGCTCTATCAGCCATCATCTCAATACTGACCATATTGAGATGATGGCTGATAGAGGAAATTTTGTGCCTAGCCCACCTAGTGCCCATACTTATCCCAATAAGGGCAGGAGAAAGAAGAAGGTAAAATGTAACAATTATACATATATCTCCTAACTGGGAGCCGTGATAGCTCAGTGTCTGGCTTTCGCTTGCCTTTAATTCAATATACTCAAGCAACCTGAGTTCGATCTCTGGTGCCGGCACCAATGAGATTGTTAATTTTAAGTGCTGAATTATCAAATGCTCAACGGTGAAGGAAACCTGCATATTTTCGAAATAATAATAAAAAAAAATATTTCAAAGATATGTGAAGTCCGACAATCCGCAGTGCCGCGTGGTGGACTATGCCCTGATACCCTCCGTACATAGGAGGCCTTTGCCCAGCTGTGGGACATGTATAGGCTGCTACTTTACTTTTTTTACTACTAAGCCTTTTTTGCTACTTCTTTTTTGTTCATAATAGCTCACCTAACAATTATTATATATTTTTTTTTATGTGAAAAGTTCTCCAGGTAGTTATTATGTATATGCAAAAAATTTTTTAAATATATATCTATAGAAGTGCTTTTAAGGATTCTGTACCCAAAGATTTATAGATAATGGTACAGAACCATTCGTGCGCGAGGCTGACTCGCACTTGGCCGGTTTTTTAATCTAAGTCAAACTTATTTTTTAACAATTATCTTTTACTGTACTGCAGACATCAAGCTGTACAGAATGCGGCGGCGGCAGCGCGGCATTCTGGTCATCTTCAGCTATATACAGTTCAACGGCATGGAGAGGTACCGCAAGGGTGTCGACATCGACTGCAAGAAGCTCAAATATTTGTTTGACGAAATGGGCTTCTCTGTCATCGCTTATCAGAACCTTACAAAACCAGTGCGTGTCAATTGCAATTCTTTCTATAGAGCATAAGCTTCAATACAGGATATATTAACTGTGGTAGGGCCACGCAGCAGCCTCGGCTGTTGCACGAATGGGCAGGCCCGTCCGGGTGAGTACCACAACCTCACAGAAGACCAGCGTAAAGTGGAAGTATGACAAATCCTTCCGCGTTTCGTCTGGTGAGTGAGGTAGCCGGAGCACAATTTCCAAAAAGGTTGTCAACGCATCTGTAACCCTCGAGTGTGGCAGATATCCATGGGCGGCGGTATTCACTTACCATCAGGTGAACAGCCTGCTCGTTTGGCAACTTTTCACATAAAAAAAAATATTTTACATTTATAGACACCATATGTTTGATATATTAAGATTTGAAATTTAAATTGTTTATAGTGCTAATCTTTGCACTTAAGATTGTACATTAAAATTTGTAGAAAAAGTGTGAAAATGGCGACATCTCTCGTTCGAATTATCGAAAACGATATTCGAATTATCGAAAACGATATTCGAAATTGTCTGGAAAGGATATAACAATAGTTGGCGCCAAGCATTGCTTCAAATGCTAAGAAAACAATGTAGAAGAATGCGTTAAGATTTTCGTCGGTGTGGTAATCAGCCGTTTAGCTCAGTGGCTAGAGCGTCAGGCCGCGAATGCCGAAGACGTGGGTTCGATTCCCACAGCGGCGACAATCTTTTCGCACTTTTTCTACATATTTTAATAATAAGATTTATTTAATTTATAATAAGATGGAAAAAAAAGAAAGGAAAGCGGATAGGGCCGCTGCCTGGGGGCCGCCAGGGCACGTCTGGAGCTGGCGCTGGACGTGGCAGCATGCGGGACGCCAGCCGAGCGCGGGGTACTGCACGACCACCAAGCAGTACCTCGCATCCATCATCCCCACCAGTCGGCGTGGTGTCGGCAGGATCCTCTCGGATCCAGCAATCGGCACCCGCCGCTGGTGGAATACGCCGCTTGCGCTGGACGTCTGAAATGAATCAGAACGCAATGCGGGCGTATTTTAGGGCAAAAGGGAGTGAAACTGGAGGGTTTTTGCGTATCGGGCAAGGATGCATCGCTTTTTTGCTGAGCTGGAGCCATCTTTAACCGTCACGGAGCAAAACCTAGCAGACAGAGTTCGGTACATCATGCGCTCAAAAATATTTGATGATGCCGAGCTCGAACGACTTCGACGTGAGGCTCTTCCCTCATCGGATGAGAATGCAGTAGCCGGAAATGCGACCCCGCAACCTGCGGATCTCGTAGGGTTACAAGCGGAAGCGGTGGCCCTTTTTTACCCCCCGGCTCCTGTAGATTCGTGCGATGATGGAATAGTCGCCCAAGAAATAGAGCAGATGAGAAGTATATTGGAGGAGGCAATTCTGGAGGTGCGCGAAACGCCTCTCGAGTATCGACCACGTCTCCCCCGCATACCTCTAAGTAAGCTGAGTCGGTCTGTCGTGAGGTCTCTTAACCCGATGCTGGCACCTTATTTGGAAGCTAGCCGGGATCTTTGCGATACGGACTCAATTCCCTTTGGCGCTGCACTGGCGGTATGCCGAATCGTTGGCGCCAAACTTCCCAAGGCTGGACGTGCTACCAGACCAGGTAGCACTATCCCAGCATGGAGAAGAAGAATTGAGGACCGTATCGCAAAGGTAAGGGCCATCATCGGCAGGCTGATAAGCTTCAGGTCGGGCAATAATAGGCCCAGAATTGTGCGCACCGTTAGGATGGCGTTCGCTGGGACCAACATCAACTTGTCCCAGCCAGATATTACGCAAAAACTAACGGAGCGCATATATGACCTGAAGCAGAGGATCGCTGCTTGGGGGAAGCGGATTCGGAGATATACCGAGAGGACGGCGCAGACACTGTCGTCTTCTGGCGCAGCCTGTGGTCAGAGCCCGTAGACCACAGCGAGGGCCCTTGGACACAAGTCGTGGCGAGCCAATGTGCAGATATTACACCCATGGACCCCGTCGTCATAACACCCGACGACGTATCTGAGGCAATCCGTAGAGCCCCGAACTGGAAAAGTCCGGGACTCGACGGGCTGCATCACTACTGGCTGAAGGGGTTCGTGGTGTGTGTCATGCTGTGCTCGCCCGACAGTTCCAAGAAGCTCTCGATCAGAGGTCACTCCCGAGCCTCTTTACTACTGGGGTCACTCATTTGGTTCCTAAAGATCAGGTTACCACAGACCCGAGTAAGTACCGCCGCCCCATAACGTGTCTACCTACCATCTATAAGACACTGACATCTATTCTGAGCATGAGAATCACCCGGCATATTAATATGAATCGGATTATGTCTCGTGCTCAGAATGGATGTCGGGGCGGTGGTCGTGGAACCAAGGAACCACTTCTCATCGACGCGGTCATTGGCAAAATGGTTAAACGCAACCGTCGGAACTTCTCCGCCGCCTGGATAGACTACAGAAAGGCGTTCGACTCGGTGCCCCATACATGGCTAAAGAGGGTCCTCGAACTGTACAAAGTAGACTGTACAGTAAGAGACTTCCTCGGGCACTGTATGGGGCAATGGAGTACGATCCTTTGTCATCTAGGCGAGCGGATGACGGCTGCGGAATACCGGATAAGGATACGACGGGGTATTTTCCAGGGCGACTGTTTGAGTCCAATATGGTTTTGCCTCTCCCTGAATCCTCTCAGCGTGTTACTGGAGGGCTCGGGGGGAGGCTTTCAGCTTCGGAGAGGAGGGACAAAAGTGACCCACCTTTTCTACATGGATGACCTCAAATTATTCGCCTCCAATCGCTCCCATTTGATGGAATTGCTTAAAGTCACTTGTGATTTCAGCAATTCTATCAAAATGGAGCTTGGGACGGATATGTGTGCGGTCCTCCATGTCGAAAGGGGTAAGGTCGCTAACACGGAGGGCATAAATTTATCTATGCCCGTTAACATAAGGACCCTCTCTGAGGCTGAAACATACCGATACCTGGGTATGTCACAAAATATGTGTATCGATGAGGCTGGCATGAAACAGTCAGTTCGTGACGTGTTTTTTGCACGCCTGACAAAGGTGTTTAATAGCCATTTTTCAGGCGTGAACAAAGCACGCGCTTTTAACGGCTGGGTCATGCCAGTCCTCATGTATACCTTTGGCATACTCAGGTGGACTCAAACTGAGCTCAACGCCCTGGACCGAAAAGTCCGCACAACTATGACGTCCCACAGAATGCATCATCCGAGATCGTCAGTGATGAGGCTGTACCTGCCGCGGAAGCATGGCGGGAGGGGCTTTTTAAGCGCCCTCACCATGCACAATCGCGAGGTGTGCAGCCTCCGTAACTACTTTCTGGCGAGATCGGATGAATCAATCTACACGGACGTCATTAGTTGCGATAAAGGACTTACCCCTCTATCCTTAGCCAACGAGCAATGGCAGGACCCGGGAGTACTGAGCGTTTCCGACCGAGAGACCGTATGGAAAGAGAAAGAGCTCCACGGGACGTTCTACAAGGCTCTACACGAGCCTTTCGTAGATACCGTTGCCTCCGTTAACTGGCTACGTTTCGGTGACCTCTTTGGGGAAACCGAAGGTTTTGTCTGTGCGATACAGGATCAGGTTATTAAGACGAACAACTATCGGAGATACATCCTAAGGGATGGCACCGTCGACATCTGTCGAGCTTGTCGCCATCCCGGGGAGTCGCTCCGGCATGTTATCTCCGGTTGTTCCATGCTTTCTAACTCTGAGTATCATCTGCATAGACACAACCTAGTAGCCAGAATTCTACACCAGGAGCTCGCTCTGAAATACGGACTCGTGGAACGGAAACTGCCGTACTATAAGTACTCTCCGGAGGCCGTGCTCGAAAATGACCGCGCCAGGCTCTATTGGGACCGGCCCATCATCACGGACAGGACGATTGTCGCGAACAAACCCGACATCGTGGTGATGGACCGGGCACAGTCGCGGGTATTTTTGGTCGACATTACCAATCCATATGAGGAGAACCTCGTGAAAGCCGAAACAGATAAGAAAACAAAGTATCTGGACCTGGCTCACGAGGTGACCGACATGTGGGGTGGTGTGCCGACCGAAATTATCCCAGTAGTCGTGTCTGCGAATGGGTTAATCCCAGTCAGCCTCTCCGAACATCTGAGGCGACTGGGACTCCGGGACGGAACGCCCCAAGCTCAAATGCAGAAGGCGGTGCTCCTCGATACCGCCCGCATCGTCCGCCGGTTTCTCTCCCTCTCACCCTAACCCTCGGCCGTTTGGTCTCCCCTGCGGAGGGCTTCCGTCTGGTTGGATCCTATTTATTTATGTATTATATATAATATTTATATCTGTATATTTATTTTTATTCATAATATTTATTTTATATATGCAATATCTATTTATATGTTTATTATTTATCCCCAAACCCAACCAGACGAGAAAACAAATAAATACCCCCAAGATTTATTTAAATATTTGAATTCAAATAAACAAGACAATCTGAAAGGATTGGCAAAAAGAGTTATTTCGAACCAACCCCTATTAAATATCAAATGTGTGGTGAAGAACATGTTACACTTAATTCTTCGATTAGGTAAGATTAACTTTATGAAAACTTTATTAAAAAAATTTACCTTAAGTAAACATGCTATATAGAAGATAACTTTTTAAAATTATATTAAAAGTCAATATTTACAGAGTTATTTAATTTTCACACAGCATATGAATTCGTTGAATGTCTTTAAAACAGATAAAACATACTGTTAGAAGGATAGACTTATAACACAATTTGTTGCAATGAATGTATAGGATGTAACAAATTTTGTTTCTTTTTCATTTAATTAGTTTCTTTAAAAATATTTTTTTCAAATTATGGATTTTTAACATTTATATTTTTTTATTATTTTTGGCAAGTAGCGTTAGAAGTTTTTAATTAAGGTCCAGGCTGGTTACCTGGTGTTAACCATGCTGTATACAGGGATCACAGGGCAAAGCCTGACTTTTCTTATAAATTCAAAAATATGTACATAACTTTTGGCTGCGTCATAGGAGACTGAGCACACCCTGAAGTTGTTAGAAGAGGTGCTGGTGGGCACAGAGTGCGTGTTCATCATGGTGTCGTCGCACGGCTACGAGCGCGCACCGCGCTGCACAGACACCGACATCAGATGCTCCGACGGCAAACTCATTTCCTTCCTGGACATCGTAGACCGCTTCAGCAACGCCAACCTCCCGGCCTTGCGCGGGATACCCAAGGTGTTCATCTCGCAGCTGTGTCGGTGAGTGCCAGTGATCTTTATCTCACTTTGTCTCGACTACCCGCTAAACTTGCTTTAATTTATATCAGTCCCGAAGAAAATCCTCATGAAGTCAGAGCATATTTCTAAATAACATAAAAGTTACAAGTCCAGAACATAAGTTATTTAGATGCGTCGCATAGCCCGCGATTATAGAAAACAATTTATCAATATCTCTTTTGTTAACTTTGAAAAATGCTTTGAATCCCTTCTGTTCACCAGCTAGCGTGTTAAATTATTCGTAACAAAATAATGCGCAGCGGCCGGCTGGAGGAGTGGGTGATGGCGCCGCGCGACGGCGGCCGCGTCGGGCGCAGCGGGGGCGGCGGGGGCGGCGCGGCGGGGCCGGCGGGGGGGCGCGTCGAGCGCGACGGCGCCCGCTGGGAGGAGGCGCGCCACGCGCAGCCCGACCGCGTCTACTCGGACATACTGATCGCCCACTCCACCGTGCCAGGTGGGTGTCTCCCGGTGGGCATGCTAATGCGGACGGACTGTGCAGCGCCACAGATCGGATAAAAAAAGAGCTGGTCATATGTATGTTTCTAAAGTTGTCAATTATAAATAATGTTTTTTCTAAGAAATTGAGAAAAATCGATATTCAAAAATTCATCTTGATACCTATTCCGACAAAATTTTTTGAAATATGTATGTATAAGAGATTAGTTGATTGCTATAATAAATATCAGATAATTACAAGTGAACAACATGGACTTTAAAAACACAAATCGAACTCTATTACCATGTTTTTAGTAAAAAAATATGTAGTAACTTAAAGAAAGCAGAAAAAGCACAATTATTATTTAATCTCTAAAAGATCTTTGATTTCCTTACACATTATATATTATATCACAAAATTGAGGGTTCTACCTAAATTTTTGTATCATGTGAAATGAAATCAAAAGCCTTTTAAGGAAGTTTTAAGAATTATCCTTTGAGGACTCATACCTAACCTTATATCGTGTTATTGTTAAATTGTGTTATCTTTGATGAAATAGACAAAAACAGTAACTTGAAATCTCATTCATCTGCATATAAATATAAGAATATTTTTTAATGTTTAGGATGACACAGCAATCAAAACACAATTGAGTTTCTCTGTAATTAAAGATTTATTGTAAGATTTTGAAACTATAACAAATAATAATTAAAATAACAAAAATAAAAGATTTTACTATTAAAACTTTACCTGTAATTAAAGAAACGACATTTAATGTTAATAATCACAATGTCGATTCCTAAATCACTATTTTACTTATTAAATATCTTTGTAATCAGATTATTTTCATGAATTGCTTCATATGACAGCTTAATTCTTTTTCTGTTATAATCCGGCGTACAAACATAGTTTTTAAAATAAATTTTATCAACGGCCGGTGCGCGAAAATATTTAAATTAAAGAAAATATTTAAATTAAAGAAAATATTTAAATAAAAGAAAATAATATTTTTCTTTACATCTCCCCCTCCCAGAGAAGATAAAACATAAGAATATTTTGTAAAAAACTCCTATAATAAATGTACATAGATTTATGATGGACAGCATTCCTTTAAATACTTTTTAATCTACTAATAACTGCTACGCATGAGACGTTGCGGGTACAAGCTACAATTAATAAAGTTTTGTCCGTTTGTCAGGTTTCGTGTCGCATCGCGACCCGGATAGAGGCTCCTGGTACGTGCAGGCGCTGTGCGAGGTGTTCGCGGCGCGAGCCCACGACTGCCACGTGGAGAAACTGCTCACGCTCGTGGACGAGAGGCTGCACGCACACTTCGCGGTGCAGACGTCGTCCATAGAAAAGTGGGGCTTCAACCGCCGCCTCTACCTGCACCCCGGCCTCTACGAGGACTGACCCCGGCCCGACAGCCCTCCGCGCGCAACTGCAACTTAACTCATTCATATCGGTGAACCATAGGAATGGACAAACATTATAGTTTCCATTCTGTGATCCTAGCAAATCTCTTCGTCTCCTCCACATACTTCCACGGAAGTCTGTTACAACTGTTGAAGTGTTGAAGCTGTTGAAGTGAAGTATAGAAATGTCACTTCTCAAAACTAAATTTATACACAAAACAGGGTTTGCTTGACCAAACACTCCGTGCCATGAACGGTAAATGATCAATACGTAAAATGGAAAAACGTAAAGTTTTTTTTATTCCGTATTATATATTAACTACGCGCAATCATATGGTTGACTATTATCTCGTATAATAAATACACAATTGGATTAAATGTTATTGTATGTAGAATAATCATTGCAATTGGATTAAATTGCCTTTATATTGAAAACAAAAAAAGCATTCAAATTACATGTGAATTGTTCTTATTTTAATTTAATTCATAGCTTTATTATTATTTTTATACAATTAATGTTAATAATTAATTTGTCAGAAATGTTAATAAAGTAAATTATCAGGCAAATAATTAAACATTATATTTATTGTACAAGAATATTTACAGCTGCCTGAATTGTTACATACACGTTTTTCACTATGTTTGGGTAACAATTAATCAATTCTTATATAACTAGCAATTTGTTTCTTGCATATATATAATTTTACTTATAACTGTACAATCTAAATTAGTGGACATTTTGTAACCATTAAAAATGGCCACCTTATGTATCTAGTAAGGTTTGAAATTACACTTTAATGACATACCTTGGTGCCAACTTTTACTAATAGCGTTAACATCAATTATTACCTATTATAAGAATAGCTCAATTAATAATTATATCTTTATAAATGTAGGATTTTTTACTAGCATTTAATAGATTGTAATTTATTAGTATTGTATATTGTTCTTAATCATTTTTAAAACATTATTTAAGATATGAGTTACATTTTAACATTATATGTAGAGTATTGAAATATGATACTTATTGTTAAACGCACAATGTCCACTGTTTTTTCTAATAATATCAATAAGATAAACCGTTATGGCCGTCCGGATTGTTAAAAGATTAAATAAACATCCTGAAGCCAAGTAGTAATATGGAAAATACTAGATGTGTAACTCTCAAAACATAATTATGAATATACTTAAACTTTTATTAACGCAGAAATACATGAGAAAAAATACCAAGGTCCATTGCATTTTTAACAATAATTTTACTGAACTGTGATAAATTTAGTTTTAATGATGTTACCAGGTAACGGCAAAGATCTGAAGTTGTTTTGGTGTAATGTGCCTACATTTAATAGTACGATTAATACGCAAAAAACATCGTATTTAATATGAAATTATGACGCATAATGTATCTTATTTAAAACATCTTTGTTACATTTGAAGTATTCTCGATCTAACTTATGAAATAAGCATTAACGTAATTTAAGTGTGTTATCGATCAATATTCGTAATAGGAAATACCTCATGTATTTTTCTATAACTTTTAAATAAAATAAACTTTAGTTCTAAATTGAATATTCTTTATACGAATCCAATAGTTAAAAATTTGAAGTTGCATAAGTAAGATTAAGTTAATATTACTACAATTTAAGATATAATTATATCCAAGCTCATCCCTTTCTTGGACGAATAAATTGTAATAGTCCACTTAGTTTGACACATCGCTCGCACACAGTATTTGTTGATCATGCAAATCTTCATTAATTTGTTTTGAGTATTTTTGGCATCTGCATTTTAAATTATCCATTATAACGATGGCAACACATATTATATATGTAGCCCTATGTGTGTTGTAAATTTCAATGGGCGGCAATTGTCACTTACCATCAGTTGTACCGCCAGGTCCCTTGCCACCTCACATAAAAAAAATATGCAAGTACCATAGACTAAGCGGTAAGTGGTGACGCTGGTAAATGCAAAAGTTTAGAACGCCCTGGAGACTTATTCGCAGTGAAGACCAACCGTGGACAAACGCACTTACTAGGGTAGCAAAAAAAAGAACATATGCCTAATATGAGTTCATATAGAATGGAAATCTATCCACTTCTGTCCTCCTAGAACCCTTAGGGCTGTCAATCCTTTTATAAAAATGTGAAAATGTCCTCTGTGAATAATAAATAAATGTGAATAATATACCTACATTTTAACATTCCGGCCGAAGAAAAATAGAAAACAAAATGATGCCTACAAATTTAATGAAGTTAAGACCTGTGCAAATTTGCACTCATCTTAACTTGGGAACTCGATGGATGCAGGTGGCTCAGGATTGTGCTTCGTGGCAGTCTCTGGGGGAGGCCTATGCTCATTAGTGGATTCAGACAGGATGTAATGATGATGATGATACATACAGCTGCATTATTTAAAACAGTGGACTACTTGACTATCTCTCTTTTAGTAAAAGACTACATCTGTCTGTTAATTATTAACTTAACACATTACAGCAAAAGATTTCATCCGTGGTTCACCAGGATATAACACCTGTACCATGAACAAGAAGCGAATTTATCAAGTATAGTTATTTCAAAGGTTCGGTAAAACAAAGCTATACAATAACTAATGTTGCGGTTACTTGCCTTCTGTATTAATAAAATCAAAAGCAACATATTAATTTATCAGTAATATAACCATGAGGTTTTTATATTAATGCTATGGAAAACAAGTATGGTTGTTTTCAGTTTAAATAAAATGCTTTGGATAATAATAAAAGTTAGTTTATTCGGATAGAACAATACATACAAAAATATAAGAATGCCACTATTTGTGATGAAGTTACTTTTCATCTCATAGTAGCCTATTCCAGATATTTTTTTAAACTTTTACTAAAATAACAAGAGAAATGAGCACATACTAACAAGTTAGAAAAAGATATCGTAAAAAATACGTTATTGAGCTTTTTAGTGGAGAATAAATATATTTGCTTAAAAATATTCAAAGCAACAACAAACATTAGTTGAACGAAATAATTATACTGTCATGAAACAGTCTTCGTTCCGATGGCCAACCTATTAACAATTAATAGCGTAAAGCGGGTGTTTGTGAGGGCGCGCAATCGCGGCGCTACCGATCTGAAATGGAGGCCATTATAACGCTGAACTTGCTCAAGTTCAGCCATTGCCGGACACACTGCTGCTTCTTATCGCCGTTCACATATTCGTGGCATCGCAGCGGGGGCTTTGTGCTCTCAATGTTGAACAATATCTTTCTGAACAGATAGGCATACTCGTCAAATCTTTCCAACCAGCGCTGCATCGGGTCTATGAGGGAGCTGTGGTACAGCCAATTGAGCAACGGGGTCCTGCACCACCACGGCTCGAAGGTCTTCCAGTCGTACTCGACTAAGGTGTCGGACCAGCTCTTCTTGGTCTCGGCGCGCTCCTGGTACTGCAGCCACTTGGTGCAGCACTTGGGCTTGTCGAGCAGCGGGTCGTCCGCGTCGAGCGTCGGCAGGTCGGGCAGGAGGTCTAGCGTGGCGTTGGCGAGGTACGGGGCTGGCTCCATGGTGGGGTAGATGTGTTGCGTCATAATATTTGTGTCGGCAGCGGGCAGGGCGGGCAGCCAGGCTCGAGACACGAACAGCGTGGAGGTGAGGAGTGTGACGAGGCTGGCGAGGTAGCCGAGCGCGGCGCCCGCGCAAACCGTGGACACGGAGCGCGCCAGAATGGCCAGCAGCTCGCCGTCGCAGCTGGCGGCCAGGTCGCCGTACGTGAAGAAGCCGCGCAGCGTCGCCTGCCGCAGCGCCACCTGCCGCTCCAGCCACTCGAGGCCCGCTTCGAACGACCGCTCGTTCACGTATACGTTCCAGTCCTGCGCAAAGACGTCAGCTCTAATCACATGTAAATGTAATGTCTTATACATTTTTGAGGGTACTTACGATGGCGTTCAGAAATTCCACTTCCAGCTTCTTCAGCTGTTCCAACTCTAGGCCACCAGAGGCTGCCCACTCGGAGCAAATCACCTCGTCATCTTCCCCGTCGTCTTGAAGAAATTTGTTGCTCACCATCTAGACAATTATTAAGAGACAGATCATTTAACTTGAACCCAAATATGTTCTCAAATTATACAAAATGCATGGCATTATACATAATGATCCACACTAATGCACACTTGTCACAGCACGGAGACAAGTGCGCATTAGCTATCTCAGTCCGAGTCTAGAAGATCTGCGGAGCCATCTCCGGTGACAGGTAGCGCCTCACCAGGGACACGAGGAAGAGGTCGGCCGGTGCAGCGGCGGCGAGGTACTCCTTGTTGCAGCACTTGAGGCGCTCCAGGTACAGTATGGCGAGGACGAGGGCGCACGGCGACACGCACGCGCTGCGGGCGATGCTCGCTGCCGCGTCCGCGCGCAGCCGCCGCAGCGAGCGGCCGCGCTGCGACACCGACCACAGGTCGCATGAGATCTCTGCAAAGTGCCACCGCTCTCTTAAAGTTTGGGTGCGTCATAAAACAATCTTCAGGGTCGGGGTAATTTTGTGTCCTCCATGATTTCACGTTTGTGAGATTTACCGCAAAGAATTATCTCTTCGCGCAGGAGTCCGTTCATAAAAATGCAAATAGATATAAATGGAAAATAGTTCAGAATGTGATGGAAGGCATTATACAGCGTGTCGTTACAACCGCGACAATAAATGAACACACGTCTAACACTACTGGCCAATAATCATAAAAAAATATAAGCGTTAAAAAAATCCATAATTAAAAAAAAAAAAATTCACACAATCTAATTAAATAAAAAAGAAAAAAAATTGTAACATCCTATACATTCGTTTCCACAGCGTCGCATTACAAATGTCTCCATCTAACAGTATGTTTTATCTCTTTTAATTCATTAAACCCATTCACAGTTTTATACGTAAGGATGTTCTAAAATTGCTTGTTTTGGAAAATTTAAAAAATCTGTAAATATGGATGTTTAAAAAATGTAAATGTTTAATATAATTTTTAAAAGTTATCCTCTATTTGTGTGTTCATTTATTGTCACGGTTGTAACGACACCCTGTATATCTTTAATCTTAATTTTAAATATATATAAATGTTTATGCCCAAGATTATGCATTCTATTGAATCTATGGCATGTTAACACCTTATTTAACACTGTCAGTATTATCATTGAGGTAATGATCCAATTTACTTGAGTTGGTTGAAAACACACTTCACATCATTAATTATAAGCCACAAATAATCACCTTAAAACCACAAATGGAAAAAATAACTGTTAAGCATCACCACAAATAAATTGTTAGTCCAAACTAGTTTTCTTTTCTTTGTTTATGGAGAACATGTAAAGAGTTAAAGAAATGGAACTAACAAATTTTTGTAGTCCAGATTAATCTTATCTAGTACTTACTAATCAAACCACTTTTACTTGCTTCAGTAATGGGTTTTTGAATATATTAACACAGCCATTTTAATTATAATTATTAGTGATGGCACTTACCAGTGACAGGAAGACTCAAACATGGGAGGTTCGGCAGTTCGCCATAGTACAGAGTTTTGGTTATTCGTTTCAAAAACTCATCATGATCCCCCAAAGTCTACAAATATATGATAAGTATAAAAATGTGTGTATAGTTAGTTAAAAAGGTGGAAAGAAGATTAAAAAGAGAAACTCATTATTTCACGCTTTTATACAGTCAAATGGAACATGAAATAATGGTGTATACATTAGTATTCACATGTTTTTTAATGCCTTCAATATATTTTTAAAATAGCATTTAAGACATAAAACAACTTGCAAGCAATTAGTTCTATTATAAATATTCAATCACATTTGACCAGCAACTTTATGATTTATAACAGAAATTATATTACTTTGATACTTATTATAATTTCATAAAGTAAATTGACAAACTAGATTTTTCACACATATTATAACCGGATGATAAAGCCACATTTGCGATAACTCCATCGTACCATACCGTGTTTTTGTAACCTGTTCATATTCCTGAAGATATGGAAGTATTTACTTGTGTAATGAATTTGAGTGATTGGCTTAAAAACAAGTGAAAGTGGTGCATACTGCATAGCTTTCTAACACTATGATAGAATGCAACAATATTTAATACCCCATTAATGTTTTTGACCTCGATGTGCATGACCTCTTTTTTACCTTGATCTTGGCCTTTGAGCCTTCCTTTCGTCTCTTCGATATATTTGACATAATAAAGCCGCTTGCTTTGTTAGATAGGTTCTTGAAATAAATGGAACAACGCTGTCAACACAAATATTATGAGTTTTTGTCCTATATCGTAATAAATGCGCAAATGCCGTCACTTGACGGCACTTGAAGTTGACGGTAAACCGGTAAAGCAATGCTGTGCTGTGCAACAGTTTTCAGATTTTGACGTTAACTAGTGATGTGTGTTTGGGGGGTAATTGTTAATCTAATTCTAAACACTCAAAAATTAGTGTTTACAGCAGCCAAGGTTTCGAGGCAGTAGGTGGACACGTGATCATCATCGTCATCATTATTTCAGCCTGTTTGAGTTCACTGCTGAACATAGCACAGACTGCCACGGAGTATTGTCCTGACTCCTGAGCCACCTGCATCCATCGACTTTCCGCGCACTTGCACAGGTCGTCACTCCATCTAGTATGCTCAATGCTGTATAATTTGAATATAGACTAAGATAAAATAAAATACAAAAAGATTTGAAAAATAATTAGGATTAAGTTGGTTTTTTATAGGGTAGATTAACATTGTAATTTGAAGAATGCATTAGACATAGATAATATCTAATTCTGCGCAAATACTAGCTATTAGTTGTTACTGTCAAACAAGACATTCAGGAATCTCTATTGATGAGAAAATCCTACCCCTTGAGGATTCAACAGCATTTCTTGGAATAAGCGTTGACTCCAAGTTCGCGATGTGCGACTCGAGTTATTTGATTCGAGTAACTCGAGTCAAACCTTATACGAGTCAACTCGAGTTCAGTTTTAAGCAACTCGAATCAACTCGATCGTCCGGACGTTATACGCGGGGGCCTCACGAGTTGTTCCGAGTTACACACGCGGCTCGCGCGCGCGGTTCGTTAGGCGTTGCAACTCGCATCAACTCGAGTTGAGTGAAATGCAAAGTTACGTTACACGCGCGCGCGCCGTTCGTAAGGTTTTGCATCTTACTCGCATCAACTCGAATAGAACTCGGGTTGAGTCGGGCTCGTTCGGCCAGGATCGGAAACGGAATTGCGCTAATGAAAAACCGCTTTAAAAGTTTATTTTGTTTTTAGATTGACATTTTGTTATTTGATTTTACTCTCGTGCTCTCCGAGTTGGACGAGTCGTCCCCCCCCCCCTCCCCCCTCTGTCCCTTCCGGAGACTTCGATGCGAGTCAACTCGAGTTGCGATTCGAGTCAGTAGCCAAATCAACTCGAGTAACTCGAGTCAAAAAAAAATTCAACTCGTCACATCACTGCTCCAAGTTGAAATGGGGATTTCAAGATAAGTTAGCTAAGAAATTGAGCGCTGACGTCTTTGCTATACGCAAAATCAGGCAGCTAGCTAACGAGGAAACAGCTAAATTAGTTTATTATGCTAATTTTCACAGCATAATGTCCTATTGTGTCTCACTTTGGGGTTCCGCATCCGATTTAGACACAATATTTGTATTACAAAAGCAGGCTATACGGGACGTCTATGCCTTGGGTCCACGTGAGTCGTGACGCTCCCGTCGCTTTACATACTTGAGAACATCATGTATGTACGTAAGAATATCCACCTATTTACGAAAAAACAATCCACATCGCGTCGGGGCCGTGGTGACACTCTGGAAGTACCGAGGTTTAGATTGGCTAAAACCAGAAAGTCGTTTCTTGGAAGATGCATCAACTTTTATAATAAAATAGGTGACATCCACAAACAACTAAGTATAAACAATTTCAATTAGCTACCTTAATGGCAAGGGCCTACTATAATATCCAAGAATACATTAAGGACAAGGATGTTTGGAAATGACTCTTGCTCTGCACTTGCAAGACCCCTGCTGCTGCTGATTTTATACCTAAATTAGTGTGTATAATTACATCAAAAAAAAATATATAACAAAAAGAATAAGACCGCAGAGTTTCTTGCCGGTTATTCTCTGTGCAGGTCTAGTTTACCGGTGGTAATTTTTTTGTTGACGTTCAATAAGAGCTTAAGTTAGGCCTATATTGAATAAATATAGGCCTAACTTATTATTTTATACAATGCTCTCGTACGCAGTCATCTCGAATATGCTAGTGTTAGTTGGAATCCTTTTTACGCTATTGAATCGCAACGAATTGAGAATATCCAACGTGCCTTCACACGATTTATAGTTTTTCTTACGAGTGGTTTGTCACATCGAAATCCATACCACCAAAGACTTTCACACTATAAGATGACTTCCCTTAATAGCCGAAGACGAATAATCGATATGTGTTTCCTACATCGATTACTTCATGGCAAAATTAAATGCAGTAGCTTCCTCGAAAGTCTCTCCTTCTCTGTCCCACGAACAAATAGACGGAAAACTGGTAATTTGTTTCACGTTCCAGTTACAAAAACAAACCTTGGCCTACAATCCCCTCAAGTTAGATTAATTAGAGAATACAACTACTTAGTTAAACAAATAACCGATGTGGATATATTTAATTGCAGTCTGAATAAATTTAAAAAGCTGCTTACAAAACTGTATGTTAGTCATTATTTCTATTTGTAAAAATTTTCAATATTTTTAACGTATATTCATATTACTAACACCCACTTTTTTATTTCATATGTTGTCAATGTTATGTACACCGTCAAGTTTTTATAATCAAATCAACTATGTAAATGTCCAATATATATGATGTGATTGTACTTTAAATAAATAAATAAAATAAAATAAATAAATAAAATATACTTTGACTTTGACTTTGAGACAAGAACTGTCAACTGTCAAAGTCAAACGAAACATAAATTGTCGACCAACGCTTGTTTTAAAGTTGCGATGTATTTAAGTTTTTTAAATAAATAGAAGATCTCATTTTATGATTTTCTGTTTTATAATGGATGACATGATGTTTATTACGTGAATTTGATAATGTCAAGGTTGCAATGTTTACATAAGTTTTGTTGGGCGTGTGTGGGCTTCTGTCATTGATATTGATTTGTTTTATTACGCGAATTCGCGTTCTTTAATGATGTAGATAACTTGAAGAAGCTTATTCACTTTAGGTATCATAGTTTTACAACATGTGTTAATCGCTAGTTTAGAATGGATATGTGTCATTAAAATGAAAACAAAAAGTTTTCTACTGTTTTCGACATCCGTGTTTGCTATAAGTTTATTTCTGATAGTATTTCACTCACAGCCACCGCAATCAATTCAAAATATCGTTACACAAACTCATCAACATATAAAGGACTTTCAGGTAAATATATTTGGGATATGCTTTGTATTCATAATTTAAGCAACCGAGAGCTCTGAAAAAATAACATCTCTAAATGTTTTTTAAATTTAAAGTTTCTACAATTTTTATCATATAAATTTTATGTACAATATTAATTCTGATACTGCCTGTTTTAAGCACATTTTAGGATTCATTTAAAGTCTAAACAATAGGTAGGATGATGATGCTTTAAAATATTTATAACCCTAACAAGTTAATTTCTTAACATGCTTTAAAGCACATAAAATTTTTTTCTGTTTTGGGAAAAGCTTGAACAAGCCTGTTGATAAACCAAGAAATTTTGAATTAGTATAAAAAATTAGGGTGTTAGTTTCTTTAAGATTCTGGGTGTTTTTCGACGTAAAAAAAATTTAATCGGTAAACAAAAATCGTTAATAGAATACTCAAGCAGAATTTGGCGGTCGCTTAGTTTTCGAGAAAAAAAATTTATTTAAAACGAAATTTTACCATTTTACCAATTTAAATTCAAAAACTGAATACACAGTACTGCCAACATGATAAATATAGGAAGTGGGCAAAGATTAAATTTCTTTTAATTTAAAAAGTGAGAGATCCGACTCAGATAGGTTTGGTTAGGAGGTTGAGCCTTAGCCTTCGTGGTTATTTTTTTATAACCACCCAGAAAACTTTAGTGTAATAGTACATTTAGTATTTTTAAAGAATCTTTTTTAATAATGCGAAGGTTATAATTTGGAAAAGTGTGTGAATTCGTAAATTTATACATATGTTGTCAAACACAAAATGGCGGATTTATTTAGTGAAAATAACAAGTTTTATAACAAATTCTGCTTGTTGATTATTTCATTAGTGATTTTTCTTATCCGGATAAAATTTATTTGTTTGGTCGAAAACGCCTAGAAACTGATGGAAATTTTTAGCAAAATTAGTCATATTTTACATGTTTTTAAGTTATTTTACATTTGGTCATACATTTTGGGCCAATGAAATTATTTTAGTGAAAAAAATTTAAAACATAAACACATGGTGTCAGCTTTGTTTCTCTTGCTTTTATCCCACCCATGTGGGGTTTGGCAAATCATGTTGCTAGTGGCATGGGCAAATTTTTTATTACAATTGTCCTGCCTGAACTCAACCCTCCTTGCGATCAATCACCCAGATCTCAAACAACTATTTGTGTGTCACACAATGATTTCAATGAGCTTCAATTCCCACACAGGACAATGTGTGGGAATTGAACCCAATTGAACTGGTGCTGAAACCAAAAACAGCTAAGCAACTTGACTCATCTTAAAAGAGTCCATTTTAAACTCTTGCATTTTACTTTGCCAGCACTATTTAAGTTTACCACAGTACATTTAAGACCATAATATTTGTTTTTCAATTACATAGCTAATTTATATTCATACATTATTGCTTGTATAGAATTTTGTTAAAGAAAATTTTGATGGAAAGATAGTTTTCATCATGACTTAATCCTTACCCATGAGTGTGTTTGTTCTCTGACTTGCATCTGACATAATATGACAAAATGCCAGGCGTGGGTCCCACAGGAGAAGCTGCGCGATGTGGAGTCAAACCACATGGTGCAGGAGGAGCGGTATGCTCAGCTGCTGGGACTCGATGGACGGGCGGAGGCATGGCACAACTGTACCCTGCCCTCGCTCGTGACGTACGCACGCGGCGATGGGCACGCGCTCGCCGTCGCATTCGTGCGCCACGCTGCGCGCCTACCCTACACCGTGCTGCTCTACAACATTGGCCTTAAGCCGTACTCACTCGCCGTGGTTAGTCTAGCTTCTTTATCACTGTCTAACTGGATACGTATGGAACAACACCTTCATCACCTGACATTTGAAACAATGTCCCTGTGTGGACAACTCTAGCTCAATGTGTCAGGAACTAAAGGAAGAATAGCTTATTCTGTTTTGAACAAGTTTTTAGTATATCTTTAAACGTAACTGATCTATACATTAGTGAATAATGACATTGTAATTTGTTTTGTCTAAATTTGTTTTATTATCAAAAGTAGATATTTTTTATTTTAGCATGCTTTCATTAATTATACTTGATCAACCTGAGCTCAATCCCTGGAGTCTGCACCAATGAAGTTGTTAATTTTAAGTGCTGACTTATCACATGCTCAGCTAAGGAAAACATTTTTAGAAAACCTGCATATTTTCAGCCCCACATATAGAAATGCAGTAGTATATTAATTGTACTTTCAAACATTTAATAAAAAGGAAAATCCATAGTTTCGTGGGCTGTTCGACAGGTGTCAAGCTACTGCAACTCGTCGAAGTGTGCCGTCATTGATTTCGATTTGAGCGCCTTCCCGTCGCACGTGAGCGACGAGAGCATATTCGCCATTAGACCTCTCATAATACAGGTGAGATTCCCATGCGCATACGCAATATATACACCCTTTAACTCGCGATTTTGATTGAAATGTTGAATGAAACTATTTTTGATTTTTGAATTCACAACGTTTCGAACCCTTTCCAGCGTTCATGGCGATTTGTTTCACGTTCTAATGTCAGTTATCGTAAATTATTGTAACGCGATGAAATATGTAAAACACTTTCATTTAACCATGTCAATTACTCAAAATCGTGATTTGTTGTATTCGCGTGAAAACAATAAAGCACGTTTTTGACTCACGATTCATGACTGTCACGGCGGAAGCGTTTATTATATAAATATAGGAGATGGTCCGTGTCGCAATGGGAAAAAATGGCGTCCCATTTGTACACTTGGCGATGTACCTCGCCAGGCCTCGCCAGAGTACCTCGGTCATTTTAAGAAAGGGATTGTAAATGGAGGCTCTCCTATTTGCGTCTTACTCACACAGTATTGCCGTCTATATTCGCACGCGCCTGTAAGGACAACATAAAGAATCCATCAGGCTTAGAGGAAATACCGGGAAACGGAGAAGCCTTCAAACGTGAATTAATTAAACAACTAACGTATATTTATATTACAAAAATCCTGCTTTAATTTTATTTTCATCAATAAATTAATTTATTTATATGTAGTTATATGTTTATTACTGTAAAGGCCACTATCAAGGCTGTAGTACATCTTTGAATAAATCCATAAAATCTACCTGTCTTCTAACTTACTGAACTAGCAATAATTTATAAAACAAATTAGCTTTTAAATACCTCATACAATCGAAATTCTGAACGGAATAAAATACAAAAAAAATATTAATTTTCATGGCTATTATACCGCCATTTACAATCCCTTAATCCCTTATACCACAACTACAAGTACTAAGTAATTCGAGATAATAGAGGTTTGTGTTGTAAGATCGCCGGGAATAGAACATGGTATGATGACTCCGTGGCTGAGTTGCCAAGGTATTGGCTTCAGCGTCGGGGCTCGTGGGTTCGATTCCCACACGGGACAACTATTTGTTTGACACACAGATAGTTGTTTCGCATCTGGGTGTTTGTCTGCGTGAAATTTATGTTTGTAAAACGGCCTTACAATACAGGATAATGAAATCCTAAAGTAAGGGCAATGATATTTTTTTAAAAAAAACTCTTTTTTCCCTACTAGGTCCTATGATTGAAAGAGTAATAAATAAGCGTTACGTTAATTATAATGTTAAAGATGTGTTGGGACCTTCCTTTGATGCGTATCTGTTATAAGCTACATTCATTAGATAGACTCGTATCTATAGCAGCGTAATTTCGTTAAAATATTATCAGCGATAAGATAAGCAGTGATTGTGGCGGGCTCGTAAATGTGAAATCTGTAGTAAATATAAGACTGTACCGGTCTTTATGCGCAATTATTGATGAATGATTAATAATAATAGAGCGTCAGGGCGCGAATCCCGAAGACGTGGGTTCTATTCCCAAAGCGGCGAGAAACTTCGTTCCTTTTTCATCGTTATTTCTTTGTTAGGTGTTGCATGCCAATGATGCACACTAGATGACCCCAAGCAATGGTAAAAATGCAATAAAAATAAAGTAGGTCTAATTTCTCTTTTCTCCATTATTCTTTTTTTTGACGGATCGTTAGTTTGGTATCTTCGCCTATGTACTTATGATTTTACGCTGACCTAGTGCGTGTACAAGGTGCAGAGTAAATCATTTTTCTTTGTGAACACTACTCTCGGATCGGCCCTCCTACACACACACGTTCGTGTAAACAGTATGAGCCAAGTTAAGTACTCGATTGGGCCCGACGGCGGCCGTGTGCAGCACGCGCTGAGCCGCGTGGGCGGCGTGATATTCGGCGAGAGCCGGCAGCGCTGGCGCGGCTCTTGCGGGCAGCTGGCGGCGCTGTGGGCGCGCGCGGCCCGCGCCGGCGTGGTGGCGTGGCCGCGGCGCGCGGCCGTCACCTCGCTCACGCACCCGCGCATGTTCGCCTACCTGCGCGCGAGCGCCGACGACTTCCTCTTCGTGCAGATGCTCGACGCCGAGCGGCTGCTGGTGGCGGCGGCGGCGGCCGACGTCATGCGCCCCTGGGTGCGGTGCGCGCTCACGCTCGACTGCATCATGCCCCTCGGTGAGCGCCCCTCCGCGCTTAGTGCGCCCACGGCTCGGTCCTCCGAGAGCTGCGGTGCTAGAGCTGGTGTCGTGTGCGGTTGCAGGCGCGCAGACGGTGGGGTGCCGCTTCGACAAGAAGCCGCAGTACCGGTACTCCGGCTGCCACGCGCAGGACGCGTCGGCGCTGAGCATCGTGCTGGGGCTGCGCTGGGGCTTCGACGAGGCGCGCTACGTGGAGCGCGCGCCGCTGTGGCGGCCGCAGCCCCGCGCCGACGCGCAGACCGCCCTGGCCGGAGCGCCCGCCAACGCCTCCGCGGAGCCGCGCCGCCTCTGAGCGCAGTACTGGTCGCCGTCTCTTTAGATGTCTTATATGTTTATTGCACAAAATGGCTTGGTTTCGCAACGATCGCTGAACAATGTACTATATAACCCCTTTTTTCTTGTAAAATATCGATTAGTCCATGCTACCGAAGTCGCGTTTTAGTGGCCCTCTATTGTAATGTAGGTATGTATTTACTTCAAATTTAAAATTGGCGAAACATCTATAACTAATATAGTATAATCCGAAGCCTATGTCTTTATCGACTACATGAAAAGATAATTTTTTTATATAATTATATTAACAGTATGGAAAATGCCAACTATTGTTGGCAATGTTATATGTTTATTTTTTGCTTTGATATATAAACAACAGATTTTAATATAATTGATAAACATAACGTATATAAAACAATAGACAAATCCAATCGCACAACACTTCACATCACAATAAAGCATTTCTCGGTTGTTTATTTAATATTATAACTTTATCTTGATTTCTAATTTCGAATCATGAAGTATTTATCTATAGTTAGTAGAATAGTTGTTACGAGCCTGGCATTGTTGTAGTTTTTATGTTCAAGTTCACCCTTTGAGGCACTTTGGCTCGGCATTGGCTGTGAGGCAACTTGGGCTAGTTTGCTGAATTTTATTAAGGCAGCTAATGTAATGTATACTGAAATATACACTTTAACTGTAACTTTAGGCATTGTTGGGCTTTTTCTGTTACAGCAAACATAAATTGATCGTTGTATTGATTATTTGAATTTTTGTACGACTTTTTTGTTTTCTTTCCATCTTAGCAATTTTGAATATTTTTATTTTCATTTTTAGTCAATAATTAATTTATGAATTGAAATAGTAAGGATATTTCGTAATAAAGTTTTTTTGTTGTAATAATTATTATTCAAAATTTTCACCAGTTCATGTAAAATCGTAATGTGAGTACTTTTATAGTGAGGTACATTTTTGTTGTTGGCTTTACAACTGGTAAAGAGACGGTAATGTATTTCTTTCTTATGACATCGGACACTGGATTAAATCAATGAAGATTCTAAACCAACCATTATCTAAATAATATATAAATAGGTAGATAAGGTTGCAGATAGTACAGAATGTTCAATTGAAGTGTGTATTATGATAACATTGTCTTGGTAAGATAGAATTTAATGCATAAATATAGAATGTACATTCATAATACTATTAATTTATTATATTATCCTATAGGGATTTTTTTTTGTTACAAGATTATAGTGAACATTTCTGCTGGATACAATATAGGAAAACGATTTACTTAAGACTGAATATTTTTGTGCTCCGAAATGTAACCAAATGGTGTTGCAATATAAATCAAGTACTACCTTGCTCTTCGAATGCGTTTTCGTTTTGTTATATAAAATTTTGCTTTCAATTTCTTATATTACAAAGGGTTATTTTTTTAAATTTTGTAGTAAATTAGATTAAATTCTTTTGAAAAATTTTCAGTGAGCTAAAATGAGCTAATATGTTTCAAATATGATTTGTTACTATTGCCATCATTCTCTGTCGATATCAGGATGTCAGATGATTATTATTATTAAATTTCTATGCATGCAGTCTATTCATTGTTTATTTCAAAATGTTATGTATTTGCGAAAGGGTATTATTTGTACCATACACAATGCACACTATACTATAACAATAACCGTAAATAAAATAATCAATGTCAGCATAACAAATTCAGTGCAAACAAATGTTGCTTGCGATTTGGGTCAAGTAATATAGATAAAATTGATCTACTATGTGCGCTTCACCTAGTCTGGGTTACCTTATTATTGAAAACCTGTTACCAATCCATGCTGTTTAAATATGGGTCAGTGTGAAGCATCCATTAACTGTATTCGTCGATTTCGTAATGAGTGTATACAAATATTAGGACTGTTATAAATATATTATGCTACTGCCCTGGTTCTAGCTTATTGCACTATTTATGCACATAAGATACATTAGGTTTCTAGACCGAAACACATAGCCTTGACAGTCGAATTATATTTACATTAACAACGATATTTTATACTAAAGATATTATGTTGTTAACGAGCCTGGAGTGATGTAAGGAAAACTTCCCAATTAAGAAGTTTTCGTTGCTTCATTCCGATGTAAAAGATGGATGCAACTCGAGATTTTCTTTTGTACTAAAGTGATAAACACTTGCTGCCCAGTGCCCTCTTTTTTCTTATTGCCTTAATTACCCTATCCTTTTACCATTCGAACGAATGTGTGCTGTCACTCTTGGAAATGGGAACAATTTCGACCGGTGATTTTGTACGCGTATAACATTCTATGGTATAAAATATCGTTGTACATTAATGAATAAATTCATCGTCTCTTGATGGCAATTGATACAAAACAAATGTGAATTTCATCTCAAGTGCTGAAACTAGCCCAATACATAAAATAAATCATAGATAATGATAATCCCCTAAATAATGATTAATTAATAAATTATTTCATTTAAAAATGTATGCGTTGAAAGGTTAAATTCAAATAGATGGCTTCATTTAGGTTTCACTCAAGTAGCACAGACTGCTCTGAAGGCTCGTGTTCGTTCCTGTGTAGGTTTCGTGACGCCTTCGAAGTTTACATTACAAATTTCAAAGTACAAACTCATGTGATTCCCCTGTAATGGCGTGACATCGTTGGATCTGCACGCGTGTTTGCGTCACACGTGGCGCATGTCGCTTGTGATTGTGACATGTCGCGTGTGGTGACGTTTGGATCTCATCGTAACTTAGAAAGCGGCGTGCTGCTACGTATCGACCAAATTGTATAAATTATATTTAAGCATTTCAATGTCATGATACGCTTTTAAAGTATAATTCCCTACGTTTAAGTTTATGTTACTTACTTTTTTTTGTAAATTCGAATAAATCCGTTGCTCCAATATCTCTGGCCGCTGCTCTGTTATTGCGTCGTAAGTTTGAAATCGTGTTATGATTTAAGCTACGGCACCCCGAAGGGTCGGCTGGCGATATCGGAGCTTGTGAATAGCGTTGTAAACGTGTTTAGCATACGTTATTTATTTCTCTCAAAGTACGAATGGAAGTGTAGTCACTGTCTGATTCATTGGCATAATAAACGACTACAAATGCAATTGTTGTAATTATTTGCTGCAAAATAATTAGAATCATTAACAACCCTCCACCCCGTCCCTCATATAATTTCTACACAATAATATAAACGTGACGTACTGAGTGGCTTAAAGTATGTGGCTCGTCTCGAAAAACTAAGGCTTAATCAGCATAGTGATATTTACAATTACAATGTTGTCTCAGGAAATAAGATGGCGAGTATGAATTTACATCGACTTAAATATAATCTGAAACTCAGAATAAGCAAGAAGTAGTATTTGTGATTCTTAATACATGATTAAAAACTAGAAGCTAGGGAACAATAAAACGATACATCACAAATGTTAAAGTATATATTTACACAATAATTGAGGAACTGTCAATTTTAAAATAATGCAAATAATATACATATTTTTTTAATTAATATCTACAAAAATATTTTAAGCGCTGACTAGTCATCTTCAGTTTTTAATCGCATAAAAATATTTTTATTACTGTCTATTTAGTTTCATATTAATAAATGTGGTCAGATTAATTTCACTAAACATAAGCTAGTTATTAAGCTACATTTGTACAAACAAATTCACGCTAAGTATTCTACTTGTTACACATACTACAAAAACAATGAGAATAATTAATAAAGTAAAATATAAAAACGATACAAGATTTATAAACCACAAGTTCAAAATTTAACTATTCCCAATGTGGCAATTAAATATCTGCATGGAATAGCGAATGCCTACTTGCTATCTAAAGCAAAAATAAAATTAAATAAAATGTTGATAGAAAAACTGCCCTAGTAGGTTTTGAATCCTTAAAAGTCTCAGCAGTTGCCACAGCATCAGTATTAATCGTATAACACAATGGTCGAACCAGTCCCATTCTACATGAATGCACAGTTAACACCTCTTTCAATCACCATTGCTTGATATGTATTGAATATATCATTTTTACAGTTAACACACTTGAACAATTAAGTCTTGGTTCCTTCTGTTGTGATTTTAATTTTATTTATTAAATATATATACAGCGTGTCTTTACAATCGCGACAATAAATGAACACACATATAGAGGATAAATTTTTAAAATTGTATTAAACATTTACTTTCTTCAAACATCAATATTTACCGAGTTATCAAATTTTCCAATACAAATAATTTTAGAACACCCCTACGTGTATAACTGTAACGTAAAGTTCATTTGTAAAGGGCACAAAGCATATGAATGGGTTGAATGAATTGAAAAGAGACAAAATATACTGTTAGAAGGAGAGGCTTGTAATGCGACGATGTGACAACTAATGAAAAAGTATCAATCAGTCAGTTGTATAGATGTTACAAATTTTGTATTTTTTTTACTTGATTAGTATGAAAAATATATTTTTTAATTATAGATTTTTTAACGTATATTTTTTTTTATGATTGTTGGCAAGTAGCGTTAGACGTGTGTTCATTTATTGTCGCGGTGGTAAGTACACGCTGTATATCAAATACAACACAAAATACATTGAATCTGCAAACAATGACTTAAGTTGAATGGTGAATTGAAATGTTTTAATTAATTACTCTTAAGTGCCATCGCAAATATATTGCATTAAAATTTATTATGTGAGTGCACCTAGTATCACCGTATCACGAATTCACTTCAAAAAGAAATTATAGGTGACAATCATATCGCTTTAATACCTATATCTAGTAATATACTTTGGGCAAAATGTATATGGATTTAAGATGGCAGTAGAACCTTTATGGGAATTTGTTATCATACTTTACATTCTTACCAAAATAAGAGAGTGATCTTATAAGGGTTCCTTTCTTTACTTTTTGAAGTATGGAGCCCTAAAAATAGGATTTATTTTTCAGATAGTGTTTAAATGCATGACCTCTGCTGGTTACAACTAGGTAATTCTTATATTATGGACAAAAACACAAATTTATAGAATAAATATAAAATCATTACTACACTATCTCATTATACCACATTAACATATTTAAAAGAATAAACTTTTTGGTGCAATTTTGTTAAGACATTCAATATAATATGTATACCGTTTCGAGGGGGGTTTGGTGGGCCTCTTCTTCTATATAAAGAATTTTTACTGAAGTTATAGGTTTTTTTTTTATCTAGGAGGCACGTAGATACAAACCTATTTTAGTATGATTCTAATGCATTTATGTTACAATTTTACTAAATGGAATATGAAATATTCTTCTTCTTTTCTTTTTTGGCGGTTTTCACTGATTATGCCAATGAACACTGTTAATTCTCAAACACTGTTAGTTATATTTCATCATATTAAATCAAGCTAAGTTGAAATTATATTAACTCTGCATGACTTAGCAGTGTGAAAATACAATGACTTATCAAATAGCTATTATTATGGCTATTATTATATTAAATATTAGGATTGATGATAGGAAAAATATACTTTAGACCCATTACATTTTTTTAGACATATTACACTTATTAAAGAGAGCTGCCAATGGCAAGATATTCTCATATGATAAAGCATAAGCTAAAATTACAGTAGAATATTACAACTATTAATTCTTAAGTTTAGTAAAATGCCATGTGCACTAATTCACTAAATAACAAGTGATATTTCCCTGATGGAGCCATCATACTAAAATTTGAATTGAATTGAACAAGTAGTCCATGTTAAAATCATTAATAGCTATCTGTATTTAAAAGTGTATACAGTGTGTCGTTACCATCGCGACAATAAATGAACACACATATAGGGGATAACTTTTTAAAGTTGTATTAAACATTTAAATTCTTTAAACATCAATATTTACCTATAAAAGCGTAACGTAAAGTTCATTTGTAAAGGTCACAAATCATATGTATCGGTTGAATGAATTTAAAAGAGACAAAACATACTGTTAGAAGGAGAGGCTTGTAATACGACGCTGTGCGCGAGTTGTATAGGATGTTACAAATTTTGTTTCTTTTTTACTTAATTAGTTTGTCTGAAAAATATTTTTTTTTAATTATGGATTTTGTTTAACGTTAATATTTTTTATGATTATTGGCAAGTAGCGATAGACGTGTGTTCATTTATTGTCGCGATGGTAACGACACGCTGTATAATACAAATAGATTGCTTGGAAAATTATCCAAATGGTATTTCTAATAATTTGTTAAAGGTGTAACATATTATTATTGTAATAGTTATAAAATAATTGGTGTTATGCACAAAGATCCAAAGGTGAAATTCATAACTAATTTTCCATTGAATAACGGGAAATCCGCCAAATTTGCTGGTGTATAATATAATAAAAAATATATATAAATAAAATATTCAACCTAGGTAACCATAATCTGATATCAGTCACTAAGGGAAAATCATATAAAACATTTGTCAGGAATATATCAATTAATCATTACATATACACAAATCATAAAATTTTCAACTAAGACCAAGAATTAATAATAAATCATTCTTGATATTAATTGAAAATGTTTTAATTTAAAGACATAATTTTCATACATTTTATGTTGTATGAATTACCGTCATCTGTTTAATAGCAATTTTAAAAGATTATATATTCATTTATGTGAAAATATTAGAAATTATTCTATATGTTATTATAAAAGTAATGAATATGTTACATTAACATTTAGTTACAAAAGGCAGTACATTTAGATTAAGCTTAGTGAGTGTGATAAAACACTATAGCAAGGTGCATATGCACTAAGGGAATCTAGCATAAGGTAATTATGCAGTCAGATTTGATATACAGGCTCAATAATTGTCGAATGCAGCATTTTTCAACTGTGATAACATAGATTTACTTGTCCTTGCTATCTCCTTTCTTTTCATCATCCTTAAATAAGAGCGGCGTCATACCAAGGAAGCAGCCCAGGGTGATACCGAGAACTCGACCCTGGATTAAATGAAAAATGATATTACACAACAAAAATTAAATAGCCCCCAGTAGATACTTCAACAAGATTTATTTCATAAGCCATATTGGAGCTTTTACTATTCGAGATTCCAGCCAATTCGAAGTTCGAAAATCATCAAAAATGCAAATCAAGACACCTTTATCCAGGTATATGACATAATATAATTGAGTTTGGCGCATGCATAGCTCACCATGTTGGCGAAGCGCCTACTGACGGGCATGTCGAGCTGCACGGGTGATAGTGCGGGCGCTCCGAGGCCGACCATAGCGGCCGCTCGCTCCACGTAGTAGGAGGAACCGATGCCAATCACATCGCTGAACGTGTTGCCCAGCGCCGCAGCCGCCATAGTTGATAGAGTAATGTACGCACTCATGCTGCTCTCTATGCTGTCACCCTAACCAATTGTTCAAACCTTAGCAAAACCTACATATAGATTTATTAGATGATTAGTGGTGATGCTAACAGTTCACCAAAAGATATTTACTCTTGCTTGGGAAAGATGGCAATGAAGTTTTGTCTTCAATTGAACTAGGAACAACTCTAAATGTTGTCACAAAAAAGTTCTTTTTAAAAGAAATTTTAATAAATTTAGTTATATAAATAGTGTAAGGCAACTCTTGTTTGCAGTTGTTTATTTAGCATTATAAAAAGCTGCTGATTATATAGTCTTTACTCTTATCATTTTTACTATCTCATATGTATATGACTGTCATGAATTTTTAATCATAGATGTCAATATTGCTCTGTTTAAAGTAACATTCAAAAATTATATCACTTGTGCAACTTTTATGAGATTTTATGGTATACAAACTTAGGCACAACCTTATCTTAAATTATTATAATCGGTGGTTATAAGAGATGGAAAAATACAAAAAAAAAAGATGACAAAAATTACCCATATTTGAGGTGAAAATAATTCATTGTGTGTTTCATTTTTTATAATAATACTAAGCCAGAACAATAATCATTTTAAAACAACTGATACTTACAGCAATAATCATGATGAAATTATCCAGGAATCCAAACCCAATAAATGGTATGGAATTTGCCAAAGACACTGTAAAGGAAATATATTAATTACATCTAAATTAATAATTTAATTTGATTAACTAAATAACTTGTTTGTATGTATAAAACATCATGACCACCTAGCACTAACTTGTTTTTTTTATGATGAACCAAACACTGAGATCCAGAACAATTATTTATAAGTCTCATAAATACTCTCCTGTGTGGCAATCATACCCACAACCCCCAATTCTGAATCCAATACCTTAGCAACTGCTCCACTGAGCTTGTACATACAAAACAAATATAAATAACATTTTTGTAAAACAATAAAAATATTGCAAACTTACAGTGGAGAAGTTCCTTAGTTGATGGTTTAGGCACAGTAGCAGCTGAGAAGAAATAAAAGTATCAATGAATATGTTCCATTAAACTGATAAATAAGTTCTAAAAGCATGTAAAAATAAACATTTTATCACATTAATAATTGTGTTATTAATAAAATTATATCTCACCATATTTCTTTTTTAGCCAATCATCCGGTACAGGGCAATAAGTGCCTGTAGGATCTACATCACCTAATGTTGGCACTTTACTGGGTCTTCCGAGCTTACTTCTCCATCGCTGTCCAGCAAGCTTATCTGTAAATGCCTATTGTTTTTAAATATACAATTAATTTTACGTCTGCAAAAGTTGTGTAGTAAAGTACCTTCAAATTCTTCTTTGATGCGGTTTGATTCATATTCTTGTAACGCGTTAAACAGGACTTTCCTTTCTTCATCATTTAAATGAAGGACAAGTTCTGTAGCATGTACTTTAGTTAGTGGACCCGATATTTGTGTAGGTTCTTCAAAATCTTTTGATGTAGGTCCTAATCCCAAATAACGAGCATTAATTGAAACTATTTGTTTTAACTTTAAGGATCCTAAAGTTGCACTATAACGTACTTGAAATTTCGATAATCTTTTGTGACAACAAGTATTAAAATAAATAGCGGACGACCCACAAAACCGTTTCATAGCTTGTATCGACTTCATTATTTATATTTCTAAAAAGGTGAGACAAATCAAGAATAATAAACAATACAAAAGGAATCGGTACCTAATCACGGTTTTGACTTTTGTTTCAGATTCAGGCATAGATTTTTTTTTTTCTTTTTATTGTGGCATTTTGTTATCCTTTATGCCAATGACAAGTAAAAGGAAGGAAACAGTGGTTTTGTTGAAATATAAATTTATTTCAACAGGACTAGGAAGCGGAATTTGGAAAAAGGAAAATAATCAAGAAGATTTACGATACATATATTCAATGTGATAAAGTATTATTAATTACAGAATATTTAGTTTTATTAATATCGTATTTACACAAATACACATAATATATATACATATATACACACATATATATGTATATATATATATATATATATATATATATATATATATATATATATATATATACCCATATATACACACATACATACGCATACATTTATATATATAAACCTATTAACCAAATTATACTATAGTTTTATAGCATTTTTCTGAATAAATGAAGCTAATGTTTTATATACACAAGGGTCGTTATATGCTAAAAGGAATGGTATATTAATAGGAAAAGGTATCCGGAGCAATAGAAGATCAGTAAAAAGAGAGGAGCGGTCATATAATGGGCAAGAAAGGAAAATATGGTTCAAATTTCCTTCTTCCGTTCCACAAGCACATAAAGAAGTATCTACAACATGAATCTTAAACAGAAAAGACGGAGAACAGCAGTGACCTAATCGCAAACGAATTAAAGAACTAGTACAATATTTATTTAAATTGACTTGAGTGTACCAAGGCTTATTTGGAATTGTCGGTTGAATTGAGGAGTAGAATTTTCCTTTCACTAGGCTAGGAGATGTCCAGTAATGTTCCCAGGACTCTTTCAAATATCGCTTCGACAAGGAAAGAAGATCGTGACAATAATTAGTGTAAGGATATATATCACCGCTTAACACGGCTTCATTTGCTAACTCGTCTGCCTTTTCATTTCCTTTAATGCCGCTATGCCCGGGAATCCATGCAAAAACTACTGTAATGTTTTTAACTTGGCATTTGTATAACAATTTTCTTATTTCTAAAATTATAGGATATTGGCATTTTGATTTAAGCGGAAAATGTGCTAATGTTTGTAAAGAACTTAGAGAGTCCGTAAAAATTATAGCTTTACATAAGTTTGTTAATAATATATATTCTACTGCGCGAAATAGACCAAAACATTCCCCAGTAAATACTGATGATTCAGGAGGTAATTTAATTTTTTGTACAATATTATACTGAGAATGAAATACTCCAACCCCAACACAACTATTATTGGTATGTTTAGAAGCATCACTATATATATAGTGCCAATTCTCCCAGTTATTTTCAATAATGAATTTAAAAGCTGTATGAATCTCTATTTCATCTTTTTTTATTCCAACATTTAGTGTTTTTATGGAGGGTGTAAGAGTCAAGATTTTATAATCGGTTTCAAACAGTGGAAGAGTTTTGGAACGATACATGGGGGCTTCAATAGCAAGATATTTTTGGTAACTTTTAACAAGACATGGCAATTCCTTGAGTTTCCAATACGAATGAATTAATGACTTGACATAAGGTTTTGTAGTTTTGTTATTATTAAAGGATGGTTTAAAAATTGTAAACAACGAAACAGGAATCTATCAGCTAAATATTGTCTTCTTAAGTGGAGCGGCGGATCTCCACATTCTAATTGAAGAGCATTAATGGGACTGGATTTCATTGCACCAGATATTATTCGTAAAGCTTTTGATTGAATTAAATCGATTTTTTTAAGACCAGATGCGTTACAAGGTTCCAATAAAAATGTACCATAATCTACAATGCTTCTAATGATAGCGTTGTAAACTAACTTTAAGGAGATGGGGTGCGCACCCCACCATACACCAGAAAGGCATCTTAACATATTTAGTTGACGTTCACATTTTGCTACTACATAATCGAAATGCGGAATGCCAGTAAGTTTTGAGTCCAATATTAGACCTAAAAATTTTGCATTATTCTTAACTGGAATTGGACTATTTTTATAAGAAATGTGGATTTTTGGAAGAACACGTTTTCTGGAAAATACTACAGTGGTACTTTTAGAGGCAGACAATTCAAGACCATTTGATTCACTCCAAATACTCAATAGACGCAAAGAGTAATTTAAGCACTCACAAGCTTTATGAGCAGATTCATCCGAAACATACAGAAGTAAATCATCTGCATACTGTAGAATATTTGCAGACCCATTAAGGAAATGTTCTAAATCATATGTGTATATATTATAGAGTAACGGACTAAGAACAGAGCCCTGGGGTAATCCTTTCCAAGTCGTCCTGGATATTTTATGTCCATTTTCTAAAAAAATATGTATAGTCCTCTCATATAACATGTTATAAATGAAGTTAATGAATATTTTTGGAACTTTTAAATCAATTAATTTCTGCCGTAACAGATGCGGAAGAACACTATCATATGCAGAATTTATGTCTAAAAACGCAGATAGAAGGAAATTATTATTTGTGAACGCCAGTCTTATATCAGTAGTTAAAATACTCAAGCTATCTATCGTACCTCTTCCTTTCCTAAAACCAAATTGACTGCTTGCTATTATATTTTTATTTTCAGCAAGCCATTCAAGCCGGTTTTTCACTAAATGTTCTGCAAGCTTACCTATTACAGATGATAATGCTATTGGCCTGTAAGATGTGGCCTCAGTAGAAAGTTTCCCGGGTTTAAGAATAGCAATGATTTCCTGTGTTTGCCAAGACTTTGGTATATTGCTAGTTGCTATTATGGAATTTAAAAGATTTAAAAAGTAAGACAAAATTTTTTCGTCTAAATTTGAAATAAAAGAGTATATAATACCATCCTCCCCAGGGGCAGAATCCTTAAGATATGATAATATGCCTTTTAATTCTGACATAGAAAACTGCGAGGCTAATTCGGAGTGATCGTTTAAATTACACTCTAAATTTGGGTGGCGAAATTCTGGAGCAAAAGGGGGGGCAAGTCGGTCTGTAAAATCTTCAGCAAGATCTATTGGAAGAGATATTGAGGGAGAACTAATTTTACTACATCTGAATCGTCTGATATTTTGCCAGAGAACTGAAGGATTAGTATTAGGAGAGATCGATGAACAGTAATTTTTCCACCCTTCGATTTTCTTCATCTTTAAAATTTTGTGTGTGTTGGTACTTATAACTTGAAAACTTTCAAAATTTTCTGATGTCATAGATGAACAATATTGTCTTTCTGCAGTCTTTCTTTTTTTTTAACAGCTTCAGAGCATTCTTTATCCCACCATGGCGGGGGTGAAGCTTTTTGGTAGGTATTTTCTTTTAAAGGAAAAGCTTGTTCCGCAGCGTTATTAAGAAAATTTACAAAAGAATTATAGGAGTCAATTTCATAAAATTTTTGGACATCTGGCAAGGTAGAAACGTTCTGTAGTGTGTTGCTTTTGTAAGTATGCCAGCCTTTAGTACTTAATCTGTATTTCATACGTGAACGCGGAACTTTTTGATTTGGAAGGTTATAGAAAGGAAACGAAATAATTATTGGAAAATGATCACTGCCATAAGTAGAAGACAAAATGTCCCACTCTAGAACAGAAGAAAGATTGGGAGTACATATAGATAAATCTACAGCACTCACACTCTCATTCGGTTCTGTACGTCTTGTCGGCTTTGAAGTATTTAGAACACATAAATTATGATGATCAAGGATATCTAACATTAGATCTCCATTAGGATTAGAAAAAGAGCTACCCCAGGATTGATGATGACAGTTAAAATCACCCATAACCAAAAATGGCTTTTTCAGTGAAGATAAGAGATGATTAACTTCATTTAAAACTTGTTGAGATGGGTGAGGAACATAAATAGATACATAACAAACATTATTGTATGAAATCGCAATTGCCGAAAAGTTATCAGAGTGTGGAGGCAGTGGAACATACGTGAAAATAACAGTTTTTTTTAATTAAGATTGCTACACCACCATATCCATCCAATCTGTCTTTTCTATGGCAAATGTATCCTTGCATATTAAATGATAAATTTGGCCGCAGCCAAGTCTCCGAAAGAGAGATAAGGAAAGGATTAAATTTGTTAATCAAATATATCAATTCACTTTTTTTATTAACTATGCTCCTGCAATTCCATTGTATAACTTTGGCTTGATTGTCCATTGTTAAGAATTTGTTTAAGAATATCAAATGTTTGAGCAACGTTGTTCGGTGAAATTATTTTACTTAGTAACAAAGAATTAATTAAAGGAATTACAACATCTGTAAATATATCTTGTTTTTCATTCCCATTGGGTGTTAATGCACATCCGTTAGACGACATTGGCATTTCAAAGTCCTTAATTAGAGCTTGATGAGCTGCTTTGTCATAGCCTTTGTTGAAATGGGGAAGAGGTCGAGTTTTTAAAGAAACTGTCTTTTTATATGAGTTTTTCAATGGTTGGTTAATATGTGATGACAAAGAATGTTGTGGCCTCATAGACTCAGCTGAATATGTGCTAGAGGGAACAGATTTAAGAATGTCAACATAAGACTTAGTGACAGGGGGGAGCATTTTGGAAGCCTCTGCATATGAGATGCAGTTTTGTGCCATGGTCAATTTTATTTGTTTTTGTCTAGCCCATTCAGGACATGATTTGCTAATAGCAAAATGTGACCCAGAACAAAGGAAACAGAAAGCACAGTCATCATCTTTATTGCAAGAGTCACTTGTATGAACATCTCCACACTTAAAGCAGCGTGGTTTGGACCTACATTGAATTTTAGTGTGACCATATCGACAGCAGTTGTAACATTGTATAGTAGGATATGTGTAAAGTTCGACAGATAAAGCATTATAGCACATATAAATGTGTTTTGGAAGAACCTGACCATCAAATGTTATAACTACTGTCTGTGAAGGTTTCCAAACTGGAGACCCATCAACAGTTGTTTTATAATTTAATCGTCTTATTTTTAAAATTTCACCACAACCCATTGGCACAGTTATGTTATTTTTAATTTCATCTGGGGACCATTCAGCTGGCACTCCTCTTACAATACCCATCCTAGTTATGTTGAAGGTTGGAATAAAGGCTTTTAATTTCTGTGTAGACAAAGAAGGATGATTAATAAAAGTGTTAGCATCAGTAAAATTGGAAAATGCAAGGGAAATCTTGTTCCTACCAATTTTTTTTATACTGCCATTGATGATATTCCTAAATGCATTTTTTTTTAGAAAATTGCCAAAGGACACAGGGTGGAATGAAGTACCATCATTAAATGAAGATACTTCTTTTTGAACATGTATAATATAAGGTGATAAGTCACTGTTTTGGTAAATCTTTCTATATTCGACACTAAGTTGCTCGGGCTCTTTTGATTCTGTTGTTACTGGTGATGCAACATTATTTAGAATGGTGCTGTTCTCATCACTATCGCAATGACAGGCATGCTTAGTTTGGTCATTCTTAGTACCAGAATGACTGCTCCTCCTTTTTTTATTGCAATGTTTGCAAATTTTCTGCAAACGTGAGCGTTTTCTAATGATAAGAGTATTCGAGGCATCAGTGTCCATACAAGACTCGCCATTAGAAACTTCTACATTGTACGCAACCTCGGGGACTCCACCCCCGGGATCAGGGGGTTCATTCATTATAATAAAATATATAAAACTTACCTAGGTATAGAAATTAAACTATTACTATTAATAATTAACTACACAAAGTAAAAAAATTACATATATACACAAAACTTCTCTGATTATTATCACTAAAATTAAATAAATGTGATTTAGAGAAAAAAACGCGCGCTTAGCTTTCAAAGTTTCCCGCCCTTTTTTCCAGGCATAGATTATAAATATGATGAAGATCCTTTTACGCTACGTTTTACGTACTATGTTGTCAAAATGTTATAACTTTAAATTCATAAGATCCCTTTCATTTTTTTTAATTCAAAAACATGCATTTATTTCTATTTTATCACACCATATTTTCGTTTTAAGCTCCTGATGTTTGAAGACTATAATTGCTATAAGTTGAACAAAACAATAAACAGCGAAAAAGTTCATACATTACTTTTATTATAATTATAAACTTTATTATTTTCAACCTAAGTTGATTAGGTAATGATTACAAAAAAATGTCATCTGTACGTCTGTACTAAATATACTATTAGCTCGACGGCTTGGACAGCTACAACGTAAGACGTCCATGGTCATTTGTGTGGTGACTTACAGACTCAGGCAGAACTAGTCCCCTATATATAACTTTACTCTTTGGAACTGGTGCACGGTGATGCTGTTAGTCATGACGGAGGACGATATTCGAATTTTGGCGTGGAGCTTAATAGATAGTGGGCCTTATTTTGAGAAAGTAATTTTACGAAAATACTTATAGTAGGATATCGTCTTTAGGTTATGAATAAAGAACTTCACTTCAACCAGCGAACCAAAAGTAAACGCGGTTTTTGTTGCGGCTAAGCAGGGTATCACTGTTCGGCCACGATAATTAATTTATCTTCAAAATCATCATAAAAGTTTATAAAACATATTAAAATAAGCACATTATTTAATGATCGCAACGCAATTAAATATTTACCATGGATTGCGTAACGAAGGAATAAATCTGGTCCGGTTTCTGAAACACATCATCGTAGAAGTTAGCTAATCAGCTGTCAAGTGGATTTTCAAATGTCATTTCCTTCGCCAAAAGGATGGTTAGACTCTTTGAATAGATCATTCTGATCAATAAGAAGATCATTCTGATTAATTCAGAGAGATTAACCATCCTTTTGGCGACTTAAATAACATTTGAAAAGCCATTCTGAAACCGGGCGTGAGTTGTTTCACTTTGTAATGCCAGAGTTAACCCGCGCTACCGTCAATTATTGTAACACGATAAGATCCGTAGTAGCGTCCAGTGGCGTAGCTAAGTGGACAAGGGTCCCGGTGCATAGAGATAAAGCCCCCCCACCCCACTCGTTCTTTAAATATAATAGCATGAATGAAAAGAAATGAGAATAATATAGTGGCATGAATGTATTCCTATTAAATTAAGTATAGATTAAGAGCGTATAGACGTAGGGTTAGAATCCTTGTGTTTAATGAAGAAAAATGGAAATAAATAAACAACGATGCATATTACAATATGAAATGTATATTAGGTATTTAGGTAGGACATTAATTTGTAGAGAAAAGAAATCCGGAAGACGTGGGTTCGATTCCCGCAACGGCGAGAAACTTTTCCTATTTTTTTAATTTAAATTTTATACAAATGACATCAATAAACAATAAACAAATATTCTAATTTTTCCAGTGAAATTCATTAATTTTTACAAATTCGTCTAGAAATTCACTCAAATCCTAGTTTGATCCTGCCTTGTTTTCTATTGCAATTAATTTTAAATGTCGATAACGTTCTTGTCCAATGCTGTTTCTTAAATAATTCGTCATAATCCTCAATTTATTGAAAGACCTTTCTTGAAGAAGGCACTTACCTAGTAAGTGTCTTCTTCTTATTATTTCCTATAACAGAGTATATTCCTTTCTTTGATATAATAATTTCACAAAAATCTTAATTGGTTTCGGGTTGAATATCAGAGTACAATTTTCGCTGTCCCAAGTGCCAAAATAAAATAATATTATGTCATTAACCATGACATATGTCATTAAAGGAAAACAAAATTCAGATTTTCTATTTCGTACTTCGGAGGAAGTAGGACTAAAGAATTTTAGAATTTCCAGTTAATTCCTGTATGGAGAAAATTCCTATACATTTAAAATTTTTAAGAAAAAAGCTTCAAAAACATATGACAAGGAAAAGAAGAATAAGTACAGTGTATTAACAAGTGAACGTTCACAATTGACCATGCACGATGTTGGAGGGTCTAGTAGCTTGGGTATTGAACAATTACCTCGGGAAGTATGTCGAGAACTTGAATACGGATCAACTCAGCGTAGCTTTATTGTCCGGTAACAACTCACATTCTCAAATGCTTCAAGTATTGCTTAAACTTAAATAGTATTTTCTAATCAGAATTGTCAAATGTTTTTTGTGTTTACATAACATTCAATTTTACAATCAATGTATGCAGTTTTACAATCAATGAGTACATGACTGATGAGTATACATAATAGATATATTCATTGTTTGAACACATAAATAAATGTTAAATTTATTTAAGAATGTATCATATGCTATAAAACTATATAGTTTGCTTTTTTATGAAATTCCGAATAAAGTTATTAAATTTTTCTATACTTAACGTCATAAAAATTAAATAACTAAATGTCATAAATATATTCATAAAAATTAAACTTTTTAGGGAAAGTGGAGTTAGAGAATCTTCCTTTAAAAAAGGATGCTTTACGACATTTGGGTCTCCCTGTGGAGATAAAGGCAGGCTTTATAGGAAAGGTGCAACTGCAAGTGCCCGTACGTCAGATCCGTTCAGCGCCCTGGCTCATTGCCATTGAAAAGTTATATCTAGTTGCAGCCCCAGTTAACTTAGATGAGGTACGGTTTCTATATTATTCTTTATTGAATGTTAATATTTCATGAATATTTTGTAAATTATAAATTATTTAAAGGCAGTTCTTCATTTTTAAAAATTGGAAGCATTTCTGCCTTGTGTGTTCTGTCAGGTTAGATTAATTTCGAAATTCACAAAGATTTGGTATGGTGCCAATAATTTGTTTTATTAATAATGGTAAGTTTAAAATAGATTGCTAGTCATTTATTTTATTTGGACATGGACAAACTCAAACTCAAACTCTCAACTTGTATGTTCTTATGAAACATTGAATTTTAAATACAAATGAATATATAAATTCGTAAGTTACCACACAACTCAATATTTATTGTTTTAAAAATTTTTAGACAAATAAATGACTTTTTTAAACAGTATCATTTTTGAAAGCAACTAGATCATTTACAACACCTTGGGGTTTGCCAATGCATTGATAACCTTTAAAACAAGCAGGTCCCAGTCTCCCAGTTACCTAATGCAACAGGTGTTATATGAAAGCATAATACTTCCACTTCGTGTTGGCTATCTTTAGGCTGTGGTAATTCCCCAAACAAGGCTGCTCACTTGGGCAACAGCAAACATTGTTGCCGGAACCCCTACAGTAAAATATAAAACTGTAATGCAATTACCATGTATTTCTTATTTTGACCATTGTAGACAAGATAATGTTGATTAAAAAAGTTTTATGAATATAAATATACAGCGTGTCGTTACAACTGCGACAATAAATGAACACACATATAGAGGAAAATTGTATTAAGCATTTACATTCTTTAAACATCAATATTTACCGAGTTATAAAATTTCCCAAATCAAACAATTTTAAAACACCCTTACGTATAAAACTATAACGTAAAGTTCATTTGTAAAGGTCACAAAGCATATGAATGGGTTGCATGAATTTAAAAGAGATAAAACATAATGTTAGAAGGAGAGACTTGTAATGCGACTTCATGGCGACGAATGAAAAAGTCTCTGAATGTATGAATCAGTTAGTTGTAGTTGTATAGGATGTTACAAATTTTGTTTCTTTTTTATTTAATTAGTTTGTTTGAAAAATATATTTTTTTTAATTATGGATTTTTTTAATGTTTTATATTATTTTATCCTTTTATTTTATCCTATTTTATCCGATCCACTGGATGATTTTATGATTATTGGCCAGTAGCGTTAAACGTGTGTTCATTTATTGTCGCGGTTGTGACGACACGCTGTATATATAAGTCTGATAAGAAATCTATGGATGTAATGCTAATTAAAATACTTTTATATTACATATTCAACTTTTAACAACAGTACTTATGGTGTAATGTGGTGAAAGGCAGAAAAATTCTAATCTGTTGTATCATCTGTGTGATAAGCCTTATCACAGTAGGGATCACTTACACTGTCAGTACAATGGTTAAAAATCGCACATGTTACACAATGTTTTTGTATATAATTTTTGCCTGGCAATTTATCTCAAAAGCAACAAGAACTTTTAATCAAATAAATTGTGGAATGTAAATGCTTTTTGAGATTCAATATTTACACTCAATTATACTGTTACGTGTTAGGGTTCAAAGGATTTGGAGAGTAAGACCTGCTGACTCTTTTGAAGACTTTATTTACTAGTACTAGGTCCAACACAAAGCACTAGGTCCAAACTGGTGTTCGTAACAATACATTTCTGATCTGTATAATTTTCACAACTTTCATTTATATTTCAACTACCTTTTTTTTTAATGTGAAAAGTTGCCAAGCGAGCAGGCGGTTCACCTGATGCTAAGTGAATACCGCCCATGGACATCTGCTACACCCGAGGGTTACAGATGCGTTGAACAGCCTTTTGAAAATTGGGCACCGGCTACCTCACTCAACAGACGCAACGCGAAAACATTTGTCATACTTCCACTTTACGCCGATCTTCTGTAAGGTCGTGGTACTTATCCGGACGAGTCTGCCCATTCGTGCAACAGCCGAGGTTACTGCGTGGCTCTACCACAGTTCACCTATATCCCTTGTATAAATACTTTAGTTAATTTTCCAAACCAATTTTCTGCACTCAAGGATATCATATAGTGCTACTTGCATTAAGTTAATTTATTTAAAGTGGAGCCTTATTAATAATAGTGATAGCTCAGTGTCCCGGCGTCCGTTTTTAAGTCTATATACTTGAACAACATGAGTTTAAATCCTTTTGCTGGCACCAATGAAATTCTTAACTTAAATGCTGACTTCATATGTTCAGCGGTGAAGCAAAGAAATCGTGAGGAAACCTGCATATTTTTGAAATAATAATAAAATATTATTTTGACGACATGCCGTGGGGTCGCGTGGGTGACTATGCCCTTTGTCTTTACTTTACTTTTTTTATGAGAATATTTATTTTAAAATAGAGTTAATTTAATTCCCGTTAAGAGCTTGTTGACTTTTGTATATTAATATGTTAATATGTATGTAAATCTTGTATATTAATCTAAACATACACAAACTTTCGAATATTTTATGTTAACGTATTTTTGATGTTTCATTCCATTATTGCGTTGATTTTAATTATAATAAATTGATATTAACATATGATAAGGCATATACGTACATAATTACGTAAACATGGTGACGGCTAAATTTTATTACAAAATCAATAGCAACGTTAAAATTTTTAGATTAGATATTTAAGTGGGGCTTCCAAATAACATACATGATTTTTTTTAGATAATGGTACGGAACCCTTCGTGCACGAGTCCGACTCGCACTTGGCCGGTTTTTTGTAGACGCAACTAGCGAAAGTGATACTGTTATTGTTTCATCGCTGCCATTGTATCGATCACATACTGGCTGAATGTGATCTTTAAACTCGTTTAAGCGAATGAAAAAAGTGTAGTAAAAATATCAGTTTACGTTAGTATCTGGCGAATGCTCGATTGACGATCCACTGGATGATTTAACTCTCCAAGTACATTCAGAAAGAGCTTTGGATGTACCTATGTTGATATCAACATGCTTTGAGTAAAATATTGCCGGAGCCGGATAAATATTACCTCATCTGTTTAATGAACTCACAATCCTCGTTACTAAATATAGTAACGGGTGACGTAATGCTTTGTTTTATCACACTGATAGAACCGTAACAAACTATGGGAATTACAATACGACCTATGTTATAGGTGTCGCCTTCTACAGTTTATAGCCACAGAACACTTTTACTCAAAGAGGTTTGGCTTATACCTTAATGACGCCTTCTAGGCACCATAATATTAATTTATATAATATCGGCAATCGGCTCCGTCTATCGATAGATATGAACTCGCATTTTTTGTTATTCGAGTTTGTTTATGAAATGTCCTAAAGTAATAATTTATTTAAGAATTAAAAAAAAAGTCCTTCGAGTTTTAAGTTTTCACTCCTGTCGGCAGTCCCCATGAGTAGGTCGTAGGTCATGAAATAATTTATCTTAAAAAAAATTAGAGCAATGGCGACATCTCCCGTTAACTACAACAAGTTTTCCTGTGGACTCGATTCGGATCTCATATCACGAGGTGCCCTTGCTTATTTTGATTCAACTTACCGATTATACATACACATTTTACAATCAAATAATATTCCTGCGTGTGTTATATACATTTATTAGATGCAGTAAGCCGGTATTATCTGATATTCCCTCGTGCTTCTGTAATAAAGATAATTGACAACAACAAAAAGAAAGCGCATATGATTACTATATCATGTTGCATAAATGCTGATCAATGAACAAGTTTTATTCATAAATGTCTCAATAATTGTGTACATACATACGCTTTGTGCTGGTTTAGATGGAGTTGTTTAGTCAAAAGACAATCTTTATCCAACGCCTTTCGATTTGCTTTTCCGGGGCAAGAAACATTTCCATTCTTCCGCTTTTGGCAAGGACGCCGTCTGCACCGGTTGCCTCTCACTTTAGGCCATTTCATAGAATCATAACATGATCATATTAGTATATATGAAATATAGATAACTTCGAAGTTATTGGCATTTAATTGTTAATTACAACATTCACGGCCATATTCAGAGATTTCACTTAGCGCTTAACTAGTGAATACTTTTAAAATTTGTACAAAAAGAAGTATTAAGTAAGTAAGTAGTGAATACTATTTACGTTAATCCCTTTATTTGTAAACATAGTCTAATGATTGAAAGGGAAAGAACCTAAATTCACTGTGGCACTTCTTCTGCACGATTCTGCTGTTGCACGCATGGACAGGCTCGTCAGGGGAAGTACCACGGTCTTGCAGAAGACCGAAGTAAAATGGAAGTATAATACTTTCGCCTGGCGAGAGAGGTAACCATCTGCCACCCCTCAGACGATGATGAAGAAAAGGGGCAAACGAGCAGGAGGCTCACCTGATGGTAAGTGATTACCGCCGCCCATGAACACCTGCAACACCCGAGGGCTCACAGATGCGTTACCGGCCTTTTAAATAGGATGAGCGGCGGTAAAACATCATTTGAATCACAATTGCTAACTTATTACATTAAAAAAATGCTAGTTAAAGTGTGACATTTTGATTTGGTGCACATAGAAGTCTACTGTATGCAAAAGGGTGCAAATTTTCAACATGATGCCATGCGCACTCGCAATATTTTTCGCAGCGTGTACATGTTATACAGCATGGCGTTACAATTGCGACCATAAATGAACACACTGTTTACGCTACTTGCCAATAATCATAAAAAAATATAAACATTTAAAAAATCTGTAATTTAAAAAAATATTTTCGAATCAACTAATTAAATAAAAAAAAAATTGTATCATTCTATACAACTCCACATGACTGATTCATACATTCAAAGATTTTTTCATTCGTTGCCACAACGTCACATTACAAGTCTCTCCTTCTAACAGTATGTTTCATCTCTTTTAAATTCATTCAACCAATTCATATACTTTGTGACCTTTACAAATGTACTTAACGCTTCAGTTTTACACGTAGGGGTGTTCTAAAATTATTTGTTTTGGAAAATTTAATAACTCGGTAAATATTGATGTTTAAAGAATGTAAATGTTTAATACAAATTTAAAAAGTTATCCTCTATAGGGGTGTTGATTTATGGTCGCGGTAGTAGCGCCACGTTGATATCGCGTGTATAAATACTTAACGGAAAGTAAAACAAGCTCTTAAGCCTTCTAACATTGTGTGGAAAGAGGAAGCTAATGCGATCTGATCTTGCCTTCACTCTTAGCTTCTTTTTAATTTCAACCGTGATCGTCGACTGTTGAAATTCATGACACTAATGGTGGGAAGGGATTCGAAAATCTTAACTTATTATATTTTATTTGCATAAAATAATTCTTGGTCTATCTATTATATCTCTTTTACAGCAGACAAACATGCGCCAAGCCGTGCTTAAATTTCTCTGGGTTCTATTCCCGCCGCGGCGAGTAACTTTTAGTCCATTTTTTCTACAAATTTTAATGTTCAATTTTAAGATTAGCGATTTAAATTTCCGATTTATTCATGGCTGTTTAAAATAAACTGGTGCTTAAAAAGATTACCAGATCGCAGAGTTCGTGGACGAGGGATAGTTAGAGATTGAAACAAGTGTATCAAATGAAGGAATATTCGAGTTGGACTCTTTTTTTTTTAAAACAATGGCGTTACTTTAGGATAACATTATCCTTTGTTGTAAGGACGTTTTACAGACATAAATTTCACTCGGACAAACACCCAGATCCGAAACAACTATCTGTGGGTCACACAAATACTTGTCCCGTGTGGGAATCGAAGCCACGACCCCCGACGCCGAAGCCGATACCTCGGCGACTGCGCCACGGAGCCACTTTGACGACAACACATTGAGACATTGTCGACAGTGGGACAGCGCGGTGGAGGCGCACATCGCGCACGAGCGTAAGGTGGCGCTGCTGGACGCGATGGAGGCGCAGTGGAGGGCGGAGCACGAGGCCAGCGACGCGGGCTACTACGCGGCCTCCTACTCCTCGTGGCTCAGCTACGGCACCGGCCTCCTAGCCAACATCGTGGAGAACCTGCAGGTGACTTCGCGATGAGTGATCGGCAACACGGGAACGCTCTTTTAGCAGGAACTGTATTCTTTATTGAGAATTTGCATTTTGCGTAATGAAATACAATGTAATCATATCTCGTTAGCTGTTCAAGACACTTCACTAAACACTGCAATGGACTATCCGCGTATACTTGTTGGCTGCTGGCTTTCAAGGCTCGGTGATGGTTTTTTTCTTTTAAAAGGGCCAAGCGGCTCACCCGACACCCAGCAATTAACATCGACATCCTGCGTGGGTGTACAAATTCGCTAAAATTTAAATCATTCAATATAGAAGCATGACACTTAATTAATGATTGTCAAAACACTGCCGGTTCGGAAAAGAAACCACTGACCTGAGAAGAATAGGCGAAAGAATCTCAGCGGGACATTGTTTTAAACATTATTTTACAAAGAAACTCATACAACGTATTAAAGTCAACTTAAAAGAGCCAGAATAAATTCATTTCCCGGGTGTGTTAACATTTAAATAATCACTTATATTATAATAGCCTTTAAACAAGCGTTCTTATACATTTTTGTTGAGATTTTTTTTATTTCATTGTGAGTGTTCTCTTTTTTTTTAAGTTTATTAGGTCTGCTTAACTGAATACAATCTAGCATGATTAAAAAAGAAATATACAGAGAAATGTTTTAGGATTTTGCAGGATAAACGTATACATTGTTCCAATTTATGTTTTATTCTAGTATTTATATCATGCACATTATTGTCTTGAAAATTCATTCTTAATTTAATGGACATCCATTACATTTTCAAGTATGTACTGAGAAGCAACAGTTAATATTTTAATCCAAATTAAAAATACCAATCTACTGCGACGGTGGCGTATTTGCGCGAAACGATATTCGACTCGACGCCAACTCGGACACGAACATACTTTACCCGTCCTCAAAATTGTCATAACACTATAACGGGCGCGGTGCGGAGTGAGAGCCAGCGGTGGGTTCCAGCTGAAGCTGAGCGACGTGCACATCCGCTACGAGGACGCGATCACGTGCGCGCCGCACTCGTTCGCGTGCGGGCTCGCGGTGGAGTCGCTGGCGGCGGAGTCGTGCGACGCCGACTGGGCGCGCGGCTTCAGGCTGCTCTCCGAGGCGGACGGCTGCTCCTTCAAGCTGCTGGAGCTGCAGCAGCTCGCCGTCTACTGGGACCCCATGCCCGACCCCGCCGCCATGATGGCGCACTGCTCGCTCGCCGAGCTGACGGTACCCCGCCTTCTCTCTCTAGCGCTGCGCTCCGCATCGGTGTGGAGACATTTGCAAAGCCAGTTCATCGATCCAACTTCTTTGCGGTAGTTTAGTTATAACATAGATTTAGATTTTATCTACGTGTATACGTAGCTAAAAATAGTATAGTTTGGGAAGGAAAAGCGAAATTGTCGACCGTTGCATTGTAAGAGCTTCTTCATAACGCTCTGTCCTTACCGTTTTGCGAATATTTTGTTCAAGTGTCTGTTTGAAGACGTTTCAAGGCATTTCTGGCTCCTCATTTTGCTACTGAGGTTCGGTAGATCGTACGGTTCGTAAGTGTAGACAGTAACCGGTTATGGTGAATGGCAGGAGCGCATGCGCGCCACGTGGCTGGCGCCGCACCGCTACCTGGCGGCGCCGGCGAGCGCGCGCGCGCGTGTGCGCCGCGAGCGCTGCGAGCAGCCGCTGCGCGAGCGCACGCGCCCGCGCCTCGCCTGCCACCTCACGCTCGACTCCGTGCTGCTCAGCCTCACCTCGGTCAGTGCCCCGCCCCGCCCCGCCCCGCCCCGCCCCGCCCCTAAATCACCCGCACCTCTTTGTACGAATGCGCGACTCCCCGGCGCAGAGGCAGTACAGCGAGGCGGTGGGGTGCGCGCTGGGGCTGGAGCGCATCGCGCGGCTACGCGAGTTCCGCGCGCTGCGGCCCGACGCGCCGGTGCGCGGCCACGCGCGCGCCTGGTGGCTCTACGCGCTGCGCTGCCACGAGCCCCACCACCGGTGTACGTGCCCCGTTGCCTCAAGCTGCTTTTATATGATACCAAACTTTCTTCCATATCGTTCCAGTCAGACTATAGCTATTGTTTATTATTTAAAATTTAATTACAAGGGTATTATGTGACAACCCAAATCGAGGTGTCCCTTGCTCTAGTCTCGGGGGCCCTTGAACCTAGTAACTCAATGGAGCGTGTGCCAAAGCGCCCTAGGATCTTGTTGGCCTCTCAAACCGGTAATAATAATAGCGAAACCGAGGCTCCTTCGGGAGCCTTCAAGCTTAGTCACCAATAACCGAGGTTTAGGCTAGGCGCCCTCAGCGCCCCGCCACCTCAAGCCCGATCGATCTATAAAGGCCTACCAATGCCAACAGTGATTGATCCAGCGGAAAAAAATAAATAAATCGACACATATACTGCACAGGCGTGTCGTTTAATGTTTTCTTACCAAAATCCAATATATCTTTATATATTAAACGAGGAAGCATTGTAAAAAGACGCCTTTTTATGTTATGATATTAATTAATTTGTTGTCAATCTGAGAGTATTATTATTAGTATCAATGCATTAAATTGAAGGGATGGACCCGAAGCCCACGTGGGCGTCGTGCCTGGAGCAGGCGCGCCTGAGCCGGCAGTACGTGGAGATCTGCCTGGGCATTCTGAACAACCCCGCGGCCACGCTGGCCCCCGACAGGAAGGCGCTCAAGGACGACTTCGAGTGGAACACGCCGCTGCACGTGCTCAAAGCGCTCAGAGAGGTACGTTCCTCTTAAGTCCAATGTATTCGCAGCTCTTTCAAACTGAACCAAGGGAGGACTTTTAGTTAACATTAAACATTAAAATTGTGTAAAATCTTAATCCTCTCTACCGTGCCATTTTGGTCACAGTGATTACATATTAAAAAAGATTACGAAATCCATAGCAGTTATACCCGCTAGTGTAAATTCTAATCTGCCCCGCTAGGCCATCACTGTTTTACATAAATGCAACGTTTGACGCTCACAGGTGGCGATGCGCAAGGTGCCGGTGGCCACGTCGGCCCCCGCGCCCGAGCAGACCAACTCGGGGCGGAGCGTGCTGGTGCGCTGGTTCCCGCTGTGGTGGGGCTGGTACGCGCCGGCCGCCGCCCCCGCCCCCGCCCCCGCCGGCCCCACGCCGCCCGCTTCCCCGAGCGCCGCCCAGGCCGCCCAGGCCGCCCAGGCCGCCCAAGCCGCCCAACCGCCGTCCCCGGCCGCCCCGCGCCTCGAGGACGAGATCCTCGACGTGATCGCCGACTCGCTGGACGACAACACGCTGCTGCGGCGCGACACCGTCTTCGGCCTCTTCGAGTTCACGCTGCAGCGCGGCTCCCTCAACCTTTGCACGGAGGACGAGAACGAGGAGCAAACTGGGTTTGTACGGCTTGACTGTTTTCTGCTTTTTGGAAGTGATGTAATCTGTTCACTATGTTGCCATAAATGTTGAGAACAATATTTGACCTCCTTAGATTAACACATAAAAAACACCCCACATAAAAAATTATATAAATGTGTTTACTCTGAAGGAACAACGGGGCGTCGAAGGGGGCGAACGAGGCGGAGGGCGCGGAGGGCGCGAGGGGCGTGGGCGTGGAGCTGCAGTTCTCGAGCGTGGGGGTGCGCGTGGAGACGCGGCCGCGCACGGCGTCGCACGCGCTGCACGTGTCGCTGGGCGCCGTGTGCGTGCGCGAGCGCATCACGCCCAACACGCTGTTCCCGGTGCTGGTGGCGCCGCAGGGCATGATCCGCGAGGGGCTCAGCGCCATCAACGCGGCGGCCAGCGCGGCGGCCTGGTGGCGCGCCCACAACGCGCCGCAACACCAGCCGCAGCCGCCCGCCGAGCCCCTCTTCCAGCTCGCCTACGAGAAGCGCCCCGTCGGCCTCAACTGCGACTACAAGTTGGCCTCATACTTCCTCGTCGCTCGACGATCTCGGACGCGACGCGAGTTTCCAATTAAACGCCAAAATAATAATTGGCAGGCTGTGGGTGAAGTCGATGTCGCTGGAGGTGGTGTACTGCGCGGCGGCGGCGCGCTGGGCGCAGCAGTTCCTGGCGGCGCCGTGGGGGCCGCGGCGCGCCATGGCGCACGTGCGCGACCACACGCGCGCGCGGCTGCGCACGCACTGGCGTCACATGCTGCGCGCGCACGCCGAGCGCCGCGCCGCGCACATCGAGCTCGACGTGTCCGCGCCGCAGATCCTCTTCGTGGAGGAGCTGTGCGAGCGCGACGCCGCCGTGATGCTCGTGGACTTCGGCCGGCTGCGGCTGGCCAACGCGCACTGCGCGCCCGCGCCCGCCCCCGCCGCGCCGCCCGTCGACGACGACGACGACGGTAAGGCCGCCGCTCCGCGCGCCCGCGCCGCCGCCCCCTCGCTCGCCCATACGCCCCGCCGTGTCCGCAGAGACGTTCGCGACGCCCTGCTCGACGCCGCCCGGCAGCCTGCTGTCGCCCGCCTCGCCGCCCGGCCCGGCGCCGCCCGCCCACGTGCTCGACGCCGCCAACCTCCACACCAGCCTCTACGACCGGTCTGTACGCTTTCATTCTCGACGCTTACCCCGCCGCCTAGGGGTAAACTGTTTCACACGGAGGACCCCCTCGCTTTAAACCGTTTTGGTGATGTACAGCTTTTGAAATCTTTCATACGAGCCGACGCCGCAAAGTCTACTGCAGTGTGATTACGCAAGCAAAGTTCATCGCGATAAAATCGCGATAAAATAAAAGTAATGTGTCTGCGGCTTAGTCACTACTACAGACATTGCGAGGAGGCGTACTATTCCTCTGAGCGATTGTGAGCTCCGCTCTGACCAACACCTCGTTTCAGGTACGACATCGAACTGAGCGACTTGCAGATATTAGTAGGGAGGGCCAGGGACAACTGGAAGTACGCGCACACCAAGACCACGTCCGCACTTCACCTGCTTGACCGATTTAGCATATCTCTTCAGGTGAGGCCTTGAACTTCAGCAGGTATAGAGCGGTCTTTAGTGGAAGCACCTAAGTCAGAGGAAACCACTGTTGCTTAACTAAAACGTGACAAGTAAGGAAGCATTGTGCGAAGAGAGTTTCACGGTAAACTCCGTGATCGTCCGTCGGCAGGGCGAGCGGCGCGTGGTGCACACGAGCGACCCGCAGTTCCCGTCGGCCACGCTGTGCGGCTCGCTGCCCGCGCTCGTGGCGCACCTCAGCGAGCACAAGCTGGCCGCCGTGCGCGCCGTGCTCGCCCGCTGCGCCCCCCGCGCCCCCCGCCGCGAGCCGTGAGTGCGCGCCCTCCTTGCTTTTATGTAATTGTGTGTGCGTGCGCGATATGCAAACACGCGTGCGCCCCCGCAGGCGCGAGTCGCCGGCGCAGGAGCGCCCGCCCGAGGACGAGGAGGAGAGCAGCGCCGGCTCGGAGGCGGAGCGCTCGGAGCCGTCGGCGCACGGGCCCGGCGCCGGCACGCTGCTCATGCTGCAGTTCGCCATCGAGCAGATGTCGCTGGAGGTGCAGTCGCGCGGGCGCAGCATCGCCGAGGTGCAGGTGTGCGGCGTGCGCGCCGCGCTCAGCACGCGCCCCTGCGACCAGTCGCTCTCGCTCTCGGTGCACTCGCTGCTGCTGGTGGATGCGCTGCAGACCTACGGGCCCGACTTCGAGCTGCTCGTCGCCAGCCACAAGCACGTCGGGTCGGTCGGACGTCGCTACCTATCTCTTATTGTTAGCGAAGGACGGATGGTGCAACAATTCCTTTTCAACTCTTTCGTATCGACGATCGCGCAGGATGGACACGGCGTCGGGCAGCATCCGCGGCTCGGAGCCCACGTCGCCCACGTCCCCCACGTCGCCCACGTCGCCCGCCTCGCCCGACAGCCGCTCGAGCGCCGCCCCGCCCACGCCGCACGCCCTGCGCCACGCCATCTTCTCGCTGCAGCAGGCCGCCCCGGCCGCGCCAGGTCTTCGATTGCTCTTTAACTGTGCCTCCCTTGCCTAACCTAATATGTATTGATACTACTTTACTCGTATGTTGTACCATCACAGAGACGCAGGAGGCAGGACCGAGGAGCCCCACTCCGACCTGGATGATGGGTGCGACTTGGCGGTCCGCGGAGGAGCACCTGACGCCGGGCTACGGCGCGTGGGGCTCGGAGAGGGAGTCGGGTAGAGCGGGGGGCGGTGAGGGCGGTGGGGGCGCGAGGGGCGCGGAGGCAGCGGCGTGGGGCGCCCCCGGCCTCGTGGACTCCGAAGCGCTGATCGCCGTCGAAATCTGCCTCGTGAAGGGCGAGCCTGGCTCCGAGGATTTGAGGATCGCGAACATACTGTTCAACAACTTAGACGTAATTGGTGAGCTTTCTCAATAGTTTTCGATTTTATACAAGCCCTAATTAATAACATTTCATCTGTTAAATAAGAAAATTATGTTCGTTGCGAAAACGATTACATATTTTGATCTCTGAAATGACTGTACCTTTTTCCTTTTATTGCTTATCGAGAGCAGTGGTTAAACCAGTCTAAATAATGTGCTATAATGATATATTTCCTTTATTTAAAGAAATTTTTCATATTTTTGGTGTGTATGTAAAGAAAAAACTGTGTATTTAAGTGACGTTTACATCTAGTAATCTGGCGTTCACTATACCGCGCGATACAGCAGAGTGTGTTCTGCACACAATTTTCTTTTGTGTTTATTACTCTGCAATAGTATGGTTAAAGTGCTTTAATTAATTGAACTATATAGGCTAATACTATTCGATTGCGATATTGGCGTAAAGTTTTCGAAGCCGACAGTGATAAACGTACACGACGCGTGCGCAGCGAACCAGGAGACGATCGTGGAGCTGATCGGGTTCGCGCACCGCGTGCTGGGGCCGCGCACGTCAGTCGCCACGCAAGAGGCGCACGAGGCGCACGAGGCGCACGAGGCCCACGAGGCGCACGAGGCCAACGAGGCCCACGAGGCGCCTCTGCCGGGCGCGGCCGTGCGCACGGAGATCACCTTCGACTTCCACCGGCTGGGCGTGCTGCTGCTGCGCGCCGCGCTCCGGGACGGCGCCCTCGTGGCCAAAAAGATCGCCACCGCCACCGTCAGCGAGGCGCGCATACAGGCCACCATCGGTCAGTGCTAACCTTCTCACTTCTCATCGAGGATATTGACTTGCTGTAACTATATTTCCATGATTTTAACGATAATGGTAGTTTACTTTTTGACTGATTGTACACTAAAAGTGTATAATGTGTGCATTTACTTGTTTGTATATTCTCTTACAGTAAAACATGTGTGTGTGTCGTGGAACTAGTAATATGTGTGTGTGCAGCGGCGGAGCGCGTGGAGGTGGGCGGTTCGCTGGGCGGGGTGCAGGTGGTGTCGCTGTGCGAGGGCGCCGGCGTGCACTCGCGCGTTCTCTCCGCCGGCCGGCACCACGCCCACCTGCCCCACCAGCCGCGCCACTCGCACCGCCACCACTCCCACGCGCCCGACGAAAAGGCGCTCCTGTTCACCATCACGCGCAACCTGCGCCCCGGCGACGCCCCAGACCCCACAGGTGCCATTTACCTTTTGACTTTAACAATATTTTTTTTTTGTAAAAAATCAAAATGACATGAGCCGCGTGTAAAATACGCCTGGGTGAAGGTTTTGACAACTAATTTCCCGTATGTCTTAAAAAAAAAGCGCTTCTTATTACAAAGACATTTGTGAGTGCGTGCGCGTACGATGCGACGTGTGCGTGTGTAATACAGAATAAGCAATAACTATAATAGAAAGACGCGTCTGTGAGTTCCCATCGATCATGAAGCGGCTTTCGCGTCCGCGCAGTGGTGGAGGCGGCGGTGAGCCTGCGCGTGGCCAGCGTGTGGTACACGCAGTCGGGCGCCCTGCTGCGCGAGCTGCAGTCGTGCCTCACCGAGTTCAAGCAGTACCTGGCCAACCTGGCGCGCTCCATCCGCGCCGCGGCCGCAGACATGGCCATCGGCTTGGTGCACCCCAGCCCCAGGTGATCGCTCGCAGCCGACAGTCGCCCGTGCTCTGGAGGACCGAAAGACGAGTTGTTATGAGCCTGCGCGGTTGCAGGGGCGAGACGCTGTACAGCAGCCCGCGGCTGGCGCCCTCCGCCGAGGGCTGGGCGCGGCGGCGCACCTTCAGCTCGGACGCCGCGCCCTCGCTGGACGAGCCCGACGCGCGCAGCGACATCGTGCTCACGTGCGTTGCCTCGCTCTACTAATTCGTGTTCTTATTGCGATGTCTTCGATCCAATGACGACCATTGTAAATGTTTCGCAGCGTGAACATCGAACTCGAGTCGCCGGTGGTCGTGGTGCCGCGTGGCGCGCACAGCACTCAGGTCAGACTCCATCGAGCAGTGATAATCACCGTAAGTGATAAGTGGTCTTTAAGGTATTGTACTAACATATGCCCGATGTGGCCGGCACAGGTGTTCGTGGCGCACTTGGGGCGGATGAGCCTGCGCAACCGGCCCGGCGCCCCGAGCGCCACGCGCTACACCGTGCACGTGCGCGACATCTCGCTCGCGACCGTAAGTGTGCTCCATCTCTTTCTCTATGTGTATCTCTTACTACCTTTTTGTGTTCCGGGATTAGGCGACCAGTTGTTGAGTGTTACTTTTTTTTTTCAGTTGGACGTGGGCGAGCAGCTGAAGCACCACCAGCTGACGGCGGAGAACATGCACGAGATCTACGACGTGTCGCGCGGCAAGCCAGTGCTGCACGACACCGCGCTGCAGCTGGCTATAGACCTGAAAGAGGTCGACGACGTTCCGCATGTAAGTTGTCTTCAATTTCTATTATAGTAATCGTACAAATATCAATTGCCTAAATATCTAGTCTGTTATCTCTTCGAAGGAGATGACATTGTCGCGTGTTCCTGCTTGGTAATAAGGAAAAGGAATTAATTTATTAATGAATGCCTGTGATTACAATACACAATACACTTTATATAGCTTATAAGCGTCCAAAGTTACTGTTAGTTAAACGTTACTAAATCACAAGATTTCATACTTCTTATGAACGTCGATCTAGTACCGATTTGCAAATTTATCGGAGAAGAAAAAATAAAAGCAAATTTATAGAAGAACTGTACCTCTTTGCGTCACAAACGTGAATTTTATATGTTTATGTATGTACATATATTACACTAATGATATGGTTGGTGCGCAGTGCGAAGTGAGCGGCGCGGTGGTGGGCGCTCTGCAGGTGACCGCCAGCCGCGAGCAGTACGAGCAGCTGCTGGACACGCTGCGCTGGGTGGGCGGGCCGCACCACGCAGAGGCCTCGCCCGCGCACCCCCACCGCTACCCCCACCACGCCTCCGCCGACGGCCCACTGAGCAATGGGCTGCTCAGCGACACCGCCGACGTCACAGATGTAACTTGCGCACCGACACCACACGGAAATATTACTTCGCAATCTGTAGGGGCTAGGTATTTGTGGCGATCTTTACCAATGCATAGTCGTACATTAAGAACAGAACCCAATTAGTTGAAATTGGTGGGAATAAGTCTGACGTAACTGTAATAACATCAGGAGTTCCACAAGGTTCGCATTTAGGGCCCCTTCTGTACAATGTATATTCGATACAATCAAATGTTTAAAAAAATTAGTAAAAAAACATTTTGTAGTGGACTGAAATTTGAATCCAAACCGTTCTCGAATCCACTTGAACACACATAAAAGATTCATAAAAGTCGCTCTAGCCGTTTAGGACTTCAGTTACACACACGTGCACAGAATAATTATATATATAAAGATTAGCAGCTTAGAAAATTGCCAAAAGTTTTAGATTTCCGCAGAAGAGTCTTCACCTCGCTTCTTCTTAGCCGTCAGTTTCGGGGCATTGATCTTAGTAGTCTTCTTCGTACACTTATGATTGTATAACGATGATTGAGTTATAGACTTTTTGATCTCCCTTAATGGAAGTCTAGGTTATCTACGATTTCAGATCGTTTAACGTCAGACTTAGATGCTAGATATATCGTTACACTTTAGAAACTTCGAAACTGATGACTCCGTAGCGCAGTCGCCGAGGTATCGGCTTCGGCGTCGGTGGTCGTGGGATCGATTCCCACACGGGACAACTATTGGCGTGACCCACAGATAGTTGTTTCGCATGGGTGTTTGTCCTTACAAGACAGAATAACGTTATCCTTGTAAAGACGATCGCACGGCAGGGCGGCGCGCTGGTGGAGCCCGCGGTGCCGACGCTGCGGCTGGACCCGCAGCTGCGCGCCGCCGTGCTGGCCGTGGCGCCGCCGCACCGGCCCCCGCTCCGCCCCGCGCCCGCCCCGCACCGGCCCCTCACCGGTCTCTGCTCACTTCTCTCACCGTTCCTCCGTCTTAAAGCGGCTCCAAATTGCGCCCAGGACACTTTGCCCATCAGACAACCTTGACGGGGAAGATAGAGGGTAAAAGACCAACAGGCCGCAATCCTAAACGGCGGGCGGATCAAGTTTCTAAAAACCGATGGAGACAGCTTGTTGACCAATTAAACAAAAAATCTAAATCAAAATCATTTCTTCATCGACATAAGAAACACATTACATTTCATCTATCGATAGTTATATTTTTTTTTAAATCTACCACCGTTTCGTAATGAGGTTCCTCGAGCGGAGAAGAAACAGGCGAAAGAAACTCCGTAGGTATCCCCTTTTTCGTAATTCATTTTTTTTCTTAAAAAAAATTAAAATATACAACTGATTATTTTTTTCCTTTTAGAAATAGCTTGGGAGCGATCAACTCATTCCCAGGGGTTATTGTCATTAATGTATTCATTTGTATTATAATAACCCTTTTTATAAAGTTTTTCTTTAATAAATTTCTTAAACCTGTTAATAGGCAGGTTTTGCGCATTTACTGGGATTTTGTTGTAAAAGCGTATACACCGCCCCATGAACGAGTTACTTACTCTATGGAGTCTAGTAACTGGCGTTACAAGCTTGTGTTTGTTCCTAGTGTTTACATTATGTACATCAGTATTCTTATCAAAATTATTAATATTTCTACGCACATGCATAACATTTTCATATATGTATATTGAGAGGCTAATATTTATTTCTTTAAACTTCTCTCTCAAACATTTATTCAAATCTAGATTATAAATAGCCCTTGGCCCTTTGGCCCTTTTTTGCAAACTAAAAATTGTTTCTATATCGGCCGCGTGCCCCCATAGCAAAATACTACCATATGACATTATGCTATGAAAGTAACTAAAATACACAATTCTAGCTGTTTTTACATCAGTTAGACATGTTATTTTCCTTATAGCATAAGCTGCAGAACTTAGTCTATTCGCAAGTTTGGATATATGGGGACCCCATCGAAGCTTTGCATCGAAAGTTATTCCAAGAAAGATAGTCGTATCCACAAGACCTAACTCCCCCCCCCCCCCATTTATAAGTACATTGGTAGCACCCAAATGTTTAACATTACGTGTTGAAAATTTCATACATTTAGTTTTATTACCATTTAATAATACATTGTTAGTATTAAACCAATTGACTATTTCTGACATAGCATTATTTACCTCGTCAAGTGTAACAAGCTGTCGATCGATTTTAAAAATGAATGATGTATCATCGGCATATAACACTGCATACCATGTAATCCTTTGTCCACACTCGTAAGATAGCGAGTAATGGCGAATTGGTCGGCAGTGTGTTTCGAGGTGTCGACGTTCGCCGTGGCGCTGCTGGCGGACGTGGGCGGCGGCGAGCGGAGCCTCGTCGCTCTCACCTTCCGCGAGTTCGCGCTCAGATACGAGCGCCTGCAACCGCACGAGACCGCCTTGCAGGTGCGTTCTATTCTTCTGTTCGTAGTGCCCCCGCAACACATCGCTATCGCAACTGTGAGACAAGTGTACCTCGATGCCTTCGTGCCAGGTGTCGCTGCACTCGGTGACGATGGAGGACCTCACCAAGGAGCCGGACTCGAAGCACCGGGTGCTGCTGGTGTCGCACTCGCCGCCCGCGCCGCGCAAGGCGGTCTTCCTCTCCAAGTCGTGCCCCGACCTGCGCCTCCCCGCCCCGCCCTGCATGCTCGGTCGCCGCCGCTCCGTCTCCACGTCTCTGCCCTCGGCCCTCAACACGGCGCACTTGCCGGCGCAACGACAGGTCACTTAGCTTTACACTTTTACTCTCATTCTAACATATTGCAGTTTTCTATATAATCTCTCAAATCTTCTCAAATCGCTTTGACACAGTTGCTGAATCATCACGGGTTGTACGTTCGATATCCACAAGTGTTCCTCGGTACTACTTTATATCCCGTCGTGACTAACGGGTATAAAAATACATAGGAAAATGATATCTGGATTCTTTTTTCGGGCGAAACAAACAGCGGGGATACGACAAGCCGGCCAAGTCGGAGAGCAAGTGCGGCGCGACTCCGCCCTGTTCGCCGGAGCCGCTCAGCCAGGAGAGCCGCGACGCTGCGGGGGGCGCTAGTGCGGCCATGTTCGACGCGTGCGACTTCGACAATTCGGACACATCGGAGGCGTCCGACGGCCTCGACGGCTCCGACGCGACTGATCCCTTCGACTCGACGGACGAGCAAGACTTGTGTGGCGCCTTCGAGTCGGCGGCCGGCGGGCCCCGCGCCGCCGCGGCCGGCGACAACCTCGTGTGGGTGTCGGTGCACACGCGCGACCCCACCCACCCCCACTTCCACGACCGCTTTCATCAGGTGAGTGCTCGCTCCCTCGCAAATAAAGGTAATTAGGATCTTACTCTACATAATCAATGAAGGCGTAATACGATATGGACATTTTGTCAATAGTGAAATACTCAAAACTCACTCTTAATATAATAGGTAATACTCTGCTCGGCTAGCGTTAACGCAAATAACAACACGCTCTGATTGGACAACAAAATTTAAAGCGTTTTCTTAAGTACCCTGATGGTAAGTGGCGATGCAGTTTTGATGGTAAGCGCGCTATCTCAGTAAAAACCCTATTCTACCAGTAAACATTATCTTACAGGTGTACAAACTGACGAAAGTTGAGTTCAACTGTCTGAAGTTGGTGCTGAGCATCGACAGCTGGGTGGCCGTGCTCGATTTCTTCGGCGTGGCCGGGGAGGAGGCGGCGCCGGACTCCAGCGCCGCGGAGCCTTCGCAGCCCGGTGATTGTGTTTTCCGTAGCCTTCAGCGCCATGTTGGATGCGCGAGTACTATCGGTCTGTGTGGCGGCAGCGGGCGAGGGCGCGGGCGCGGAGGCGGCGGGCGTGAGCGAGACGGAGGTGGTGGTGCGCTCTCTGTCGGTGGTGGTGGTGGGCGCGCGGGGCGACGCGTGCCGCGCGCTGGCCTCGCACGGGCAGCTGCGCGCGCGCTCGGGCCGCGGCGGGCGGCGCGTGCGCGCGCAGCTGGCCGCGCTGGCGCTGCACGACCTGGCGGCCCACGCCGCGCCCTGGCGCCACCGCCTGCTCACGCGCGCCCAGCGAGCGCTGCGCCTCGACTACCGCAGGTGCACCGTCGCTTTCTCTATGCGTATGACAATAACGCCTCACATTGTCTTATGTCCTATGAGTTCTTCGGTTTTGATATGCTAAGCAGACTCAGCAAAACGGAGGCGGAGGCGGCGGGCTACGAGACGAGCTTGAACGTGCAGATGGGCCCCCTCACTTACGTGCACACGAAGCGCTTCGTGATGGAGCTGCAGGCCTTCGCGAGGGACTTCAGCCTGCTGAGGCGGGTCATCGCGCAGGCGCGACGCAAGGCACGCCCCGCTCTTATGTTCACCTTTTTAAAGCACGATTAGTTAGTGGATGTCATCTATGAAAATTTATAACGCCAGAAACAAACAAAATAACGACAATTGATAATGGGGATTTTCCCATCCTGATGAGGTGTGAATCTGTTTAAAATCATTGACTAGCTGTAACCGTATTTAGGGTACTATATTTTGATGTTATTTTATCCCAATTAATCGCGGTATCAAAAGAATAATAAAACACATTGACTCGCTAATTCGTACATAGCAACTTTAACACGTCTCTGCGAGCGAGTGCATGGCGACTCCACCATTGTCTTGTGAGTGTTCGACGAGTGACCCTCGTGTTTTTGATCATTGGATGGGTTTTCGAGAGTGCGTTTGAGAGAATAATAAAATTACAAAGGCGCTACGCCCCATACGCGTCAGTTTGCGTTCGTTTTCTGGTGACTATTTTAATTTTTCGTGTAATCTGTTTTCTGGCGAAGGTGTCGCCGGCGGCGGCGAGTCGCGTGCAGCGCATGCGCTTGCGGCTGACATGTTCGGCGCCGCTGATCGTGGTGCCGGTGTCGGGCCGCAGCCGCTCCGCGCTGGGCGCGCGCCTGCGCCTACTGCGCCTCGACAACCGCTTCCGACAGAACGGTACCCCGTCTGTAGCACGTCTCCCGCCGATTAGCTGCCTCGATCGTTTCGCTGCATCCCCGAATCTGTCGCAGCCGGGGGCGAGCTGCTGGACGTGCGCTCGGTGCGGCTGGAGGGCGTGTCGCTGCGGTGCTGCGGGCCGGGGCTGCGCGGGGGCGCGCCGCTGCTCCCCAAGCCCGCCTCCCTCGCGCTCCACATCGAGCACAACCTGAGCGACACGCACGGCGGTACGGACTCGCCCGCTCCCCGTCTGCCGAAGAAACGTGCGTAATAATATTTATTGCGAAAATTGCACAGTGCCGGACACGACGATCCAGGGGACGCTGACGACGCTCGAGCTGGCGCTGGACGCGGCGCAGTACCGGCTGGTGCGCGGCGTGCTGGCGCACAACCTGGCCGAGCCCTGCGACGAGCTGCTGCCGCCGGCCGCAGAGGACCCCGCGCCCCACCACCACCAGCCGGTGCCCGACGGCCTTGTTAGTCGAGTGTAACACGTTAGATGAGGTGAGATGTAACCGCGCCGCGTCGCCGCAGGTGTGGACCACGTGGTCGCTGAGGCTAGACCTACACGACGTGTGCGTGCGGCTGAGGTCCGCGCGCGGCCCTCTCGCCTGCGTGAACTTCATCAAGTCGCGGCTGGTGCTGGAGACCTTCTCGGACCTGGGCCAGGACGTGGACCTGGTCTCGCAGGAGATCCTGGTGAGCGACGCGCGCTTCGGCGGCGAGCCGGCCAACCGGCGCGGCAACGTCTTCAGCCGCATCGTGCAGCCCATGCCCGACCACCGCCACAGCGTGCAGGCCGAGCTGCACGCCAGGTAACGTCGCCGTCTTCCTCCTGCCTCCTTAAAGGTTTACGCCTTCTCGACTTATCGCTGCCGCTGGTGACAAGAGTGCTGGTTCTCTTCTCGCTTAAAGGTAACCTATTAGCGAGGAAATTCAGCTAGCGTTCTTGGCACCATGCCGCGTATATTAGGTGTATCAGATAATATATAATTTAGTTAGATTTAATATTGTACGTATCGGTATTATTTATAATAATCGGTAATATCCGAAATTATTACATATATAAGTAATAAATAATGTATAAGTAAGGAAAACGATGTTAATCTCAATGAAATTTTTTTATTTAAGTGAGAAACGTGTGACTTTGCTTTATTGTTAAGTTTCATACAGAAATACTGTTTATTAAAAAATCACTTAATTTTATAATTTCGGCAGGAAACGACAGGATTCGTCGGCCTACACAATTCTCGTGAATAACATGCGCCTAATGGCGATCCTGGACTGGTGGGAGGCGGCCAACCAGTTCATCATGCAACCACCACCACCGGCAACCGATCCTGATCTTATTCATCTGTGAGTTTTCTCGTTTAATTTAATTATATGATATAACTGAACCAAATTTTAATTAACGTCAAAATGCAATTTTTAATCAATAATTAAATAAAAAAAAAACATGTTCACATAATTATTAAAATATATGTTCTTCATGTAAAGTAAGCCTTTGTATATCCCATTGCTGGCAAAAAGGTTTCCTAGGAACAGAGGGTAGTAGGAGCGCGCGACCGCAATGAGAATTCGTGGACTTCACATATTTCTGATATATATATATATATATATATATATACGTGGCAGAATCAAGATATGGCACAATAATTTGATTACACCCCATCTATTGGAAGCGATTGGAACCGTCAAGCAGGACGCTTGAGTAAGACATATATTTTTAATTGTTATTTCGAAAATATCCAAGTTTCCTTACGATGTTTTCCTTGGCCGTTGCGCACGTGATAAGTCAGTGCTTAAAATTAACAGTGTAGGCACCATATTGAAAACGAGCGAACCGACAAGCTATCACGTTCAGTCTTCGCACGGTATTATTCTTTACGTGAATGAATTAAATGTGCCCGTCAGGGAGGGCGCGTGCGCTTCGCCGTTGGGGGGCGCGGGCGGTGCGGGGGGCGCGGGGGGCGCGGCGGAGGGCGGGCCGGTGGAGCTGAAGCTCAACATCACCGACTCGCAGCTGGTGCTGGTGGAGGATGCCTCCGTCTGGGACACCAACGCCGTCATACTGAAGGTACTGGCACGAGGATTTAAGACATGTCATGTTCCATTCACTGTACGATCGCTGACATCGGGTGCGCACTCGGCAGAGCACGACGGTGATCACGTACCGCGGCGCCGACGCGAGGAAGCCGGTCTCGTGCGAGCTCAGCGAGCTCGAGGTGTTCTCGTGCGTGCTCGGGCTGGAGGACGAGACGGCGCTCGCCATCGTCGAGCCGGCCAGCGTGCACGCGCAGATCGACGCCGAGCGCGTGCTGCACGTCAGTGCCAGGGGCTGGCAGAGACATTTTTTACTTTTATTATCGACTGGCGAACCTCAAGACGCCTTTGTTCCGTTTGCAGATTTCAATGGGGACGCTCAATCTGCGCCTCTCCTACCACGACATGCGCATGTTCGCCGCGATGTTGCAATCCCTGCCGGCGCAAGCGCGGGCCGCCCTGTCCGGTGAGCCGCGTCGGTGATTAATCTACTACCGTTCGAAGGAGCCGCGTAATTATGATATGCGTTTGTAGGAAAGTCGCACTTGGACATGGAAGCGGCGGACGCGCCCGCCAACAGCGTGCACATGCGCGCGGGCGGGGGCGCGGCGCGGCTGCGGGCCACGCGCTGGGCGCCCCTGATGCCGCCCCTGCCGGCGCCGCCTCCGCCCCTACCGCCCCAGGCCCCCGCCCAGCCCTCCGCCGTGTGGCCGCTCTCCGCCGTCAAGGTCTCGTCTCTGCACCTCGTCATCTTATTTTTATTATCATTATTTATTTAGTTGTTAAAACTTTTAATGATTCTTTTTTATTTTTTCGTCTATAGGTGAACGCTGAATGCGTTACGCTGTGCGTTATTGACGACTGTCTGGATTCGGACGTGCCTCTACTCGAAATATCTATGTCTGAGCTGCACCTGGAACAGGTAACTTAATTTTTTCCTTTTATTATATTCTTAGATACAGATCTGATTCTAAATGTCATAAAAATTGTTTTGTGTTATTCACTGTAGATGTTCGGCTTAGTATCCTATTGAGTATATATAGCTACTTTGTATTTGTAATGTAATGTCTTTAGTATCAAATAGATCGTTGAGCAAAGTATACGTGTTTAATTACAAAGTATAACCGAAGGCAAAATCGACTTTATTACAAACAGTGGTTCTGTTTTATTTAAATAATTTCTTTTGTATTTTATAAGAATATTCCTTCATATACTAGCTACTAAGAGCAATTACAAAAAAGTCGTTCGTGTCCACAGGATCTACGGAAAGCTGAGGAGTCGTTTCCGGACCCGGTGCTGGTGTCGACGCCGTCGAGCGCGGGCGGCGTAGTGGGCGGCGTAGTGGGCGCGGGCAGCGGAGGGGGAGGCGCGGGCGGCGGGCAACTGCGCGCGCACCTCTGCATAGACTACTACAACCGCACGCTCTCCGCCTGGGAGCCAGCTCTCGAACCCTGGAGGTCATTGTAGCTGACCCGCAGTTTTAAATTAAAATAATTATTTGTGCCATTATTGATTATTGTCAGTCTTGCGGTTGGAATAAACGTTTGCGGGGCAGGTTCGAGACGCGCTGGGAGTACACGCTGTCGTCGGCGCTGTCGCTGCGACGCGTGCAGCTGGAGGTGAGCAGCGCGCACACGCTGGACGTGAACGTGACCGCCGCCCTGCTCGACCTCTACCGGCTCGTGCGCAACAACTGGACCGCGGACTACTACGCGCCGCAGGTGCCTCTCCGCCCAAAGCATCACAGCACCAGCCGCTCGACCCCGTCCCTTACGCGTAGCACCATGTTCCAACGTTGCAGGCGCCGGCGCAAGCGGACGCGGAGCAGTCGCCGAAGGGCAGCCCCGCTGGCCACCGGCGCCGCTCGCCCTTCGTGCCGTACGCGCTGCGCAACCACACCGGCCACCGCCTCTGGTTCACTACACTGCTCACCACTCCGGACCAGTGAGTCGACGCCGGCGCTTCACCGCTAACGTTTACGATATAAAAGTGAAGCGGTCGTAAAAGACGTATCCACCGGCACCGCACAGGCTTCTGGAGCTGGAGTCGGAGGCGGGCGAGGGCGGCGCGGCGTGGGCGCCCGACGACTCGTGGGTGTCGGTGGGCGCGGGCGACACGGAGCCCTTCTCGTTCGGGCTGCGGCGGGGCCGCGCGCGCGCCGCGCTGCATCGGCTGGCGCTGCGGCTGCCCGCCTGGGCGCCCCCAGACCCGGTGCGCGTCGACCGGGTGGGCGTCTTCTTCCGCACGCTCACGCACCAGGCGAGTGACCGCTAGGGGTGGCTGTGGGCGCCAGCGCGTACTCGAACTCAGCGTCCGTCCCGTCCGGCAGAAGAGCGGCGCGGAGGCGCACCTGGTGCTCGAGGTATCGCTGGAGGGCTCGGCGCGCAAGCTGGTGACGGTGCGCTCGGCGCTGCAGCTCGATCAACCGGCTGCCGCACGCCGTCGAGGTGCGCCTCGAGAGCGCCCACGCCGCGGGTGAGAGCCCCCTCCGTCGGAGCGCCGGAGAAGGCACGGCGCGCCTTCCGGCGAGCGCGGACGCGTGCGGAGCGGCAACGCGGCGCAGGGTGCGCGCGGCGTGCGCGGCGCTGCAGCGGCGCGGCAACGCGCCCAAGCCGATGGCCGCGTGCGTGCCGCTCGCCGCGGCCGCCGCGCGCGCGCGCCTCGCGATGTCCGCCCGCTGCGGTACCCCCTTACGTTACGGCTTTTGGGACTCGTTTAGAACGACACGAGTTCTACATGTATTTCCTAGGGAGTAATCATCAGTAAGACCAACATTAGCTCGAATCGGCCACTTATACTAATGGATGTAATTTATCTCCATGTTCAATAAAACATGCCGCGATTTGTCTTTTTTTAGTAGATTCAGTTTAATTTAAAACTAAAACAGTAATTAATTTAAATAATATTAATGCCACAAAATTGAACGTCAGCGTAGCTCCGAAAATCTAACGCTAAGCTTTAACTGAACTAGCTGACTGAAATAGCTACACTTGCAATTAAATGGCCATATAATAAAATTAAAGGCCCGTTCGAAATGTGCAAATTTTATATTGAATAACGACGATACCGATAAAATACCTCAAAAATACACAACAAATAACTAAACTGAAAAAAAAAATCTTTTAAATATCATTTATTAACTTATCAAACAATGCTCTTTCGCAATAGAATCAACGTTGTTTGGGTCAAATTATTTTTAAATTTTATAAAAAAATATCTCTTCAAAAGCTTGGGAAAGCTTTGCATTTTTTTTACAAGCACTAATGAGAATCATTTCTGTCCGAATAGATATTTCGCCCGACGAAACTAATCCTGGCATGCCACAACTACTCTATAATATTCTTTAATACGGCTGCGCTTTTTCTATATTATTATTCTTTCGTCATTATTCTGAAAACAATCGATCAGATTTTATACAAGATTACTTGCTTTGCCAGCTATTTGTACAAAAGCCAAACAAATACCATTCGAGCCTTTCTGTCGAATAGGCATTTTCGATAATGAGTAGAAGGCACTTTCTCCATAAGCCGCTTATGGCGGGCGTTCCACAAGGCTTTTTTCTTTCTCCATTGCTCTTACTTACAATTATATGAGCAATATAACTAAAGACTCAAAATTGTCTAATTTTATTAAATGTTTACGAGTATTATTAAATTTCGAAGCGACCAAGTTTATGTTTCTTTTATATCCATTAGTGTATTTGTAGTGGGCTTTTATGTCGTGGTATGTATAATATTTGCAACTATTAGAATTATGTTGTTATTTAGTATAGTTATTACTCTCACATAATGTAGGTGCAGATAGATAGTGTAATGGAATATTATGATTGAGTGTTAAGATTCGATTACTATTCCTGTTGTTTCGGTGAAATGTTCTATTTTGTATTTTATGTCCATGAGAGTAGTCAATCAACTGAATGACAGGGGCGTGGGGCGTGCGCGGCGCGGAAGTCGGGGCAGGGGCGGCGCGCGCGGCGCTGGTGGCGGCGGGCGCACGCTGGGCGGCGCCGCTGAGCGAGCAGGCGGGCGCGCTGCTGGTGCGGCCGCTGACGGCGCGGCCGGCGCACGCGCCCGCGCCGCCCGCCGCGCGCCTGCACTGGCGCGACGCCACCGCCGACCGCGCCTTGCTGCACCGCGAATGCTGCGCCCCGCCCCACCACTCCTACAGGTGCCCTCTGCTCTTCTCTTCTCTTCTTTCCGCCTGACCGAGGCCTACACGTTCATAGTTTGAATCGTTTCATATCAGGTGAACCAGCTGTTCGAATGCTACCTCGTTACATGTAAAACACATTGTGCCTTGTGTTATCTATTTAGCATTGGATGTAAGAAAACTACCGGGCGGGCAGTTATACAGTCTTTATTCGCGGTCGGCTCGCATCTATCTATATAAACAAAAATTAATTTTGGTAAACGCATAACTCAAGAATGGCTGCACCAATTCTTCTATTTTGTATGTTCCTTAAGGGCTACGGAAGGTTTAAAAAAAAAAAAAAACGAAGTATTGAGAAGTCACATCGTAAACATTAGGAATACATTCGTCTAGAAAAGGGAAAGATATTCATCCGGGGGTCGAAGAAATGAGAGACCTTGTTTCTTGGACAGGTTCTGCTGCGCGATAGTGCGCGAGCGGTTCCCTTTGGCGCGCGGGGAGCCGATCGCGGGCCACACGTTGACGCTGGTGGCGGCGCTGCGCCTCGAGAACCTGCTGCCGCTCGAGCTGCAGTTCCGTGCGGGCCACGTGGGCGGCACGCTGCCGCCCTCCGGCACCAGGCCCTTCCACGAGGTGCAGCCCCATTCGATTGCCCCGCAAGTCTTCGGCACACACGGGCTATGACCGCGCCCTTGTCTGTGGTTAAGGTGAACGTGGAGGAGGGTGTGGAGCTCAGTGTGAAGCTGGAGGGCTTCGGCTGGTCGACGGCGCTGAGCGTGGGCGGGCCGAGCGGCGCGGGAGCGGGAGGCGCCTCCTTCAGCGCCAGGCTCAAGCTGCGCGATCTGCGGGGCCGCAGGCTCTACCTCAACGCTCGAGTCAGCGCCAAGAGGACCGACGGCATCAAGGTGCGCAGCTCTCGATACTTATTTTCAGGCGACTAATTGTAATAACTTTTTTGTGTAAAGACACGTCTAAAGACGACGCCACGCGCGCAGGTGTCGATCTCCGCGGCGTACTGGCTGGTGAACCGCACGGGGCTGCCGCTGGTGTTCCGCGCGGAGGGCGGCGCCAGCGAGGCGGCCGGCCAGTTCGCCGAGCACGAGGTGGCGCGCTGCGTGGCGCCGCTGCTCTTCGCCTTCGCCGACTCGGACGGCGGGCCCACCGTCTCGGTGCGCCTCGGCGCCGCGCTCTCGCCCAGCCCCGAGGTGGGCTACACGGTATCCCTCTCTAGTGAGAGTGAGAGGCTGCGAGAATAGCAAACTGCAACGTCGTCGCACTCCGCAGTGGTGCTCGCCGTTCGGGCTGGGCCCCGGCGTGGCGGTGAAGCGGCTGGAGGCGCGCGGCGCGGGCGGCGCGGGGGCGGAGCGCTCGTACGCGGTGGGCGTGGCGGTGCGCGCCGGCCGCGGCCGCTACCGGCGCACCAACATCGTCACGCTCACGCCGCGCTACCAGCTGCACAACAACACCTCGCGCCACCTGCAGTTCGCGCAGCACTGCACGGCCACCACGCTGGTGAGTGCCGCCGCGGCGCCTCGAGCGAGGCTCGACGAGAGCGCGCAGTGACCGAACGGGCGCCCGCAGAGCGACCCGGGCGCGCGCGCGACGCACGTGGCGGCCGTGGCGGGCTGCCACCTGCCGTGGCACTGGGCGCGGCGCGAGCGCGACCAGCTGCTGTGCGCGCGCGTGCTGGCGGACGACGCGCACGCGCAGCCGCTCACCGCCTGGTCGGGCGGCTTCCGCATCGACAAGCCGCGCAGCCTGCACATCGCCTGCAGGTGCGCACCGAGCCTCCCGCTCGCTCGCTCGTCGACCTGGTACATGAGTCTTAAGGAGATTTCGTGGTACGCGGCAGGGAGGGCGGCGGCTCGTACGTGCTGGTGCGCGTGGAGGTGGTGTCGCAGGGCGCCACGCTGCTGGTGGTGCTCACGGACGCCGAGTGCGCCCCGCCGCCGCTGCGCATCGACAACTACTCGCCCGTCGCCATTATGTTCCACCAGGTGCGCTCCGCTGCTCTCTCCCGAGTGCGGTCCCGTCGCAGCTCCACTGGATTGACACCCGTTCGGCGCAGGTGGGGTGCTCGGAGGAGTGCGTGGTGGGGGCGGGGGCGCGGGTGCGCTGGGCGCTGCCGGAGCCCGAGGGCGCGGCGGCGCTGGCGCTGCGGGCCCCTGGCGGGCCGCGCCTGCTGCTGCCGCTCGACGCCGGCCCGCACCTGCACCGTCTGCTCTACCAGAACTTCCTCTACGTCGCCTTCCCCGCCACCAGCGCCAGGTGCGTTCTCGTCAGCTGGTGATTCTCATAATAAAACGAGTCGTAACCCATACTCGTCATCGTGCAGGGAGAACAGCATGGCGACGGCCGGCAAGCAAATATCCACGGATGACGACAGCGTGCTGGTGCTGGAGGTGCCGCTGGGCAGCACGCGCGTCATTCTCGCGCGCAAAAGATACGGAGATAGGTAGGCGCCTTTGGGTGTACTTTCTCATAGATCGTTGCGTGGCACTCAATTTTTAATATTTTTAATAGAGAAGGCGTAATATGACTACGTCTCTATGTGTGATAAATGTGACTTATAGAGCCTATACACGGATTGACCGACTTGACATACGAAATATTATTCATTAATGAGTGACAAGCCAGCAGTTAGAATTGCACAGGGATTTGAACTCATCGATCAATAACTGTTGAGAGGTAGTACGACGAATGAGAGTGAGCCATGCGCAGGTCGCAGCTGTGGCGGCGCGCGAGCGGCGGGCAGCTGGTGCACGAGGGCAGCTCCCCGCCGCAGCCCACGGACGCCGCGCTGCCCGACGACGCCGCCCTGTCGCCGCACGCAATGGTATACGCTCGCTTTTTTCTAATTTAATGATGACCTTTATACGTTCAGTAACTAACTGTATAAAGATTCGTTGGGTACAGAGTTCGCGGAAAAGCCAAGTTTCCTCAAGCTTTATAGGTCTAATCTATGCAAAGGGCATTATCGGCTGTGAGTGTACTTCCAACACAGACCCAGAGTGGGTCAGCCATTCGGTGTTCTTATAGGTTACATTTCAGAGAATGTGTGTGTAACATCTTCCTTCCATCATCTGACAACTAGACGTTCGGACTACATGTTATTTCAAAATTACTTGCTTTCGTAGCTTCTTGTTTTGGAATTCACGTAGCAAAGGAATTCCAGCAGTTCCAACAATTCACCAGCATTAGTTTTCCCTTTCGATTGTAATTCGAGTGTCGTCGTGGCAAGAGTGAATAAATTGTTACCGAGCTGAGGATTACATCTCTACTAACTATGGACGTAACTATGGGTGTAACCTTAACTATGGGTGTACATGGCTCGAGTAAGTGGACGGTTGATGGTTGTGGGATGGGCTCCAGCATGGTTCCGTGTGCAATATATTGCTGAACTCTCTTTTAAACTAATCGCTGGCCTAAGCCTAACCAGTGGAGTTTTGGATGCGAGTGGTAATGCGACTTGCAAATTTATCCATTCAAGGCAGTGTCGTCCGCGCAAAGCGTGAGTACGACATATCAATCTTACGGGATGTTACACGTTTAAAGCGAGAAGGGGAGGGCCGAAAGACATGCTCCTTGAGGAACACCTGCGAGAGTGGGCTATTAGACTGGGCGATTCAATTATTTTTTCCTCTGTATAGTTTTAATGTTGTACAGTTTGTTATTGCTTTGGATATCGTTCTTTCGACTTATTTTTAGTGTTAGGTGCTGTAGATTATGTTTGGCGGTTAATAATGGGGGTGTCGGGGTGCGATGGCGCCGCAGGTGCTGGACATCGAGGAGGCGGCGCCGCGGCCTGGCGTGGCGTCGGCGCTGGTGCTGCGGCGCGCCGACCCGCGGCGGCGCTCCACGCAGGCCTGGCGCCTGCTGCCGCCCGGCCGCATGGCCTGCGCCCACGCCAACCTCTGCGTGCAGCCCTACGCCGCCCACGCCCCCGATCACGCCCACGCCCACGCCCACGCCCACGCGCACTCCGGCCTCATGGCGCTCGTGCCCGGTGCGTTCGACTTTTTTTGTTTCTACAATAGCTAGCAATTTATGCAAAAGCCTTTTTTCTCTTCCTTTATCTACGATTTTAATGGCAACGTTGTCTGGTCGCAGGGGCACGCGTGGTGCTCGGCATGGCGAGCGCCGGCGGCGGCCCCGTGCCCGGCTGCCAGGCCGTGAGCTGGCACTCGCTGCGGCCCGGCTGCGGACGCCTCGACGTGTCGCTGCGCGCCGCAGGGCCCACTCGCCTCATACGCATACACGACCACGAGGACCCGGTACGAAATATTTCCATCATACTCAAGCAATAAGCTCCTTTTCCTGTTGTTCCCTTAATTTTTTCTATAGACTGCCGAAAGTTCGAAAATTAAATGCATTTTTAATCCCTCATTTTTTTATTAATACATTTTAATGTAAAGTAGTGACAGTCAAGAGCGCACACAAAATAAAATCCGTTGAAACGGACCAGGACTCCGGCCGCATCGAGGGCGACGACGACGAGGACTGCGTGCCGTTGCAGGGGCGGGGCGCGGGGGGCGGCGGGGGGCGGGCGGGGCGAGTGGGGCGTACGCGTGTCGCTGGGCGGGCTGGGCGTGTCGCTGGTGGGGCGCTCGCCGCCCGTGGAGCTGGTGTACGCGCACTTCGCGGGGCTGCGCCTGGAGCTGGCGCGCACGCCGCGCGCCGCGCTCGCCGCGCTCTCCGTCGACACGCTGCAGTGGGACAACCAGGTGCCTTTCCATGCCCATACGAGCATTTTACCTCTCATTAAATCTAACAAAATGATAAACAATACCGTTCGGGCAACGCTCGCAGCTAGTGGACACCGCCAGCCCCGTGCTGGTGCACGGCGCCACCGGCAGCTCGCCGCTGCTGCACGCGGCCGCTGAGCTGCTGCCCGCGCCGGCGCCCCGATACAACGCCTACTTCTTCAAGCACTTGGTTGTGGCGCTACGTCCAGTCGCCGTGCGCCTGGAGGAGAGGTGACATATTGAGACCACTTTCAATGTCTCCTGTTGTCTTTGACTTTGAACTAATTAATAAGCATTTACAAACGCCACCGTACGATCTGCCAGGTTGATCCTGATGCTGTGGGCGTGGGCGGAGCAGTGGCAGGGCGGCGAGGAGGCGGCCGAGCAGCCGGATGAGGTGGAGTACGAGACGAGGCGGGTGCTCACCGAGCTCACCGCCCTCCACGCCACCAGATACTACTTCGCGCTCTTCAAGCTCGTCCCGAGCCAGGTATCCTCGTATTTCTCTTTTTATACCGTCTTGCGGGGGGGAGTGCAATATTCGCTGACGAGGCGCGCGTCCTCCGGCCACAGATCCGGCTGTCGATGTACACGGCGAACAAGCTGGAGCCGGAGCTGGGCGCGCTGAAGAAGCGGCTGGGGCTGACGATGATCCGCTTCGAGGACGCCGCCGTGGAGCTGGAGCCGTTCGTGCGCGCGCACGCCTTCGACACGGCTGCCTGCCTGGCGCGCCACGCGCTGCTGCACTTCAAGGACGTGGGTGCCCTCAGAGCCACTCGCTCGCTGCCCGTCTGTTAGCTCCCACCCTCCGCGATTCTGAGCAAGGCGCCCCCCGCAGGAGCTGAAGTGGCAGGCGGCCAAGATCCTGGGCTCGGTGGACTTCCTGGGCAACCCGCTGGGCTTCGTGGCCGACGTGTCGGAGGGCGTGTCGGGCCTGCTGCTCGAGGGCAACGTGGGCGCGCTCGTCAAGAACGTCACGCACGGCATCTCCAACTCAGCCGCCAAGGTCACCGGTGCGTTCTCCTGCTCTCTCATTTTTGGTTTTTTTATGGAAGAAGGTGACAAATCACTGCCAGCCGACAGTAGGAGTAACTCCATTTTTATATTTGGACATTTTCCTTCGCAGAGTCCCTGGGCGACGGGCTGGAGCGCGTGGTGGGCGACGAGGCGCACGAGGAGACGAGGCACCGCATCCGCAGCGCCGCGGCGGGCGCCCACCTGGCGGCGGGCCTGCGCGGCCTCGGCCTAGGCCTCCTGGGTGCGCCTCTACAGCGCAGCGTTCGTCGGAGGTCGTACCCCGCTCGCCCTCTTAACACGTCCCCTCGTCCGCAGGCGGCATGACGTCCCTGGTGAAGCACAGCTACGAGGGCGCCACGCAGGAGGGGCTGGGCGGGTTCGTGAGCGGCGTGGGCAAGGGGCTGGTGGGCACGGTGACCAAGCCGGTGATCGGCGTGCTGGACCTGGCGGCCGCGGCGGCGGCGGCGCTGCGCGAGTCGAGCGGGCGGGCGGGGCGAGGCGGGCGGGCGGCGCCGGCGCGCGTCAGGGTGCCCCGCTGCGCCGCCGTGGCGGGGGCGCCGCTGCCCCGCTACTGCGCGGAGGCGGCGCGCGGCGCGCAGCTGCTGTTATATATTCACTATTTTATTATTTCGATACTTTGTAATACAGACATAGGAAAATACAGTTTTCACTTGGACACAGCCTAAAGTTAGCACTTGTAAGCAGTGCTGCCCACTCATAATTTTGTCTCGAAACTATAGTAAAAATATAATAGATATAGAATAAATGTAACATTCCATTTAAAAATGTGGAGTACAACGATGATCTCACAAAGGGACATACAAAAAATTGATGGAAGTGATAATTTACCAACAACATAAACACACATAATTAATTACCTTAATAAGATTATGTCAGTATGCCAATGACACACACTCCGAGAATTTAACTCTTTGGTTGGACAATCCTGGGTCTTCACTATCCCTTTATGTAATACTTGATGTGCTGATCAAAGATTTGGTACTGCAATTGCAATTCATAGGTCATACTTTAAATAAAATAATTTCAAATATTACTTCAAGCTGTTGTCCATTGACAATTTATGCGGGCTATATTCACATAGATCGAGACAGAGGTCAATAATAACTACATACACATATATCTATCGACGTAAGCAAAATGACATATTTAAGATATTTACCATGTTAATTTTGTCTCAGAAGAATATTTATGGTATTGCAATAATAATATTTAGCAATTTTTGAATTTACAAATTTAAGATCTATAAATATTCTTATCAGTAGCGATTTTTCAGTGACTACATATTATTAAAATGCCTATGAAAGAAAAGGAATCATCATACCTTTAAGTCTATTTGAGTCTTAGATTATGACATTGCAAATAATGTTAAGGGAGAAAATAAGTGACTCTCCATGATAGCTCAAATTCGTTTGAATTTCCTGTGTACGTCTTTATTTTACTACATCACGTTTATTATTAATACTTTAGCACTATTTATTTTCACGCCCGCGGAGCTGGGCTTACCTCTATTAGGTTATAGGGAATAGTGGGCTGTGCTTGTTTACCTTTTTGTTGACTTTTTAATTTATTTTTTAGGATACGTTAAATACTAATTGCACTATAATAATTATTGTTTCATGAACAGGTGCTTTTACAGTTATATCAATATTTTCGTTTCATTAAGAGACCATGGGAACAGGTCAACTAGTGTACTAACTGGATTTGTCAAAACTTACGAACGGTTTGTACAACAGCTGATTGGATTTATTTATTCTTTTTCAAAAAAAAAAAAAAAAATTATTTATTGGGGCAATAAAAATAAAACATTTGAAGAGTTACGATAAAGTTTTTTAGTTTAAAAAAGCCTAACATCTCACCACGCCTATACAAAATCCACTTTGGGTATCATTTATTTGATCTGTTATATTATCATCAATTACTTAGCGAAATTGGTAAGTTTTTTTTAGTGTGTCGAAAGTCTATGTGTACGCCACTAGAAAAGCTATGTTTGGGCCTTAGTTGCGAACAGGAAGCTCTATATTTAATCTGTGGTCAGATTAGATCTATTTTCTTTGACACAACGGAAAAACGCGGGTAGGTAGGTGGCGCGTGGGCGCAGCGGCTTTTCCAAAATCCTCTTTTTCATGTTATTTACGGAACGGTCGCGGTAATTTTCTTGCTATTAAACAAAGTTTGCAGTTTCTGATTGACTTTTTATCTGACTGCCGAAGAAAGGTGACGTTTTTTTTGAGAGTATGTATTTGTGTTAGTCTAATTCTTTTGTGTGCTTTGGAGCTTAACTTTTTGACGGCTTTCAACGTGAAGCGTTATTAAATCCGTCTCAATTGTGGGAATGATTACGGGTAAAGGTAAATAACTTTAACTCCGGCGTAATTCAAATCAAATAAATTTTAAACGATAGAGATAAATCTCTAATGAATTAATCAACAAGCAGAATTCGGCGGTCGCTTATAGTTTTCGAGAAAAAAAATATTTAAAACTGTTTTTTGTACTAAAAAAGAAATCCACCACCCTATTTTAAATTCGTTTGACTTCAAAAGTTCTTTATCACAGTTCTGCCAACATGATAAATATAGGAAGCGGGCGCCATCATACACGTATCGATATTCCGATTTTTTTTTTTTAAATTTAATGAGTCACAGTTGCCGACACAGATCGAATCCCACTCGGATAGATTAGGTTAGAAGGTTCACCTTACACCTTCGATGTTAGGTTTTTTTTATGACCACCAAGCTTTTCCAAAACGAGCTGAATTGACATATTGACAACAAAAATGGCGGATTTCTATAGTAAAAATCACACTATTTCAGTTTCTTTTATTTTTTTGAAAACTATAAGCGACCGCCAAATTCTGCTTGTTGATAAATTCATAAGTGAGTTTTCTCTATCGTTTAAAATTTATTTGATTTGAATTACGCCGGAGTTAAAGTTATTTACATTTACCTGATTACGTTTGGTATATTATATGAGGTCTGCGAAAAAAAAAATTTTCCACTGCACAAATAGCTTTGTCTATTGTCTTTTTTCAGAGCCGTGATAGCTCAGTGTCCGGGCGCTCGCATTTAATTCAATATACTCGAGCAACCTGAGTTCGATCCCCGGTGCCAGCACCAATGAAATTGCTAACTTTAATTGCTGACTTATCGCGTGCTCGGCGGTGAAGGAAAACATCGTGAGGAAACCTGAATATTTTCGGAGTAATAACAAAAAAAAATTTTCGAAAATATGTGAAGTCCGCCAATGCGCAGTGGGGTCGCGTGGTAGACTATGCCCTGACACCCTCTTTATAGAGGATGCCTTGACCAAGCAGTGGGGGCTTTATTTATAGGCTGTTACTTTACTTTGTCTTTTTTTGGAAAGGTTATAGCTTTGCTTTAGGGACTATGTAAAGCTCAACTGGCTGACCAGAGGTCGCCAACGAATCTCGCTACCTTAACGAAAGTGCCAGCGGTGATCTCACATAATATTTAAGAAGCAAACATTTTTTTGCTAGAAATGGCCAGTACTGTAGAACGGGTAAAGAAGTATTATTAAGACGGAAATCATTAAAGTTAACAATGTCGATGTGATCTAGTTGTCGAAGTTGGTTATGAATTAGATAACCGTGTACTACAGCGTGCCACTTTGCGCGATTTTATCGTAAGTGTTTTTTCTTCGATGTAGTATTGTGTTTCAAATACTATCTATACTTAACGGAATATACATTCCAAACAATACAACATCTCAAATCTCATGAAGATTTATTATATTCAAGTGATTACACGGCACATTGTTTTTTTGTTACTACATTTACATTTTTTTATAATAACATAAAAATATTTTACATATTTTGTCGTTATAGAATTCTTAAAAATTGGTATTATAAATGTCACACAAAAACTAAGAGCGATTCAGTAGTGTTTATGTTTATGCTCGTGTGCGTACTGGCATGTTCATACTGGGTATTTATACCTGTTCCAGTATATACGACTCATCCCTAATAAGTTAGTAAGTGCGCTGGCGATCGATCGGAGCGCACGCCTGCCAAGGTCCCCACTGTCATTCTTCGTAAACGAGACACCCATGCAAGTTAAACGTGAGTATTTTATCCTAAACGAAAGGTCATCGACTCATGACCTACTGAGATAGTTTTAATTTCAAACTGAGTTCGCTACAAATAAGTAGTTACACATGATGAATACCGTAAAACGTTTTATAGTGGCTTGCAATTTAAAGTTTTTATTCATAATTTCTGTGGAATCTGCTGCCTTGATCGGTACGAATAATTCATCAAGGTAAATATGCATCTTTATGCTATTGCTTATAAAATGTTGTATTTATGTCGTTAGTTGTTCAAATTCAGATCTTACCTTTATGTAAATGTTTCGCTGTTGCACGAATGGGCAGGTGCGTCCGGGGAAGTAACACGACCTCACAGAAGACCGGAAGTGTTATACTTCTGCGTTTCGTCTGGTGAGTGAGGAGAGGAAGCCGGGGCCCGCTTTATTATAAGTACGCATCTGCAACCCTACAGTTTTTGCAAATGTCCACGGGCGGCGGTCATCACTTAACTTCGGGTGAACGGCACGCTGCAAGCAAATGTCGTCTTTGGGTCGAATTTTACTATATTCGACCAACGTGTTATTTTCTGGAAACGGGAAATATTTGTCGAGACCTTTATGTTATTATTAAAAGGTAAAAACATGTCTTGTTTGTCAGTGAAATGCCTATTTAAGTTGATATAAAAAAATATTTTTCAGCATGGCCGCAATAGATTATAGAACAGTTCCGATTGAAGAGAAAGCCCTATACGTTCCGTCGTTAGACGAGCTGGCCAACGGTGAGTGCGTTTATTGTCATACTATTTACACTCAAAGAGCGTCATTTTGGTCAATTTGACCCTGACTGTGTGAGGAACAATGATGTTAACCAGCCATACCTTACAGTCAATTGCCTACTACGTAATTCCTACTTTATTCAACAGTTATGCGTTGCCTTTAACTATTTGCTTTCCATAGATCGATTTCAGTTCGTTTTGAAAAATAAACTTGCACTTTTTTATCCTTCTCTCTTACGACTCCCTGCCCCCGTCTGTTCCTCTGAAATAGAACTAAATCTAATACTTTGATGAGGCCTTTGATGCTCTAGAGAGCTAGAGCATCAAAAGTCTCATCAAAAGTCTTCAGCCTTTCTTGTAATTAGAAAATAAGAAATAATTTATCCACAGTTCTGTCCCGGGGACTGCAGAGCAACTTCGAATTTGTAAACGTGTCTGTTGTTGACAGTCCGGACCTGACGCAAGCGCCATTTGACCTCACCACGCCAGGTGAGATTTTTATTCATTTACAGTGAGATTTTTATACATTTCCTTATTCCGTTATCCGACTATAAGGACCAAGCTTTGTTGACATAATGTTTGTTTCTAACTCTGCGTTCTCAGGATTTCACTGCTGTAACAATTAAATTTTCCACATATCACAGTGTAAAATAATTTATGTATGATATTTTTCTAAGTAAGTTCCAATAGCTTATGCATTATCGATCGGTGACGTACGCGTACGTGCTTCAACGTCGTGCCTTAAGTTTAAATAAAAAGTTACTTAAATTGCATAGATGAAAAAGTATTTCACGCCTAATTAAAAGTCTAACACTGACTGTGAAAACTGAAATACTTGAACAAAAGTTTTTTGTCGTTTTGACAACTAATCACAATCAATACCTATTTGAATTGTGTAGGGACATTGTTTAACAACGCTCTTAAATCTTTAGTTGACATTGAATTATGTAACACGACCGTGAACCGATCTGCCGAAACATCTCGGACGAGTTATCTTACACAAATAAGGAGATAATGAGCGTGTACGAGAACCAGTAGCGTACTTGTATTATTACTGCGATAATATAAGCAAACGGTTGCTTATCTGTTTACTGTGTAATTAAATATGTGCATACGGTTGCTTCACATTCTATACAAATTATTCATTTATAACAACTATACTTGGGCCGTAAAAACCCCGATGAAGGGCACTAGTTCCGCGACTCTTATATTAAACAAAAACTGGTGAATGAAAATCTCAGTTCCAACTTTGTTTTGTAAATGAATTGGTCATCAATGATAATGTAAATAATACTAATTATAATAAAATGCAGGTGGGGAGTTTTGGTGTTTAGGGTTTTTAAAGTGTTAGGCGAAGCTTAGTGTTTATACCAGAAGCTATCTGTGACAATTTCACGTATTTACGCGATGATACGAATTAATGTGGTATTGTTTTTAAAAGCAAATAGAATTATTAATAACTTAAAAATAGAATAACAAGAAGCGTACGATTTAATGTAGACAGGAAAGTTAGATGAATAAAGAAGATAGAACGATAGGTGTGAAGGCTTAGAGAGAACTGGGATGTCAAAATGGTGGATACTTGTAATTTTTAAGACGTAAAGAAGATAATTCACCGCAAGTCACCTGCATGACGCGACTGCGATTCGTCATCGAGTGGGGGTTCCTCCTAAGCTATGATGGTCAATACGAGGTTACTTTTCTTCCTACCACTCGACAACCTTTCTTCCCCATCGCTTTATTTTATATCAGTTTATCTTCCGAATACGAGTACTTTGTCTCTTGATTTTCATGTTTGCTAAACCTCCTGTTACATACGAATAGTTTCCCAGAGTTACATAATACGAATAGTTGACATCGATTTATTTCCAAAAATGTTCTAAAGTTTAAATGCATCAGTTGGCGCATAAAGCTGCCGTTCGTATAGTAATGCAGCAACTCGTGTCCAATCCATTTTGGGGTCATAATCAATTTCTCTTTTTAAGATGTCGCAAAATTACCTTATTCAAAATCAGTTTAAATATTTCTAGCCAGTTTAAGAAAATGTGACTCGTCTAATTATTATGTTGTCAGGATTATAAAAAACTTATTTTACTGATATGGTATTCACTCTTACCTTGGGCGTAATCTCACGGAAAAATTTATAACATGTTGAAGATACAACATGTTATAAACGGGGACGCAAACTACATCTTAACTAAATATAAATTAATAAAAATATAATTATAAGACACAAAGTTATAGAATAATAAAGTCTTCTTCTTTTTAGCTTTCTGTTTCATTTCCCAGTAGAAGTACCTATATCATTCATACAAGTTCTAACTTCTATCAATCATACTAGGATATCGAAACATCCAAAAGTGAAATGCTCAAATTACCGGTGAAGCCAGTTCGATTTAGTGACTGGTAAAGTTATTGCCCAGCAGTGGGACACCTACATACGTGTAGTAACGTTACAGGACTGACGGGCAACGCCAAGCTAGTGGAGATCGGTGGGCCACCGTATCTGGTGCCGCTGGTGCAACTCGACAAGATCTACGATCTGGCGGAGTTGCTGCGTCACTTGAGGCGCGACCCCGGCTTCTTGGGCGGCGCCGGCGCCGGGCCCTGGCCCTACGCAGGCGTTAACTGCGAGGTTGCACCACCCTAAATACACTACCAGACTCGACATAGTCGACAAGTTACTGAAGTTATACTTCTTTAGGCGCGTTATGAAAAAATGCGTGATGAGTAACACCTTTGAAGCTAAACCGCTTATTTTTTCATTATTTACATCCTTTTACAGTATTTTTATTATTTTATTGTAATTAATTATTTGCATGTACGATCAAAAACTATTTTTAATGATGCCAAAGAAGTATAACTTACCTATATACCTACACACATAATTTTTTAAATGTGTTTCATATGTGGCATATTTTTATTTTATTTTATTAGAAAAACTTACAGCGATTAAGTACTTATTTTAAAACAATACTGTAATATATATAAAGAGCCAATTACAAGTTTAAGAAAAGTCGAGCAAGTGATGAAAGAAAAAAATAATAATAAAAGAAAACAAAAAAAACTTAGTACAATAATCAAATTTAATTCTTTGTAATTAATTAACTAGTTTTAGGAAATTGTTGTTGTTGTTATTGCTCTGTTAAAGTTTTTTTAAGTCACATTTGGAGAAGTAATGGAGAAAATAAAATGTGGGTCGATATTTCGTGCATTAATAAATTTAGCAGTTCTAATTATAAAATTATTGCATTGTATGAGCTCTGGGTATGTAAGGAATTTGCGGTTCCTCGTGTTTGCTATAGGTACATTCACAGTGATGTCTGATAAAATAGCTCGTGAGAATTAATTGAACCTTAATTTAATTGTTAATTAAAGGATATGAAGTATTAAGGCCAAGTACTCTTACTTTAGGATAACTTTATCCTGTGTTGTGGGGCCGTTTTACAGACATAAATTTAACGTGGACATGATCACACAAATAGTCGTCCCATGTTGGGATAGAAGCCACGTGCCCCTGTATGGCATGTGTCGTACGTGTTTTATTGGCATCAGGGCATCGTGAACCTGCGGGTGGGGGGCGGCGTGGTGCAGCAGGGCTCGCGCGTGGTGACCGTGCAGCCGGTGGGCGCCGCGAAGGGCGCCAGCGGCTACCTGCAGCGGCGGCTGCCGCCCACAGAGACGCGCAGCGCCCTACTCGGCAACTACCTGCTCACGGACGGCCTGCCCGGCCAGGTGCGGGGCTCTGTCATTATTATTATTGTTACATAATTGCACTTTTGTAGGAGTGTTAGTTAAAGACTTCATTGCTCCTGTAAGCTTAACGTCACTACTCAACTAAGTGCTCCACGATTAAAGTAAATAGAATAAGGTACCAAGTCACTTTTTACCACCGATGTTTTTTTATTTCACGAACAAAAGTTCGAGCATACCGAAGTAAGAATATGAATATTGATGAGTGAAATAAACCATACACACATAAATTTATTAGCTTCTAGACGAAGATAATGAAGGTAAAATTTAGCGAATCGTTGTAGGTGCTTAAAGTGGAGGTGAAAAAACGAGTTGGGCAGTCTAACTTCATCACCGCTATCAGGGAAACGCTGAAAGAGCACTATGGAGATAAAGTAGTTGGTAAATATAATTTTTTTTACTTTTCTTATTAAATAAACATAAAAAAGATGTAAGCATAACAACTGGGAATTCACCACAGTGGTGGAACGTACAGGTGCTAATGAATCTTATTAATCATTCAAGCTATTTAATAAATATGAAATAATTCCAGTATCAGCATATAAGATTTATTTATTAAGGTACCTACACCAATAGCATAACATATACATAAAGTATTTTTTTATTTACAGGTCTCGTTCTTTTATTATTTGGATAAAACTTTTAAGTATGATTTTTTGTAGATAAAAACGAATGAGAACTTTCCGCGTTGCGGGAGGATAAAGAGTAAATATTGAATTATTAGATCCAGCTAGCTAGTAAGCGTGGGTGCAGGTCTGGGCGGCGCGTTCGTGGTGCGGGAGGGCCGAGTGAAGCACCACGTGATGCCCGCCTTCCCGCGGACGCCGCTCTGCTCCGACGAGGACGTGGACGGCTGGCTGCACTACTTCGAGATGCGCGCCCCCATCACCCACCTCGGCACCCTCGTCACCGGGGACCTGGTGACCACTCGCCCATACATTTTCTCCTTCCGCACGCACGATAAAATATGTGCACGGTGGTAGGGCCACTAGGGCCACGCAGCAGCAGGGGTAAGTACCACGACTTCACAGAAGATCAGCGTAAAGTGGCAGTATGACAAATACTTTTGCGTTTCGTCTGGTGAGTGAGGTAGTCGGAGCCCAATTTTCAACTTCTTGTAACTTGGTGTACCTACATGTCTTTTAAGTCTAAAAGATTTCATTTTTCATCCACAGAATTAATGTAGCTAGCCTAATTGAATTAGTTTTCGTAATTTTTTACATTATTATTTTGCAGTAGTACACATTTTTTTCCTTTTTTCAAATACTTTCTGAATATTTTCGCGGCTATTTTACTCACCAGACGAAACGCAGAAGTATAATACTTCTACTTCACGCCGGTCTTCTTTGAGGTCGTGGTACTTACCCGTATGGACTAGCCCATTCGTGCAACCGAAAAGACTGTTACGTGGCCTTAACACAATTACGTTTTCATTAGCCTATTACAGTCGGGATAGGGTCGCTATTTATTGTTATGATCGTCATCCTCCTGTACTTATACTCCAAGCGGTTTTGGCTAGGTTTTTTACGCCCTGCTTTCTCACTTTTCAACCGTGAGAGGCTAGTGAAGCGTGACTCTCGCCCAGGGCCTGGACCTGCGCGTGCAGCACTTCCACGGGTTCAGCGCGCACGGCGACGGCGGCCACTACCACTGCGACACCACGCCCGAGCAGGTCCACTACGAGGGCTACTTCACGGCCGCCGCCTCGGTGCTGCGCCTCGACGCGCCCGACCACACGCACGGCTTCGGCCGCGACTGACCTCGGCCTTATTGATCAAATTATTGAAACTAGTGGTCGATTTTATGTATTATTTATGCATAATTAAAAATGGTTTTCAAACAAACTAATTAAGTCAATAAGAAACAAATTTTGTAACATCTTGTGCAACTACAACTGACTGATTCATACATTCAGAGACTTTTTCATCCGTTGCCACAGCGTCGCATTACAAGCCTCTCCTTCTAACAGTATGTTTTATCTCTTTTAAATTCATTCAACCCATTCATATGCTTTGTGACCTTTACAAATGAACTTCACGTTTTTATTATTTTATACGTAAGGCTGTTCTAAAATTGTTTGTATTGGAAAATTTAATAACTCGATAAATATTGATGTTTATTTGATAAATGTAAATTTTTAATACAATTTAAAAAAGTTATCCTCTATATGTGTGTTCATTTACTGTCGCGATTGTAAAGACACGCTGTAAAAACTACTAGGGACACGCACGGGTACAATACATATAAACCTTCCTCTTCAATCACTCTACTAAAAAAACCGCATCAAGATCCATTGCGTAGTTTTAAAGATACAAACATGCATAAGGAGAGAGAGAGTGAGAAATTTCATACTCCTCCGTCCGCGCAAATTTCGTCATTCATATATAGAATTAAAGAGCCCAATTGTGTGCACGGCTTTTTAAATAACGAATAATCACCCAATATTAAGCAATTGCTCAGTGTTGAGCAGTCGATCACGGATTTGTCACTCGGGGATGAAATAAAACTGCAAAACTGGTTGTGTATCGATATATATATTACAACTAGGATCGGCTTTTGACACGGGTACAGGCTCGATGACACCTACGCGTACGTGTTACTGCTAATATTGTTCGCATTACTAGCCACCCCTTCTCCCTTCTTCTCGCCTCCGCGTGGTGCTGTGCCACTGCGCGAGGGACCAAGGTTCACAATCGATAGATATATTATTGTCAAATCTGTTTCGAATGCCGGTAGGTATGGAAATCAAGCGATATGGAAGCTCCGTTTAAATTTTGGATACAAGAAATTGCCCAGTAAAATTTATAAGTGAATTAATTGAATGAACATATAAATTCTATCGCTATGTACAGTTTTTTTATAATATGAATAGATTTCGGCACTAATGCACATCCCGTTTGATATTAAGTGGTACTATTCTTCTATAACACAGAAGCTGCAGTAACACGGTAGAGATGGTTTGAACGGGCCATAAATGTAATGTCGCAATTCGAAGAAAACAAAAAAAAAGAAACAAAAACTACATGCATTTCATTCTCTTGCCTAGGCTCTCTTGAGGGAGACATACATTTTCACATACAAAAATATCAACAATTATCTTATATACAATTCATGTTATGTCATATTGAGAAAAAATGATACCGAAACAGTAAGGCAATTGGTTAAGTAAATACAAAGAATATCTAGAAATATTTCTATAATATGGTAATACAATGGGATATTATAATGAGTTTAAAATGAATTTTAAGGATTATACAGGAAGATATTAAAGATATAAGTGGAAAAATCGTGATTGATAAATATTCTAATGTTGCTCTAATTTTCAGTTCGGCAATGTTAACAGCAAATTTAGAAAGCCAAATAAAGGAAACACCTATCTAATCTGGAGGTTTTTCAAGTAAGATGAGAGTAATAACATTTTCTAAAATACATTTAGAAGCAATGGTGTATCAAATTGCCACATGTTTTATGCTTCTAAAAATATTTTTTACATACAAAAATAAACTACCGCCGGCGTATTTGAATTTAAGGCGTAATAGTAACTATTTTACCAAATCAGCGTGTGAGCAGTTTGATTAACAGTCTCGTAATTTTAGGGTAATGTTGCCAGACGGACAACAATCAATATAATGTAAGCTACTTGAATTTCTACATTGTCATAAATGTTTTTTTAAAGATTTTTTTTTAGGGATTTTTAGTTTTAACTGTAATTGGAAATCACTAGAGGTTAAAATTTTCATCCTAACAGGATCCCTTTTCTCAATGGAATGAATAGAAGTATAATATAAAAAAGATCTACATCTTTTCCTTTGTAATTATATTGTATACATGTGCCTACCAACAGCTTTGTCATGTACTGACACGATAGATTACCAACACTGAGCCCTTCTTGATATTTCATAGTGACATGAAGAAACACGATTACCACTATAACACCAAATGGGCTTATGGATGTTGAATTTGTGTGACCCATAAAAGATAAAAAAGTTTATGGCTTGAGGAATTGTGCATTTTCCTGCACTTCATGACCATAATTATAGTGTGAATAAAAATTACAAATTTGATATGAAATTGGCAATACAACAAAACATGAAATCAGATATATACAAATTAAAAATGAATTACACTAACAGCATGAATCATTCAACATATTTTTAACATTGTCCGGCCGAATCAATTTGCAGCCGTAATTGAAAAAATAACATAATTACGTTTAAGATTAATTAACATTGCTTTACCCTCAAATCTATATTTTACTAGCTTACCAACAGAAAATTCACTATAAGAAACAACTTTAAGGACTCTATCTTAAACATTTTAAACAAAGTTCTCATGTACGGCTATTCTTCTGATTAGCTCTTGACAGTCTAGATTTAAGTATGTTTAATGGCTGGACCATTTTGAGTTTGAGTTGTTGCTACTGTTTGGTTTCCGTCGCAAATCGTGGGTTTTGAGGAACCACTCGTACGCGACGAGTGTTCGCTTTGCCTATTTGTTATTTTATGATCTTTGAAACAGAATAAAATTCAATTAAATATACATTTCAAGACAATCAGGAAACAGCTTAGCAAATCTTTTTAGGGTTAAGCTTTGTTCTTTCGCCTTTGTTCGTTTTTTTTTAAACCTTATCTTTGTTTTCAATTTTATTTTGTGTACAATAAAAGAATTAAAAAAGCTATTTCATGCTACAAGTAGTATTTGGGAAAAACAAGAGTAAACATATTATTTCATAGGAATAAATAAGAATTAACACTTTATTGGGGAGTCACTTCAAGCAATGGTGAGAATTTCAAATAAATAATATATATATTGGAAATACATATTTATTTGATAGCCCGATATGCCTTGAAACTTTAGTCTCAGCCTGTTTATGATTGAAAAAGGAAGGGCAGAAACCAAAGTTGTGGTCATTTTTAAATAAATTCTATATTGTAACTAATACTGAAGAGCTTTCGATTATTTTACACAATATTATGAATGCATAGAAATTCATTTTATTGTAAATTTTGTTCAATAAATTTATTGAAGATCTTTTAAACCTTTTTTGCCTCTCCTTTCTAACAATTAGGTGATTATTTTATTTTAATAATTATAACCTGACGCAAATTCTACGCAATTATGGCAAAAACCTAGGGACGGTTATGACTGAAATGATCATTTGTTTTACTTTTTTTTCTATATTATAATAGAAAACTTTTTAAATAATGTTTGAAATTCCCATTTAACCTTTTCAATGTATTTCACATATAATATTATGTGTATTAGGCAAAATATGGTTTAATGGTTCCAATCAAATAAGTTAACACTTATTTTGTACCTTTTGAAGAGTAAGGCATTGGATTGTCTTCTAGCCTCATAACATTTTGCTAAATGAAGTAAATAAAAAATGCTTACAAATTTCATAAAAAATAAATCATTTCCAATTGCACCCTGTTTTAAAACGGCGGATGAATAAACATTGAAATGTAGTGGAGCATGCACAAACTTTCGCGTTCCGTCAGCGAACCAACACTGAGTTGACTCAGCGTAGCTATTTCCGTCGCCGCGTAAATGAACGGGCGCCACGGCTGCCACCGCTGCCACGGGCGCCACCGTTGCCACGGCCGCCCCGCTGCCACGCTGCCACGGCGGCGCGGGCGCTCAGGAGCGGAAGAAGCGCACGGCGCGCACCACGTACTGGCGGCAGATGGGGCACTCGGCCAGCTGCTTGGCGCAGCCGGTGCACGCGGCGATGTGGCCGCACTCCAGCAGCACGCACTCCAGCGGCGCCGCCATGCAGATCTTGCAGCACTCCTCGATCGGCAGGCTGTCGATGTCTGGGGGACCGCAATCGTCGTTAAAGAGGCACGCCGTCATTCTCTTGACTGGCGGTAGTGTGCTTTAACATGCATAAGTCTTAAAGCAAGTCGAACATATAAAAAAAACGAGAGGTTACGATTTCTACCACTTGAGTTTATAAGTAATTACATAGAAATATTCTAAAATACTATGGCAAACGTCGTATTGCTGTATTGTTGTGTTGCAAAAGGAATATCCGTATTTTAATTCCCAATCTGTGACCAAACTGGGGTAATAAAAGATGAATAAGAAGTAGAGCCTTGTGCATTTGAGTTAAAATTTGAATATTATAATGAATACGCAGGCACCTGCGTGGGCGCGCGCGTGCTCGCGCCAGAGCGTGCGCGCCCGCTGCAGCAGGTCGGCGCGCTCGAGGCAGCCGCGGAACTCGACGCGGTTGCGCCGCAGCAGCTCCTTCAGCTGGCGCACGCTCAGCGAGCCGAGCTCCGCCTCGCTCAGCCGCTCCAGGCTTATGTGCTGCGGCGTGGCTGCAACCATTCATATGCACTGTGAACCTAAAAGTATAAGCTTAAACTGGAATGTAATAAATATTTGGGACACATTTCTACACAATCGTCTCTAGTCTCCAACTATGCAACACTCGTACTATGGATACTAGATAACGTCTTTTGTAAATAAATACATATAATGAATTTGTAAACACCCATGAAAAAATATTTTTTCAGTAGTGGGGTTGGAAACCACACCTTTCGGCGCAAGGGACAGGTTTAATACCGTTTCGTTAAATTCATGGCAATGTATCAAGTTGGTGACCAAAATTTGCGCAGTGACTATGTACCGGGACCATGGTTCATTAGTGGTTCATCCTGGAGGCTGCCGGAGTCCGCATCGGCGCCCTCTGCCGGTGGCCGGTGAAGCTCCAGCTCGGAGGCCGCTCGCTGGGGGGTTCCCAGGGAAGGGTCCCCGAGCCTGCGCGCCCCCTCCCGCGCCCCGTCGCCGAGCGTTTCTTCGGGGGCCCTAACGTCCACCACGGGCGATCGCAGCGCTGCCTCATTTGCAGTCAGGAGTATTTCGGAATCTGAAATCACCAAAGGCTAAAACTTAAAATAGCCATATCATTACACATCTCAGAGTTACTTTATATAATTTTCAATACATAATTTATTTTTATAATGTATATTAATAAATGTGACTTTTAAAAGTAATATTTAATTACGTAAATAGTATTTACAATAAAGAGAATAAATTAAGCTATATTTACGAATTTATTGCGGTTATGTTTCAAGATTCGGAAAATAAAATTTATCTTTTCTGTAAATTTAGTTTAATTTAATAATGTGTAATCGCGTAAATATAAGAAATTATCAAAGAGAATAAAGTTTATATAATTTAAAAAAAAGGCCATTGATCTTATGTATCCTGTGTTATTAAACTCAAGGGTAATGCATAATACGTAGCAAAATATTAACATGGTTGTCAAGTAGAGCATCCATGAGTACTCTCATAAAGTTGGTTAGGTGTAAGGTCAGGCTGTTACCATTGGGCAGGGGCTCCGCTGGTGGGGCAACGAACTCCCAGCCGGCATCGTCCAGGTCCTCGATCTCGAAACAGTCGGCCGTGTCGACGCGCGCGCTCTCAGCCGAAGCGCTGCGCGAAACCCCTCCCGCCTCGGGGGGCTCAGGAGGCTCCTCGGGCACCGGGGGGCGCACGTCACGTTCACCGCCTGCTCATTACATGCAATGGTTAAGGGAATCACTCATTGACCTGTTCTATACTAACCTAACCTGACACAACATAGAACACAGATACACTTACACAATTAATTTGAATATAGGGATAGCATATCAGCAGAAAGTTCACCTTGTGATGAGGACGATTTGTGATGTGCAGATGCTTTGACAACCACTGAGTCTGTTATCTGCTGTTGCTAATAGAATATATATACTAAATAGAATTAAATATGCCCCAAATAGGTCAAATGAAACTTCTGGAAATATTTGTGTGTCTATTGACAGAAAACAAAATTCTGTAGTGTTATATAGTTAGTGAGAGAAAAAAAATACAATTAAATTATATGTATTAATACACCATGAAACATCTTTTATTTATATATTTAATATATATAATTCAATATAATTTGTACCTGGTGTGGGTGTGAAGCGTCGGTCATCAATGTTGAATCCAGGTTGTGGCCCACTAGGTGATGTGTGCACATGCGTGGCATTGAAACAGCTGCCTGTCAGGTCCATTTCATATTATCATTACATATATCACAAAAACATTTGCAGTTTAATTAGACATAAGCTTTGATACTACATTATTGCATTGTTTGAGTTGTAAAATGATTTACTAAATTACTAAATCTATTGACCATGGTAAATATTTTAATAGCTTATATCTTAATGAGCTCATTACTGTACTATCTCTATTTTGGGATTTGATAGACTGTGTATGCAATAATAAATACTTGAAAACATAAGCTAAGAGATAACAAACAAACTCAAGAGGAGCAGTATCTCACTGCGAGCAGGCGGCGGGGCACTTTGAGGCGCGCGTATGTCGAAGGCGGAGTTCAGGAAGTCATTGATGTTATTGGTGAGGCCTTTCAGGGAGCTGAAGGCACCCGCACGGGACCCGCGACGCTTGTATGCCGCACTGTTCACGTGTGACACACACAAACTCACCAGCTCTTCCTTTTCTAAAACAAACAAAATTTTTGCATCATAACGAATTGAGTGATTAACATTCATTTATTTATAAAATGTCTTTTCTTTTTTGAATTGCAACTTAAGGAATTTATTTTCACTTTTAACATGCTTATGCAAAAACAAAACATTATTATGTGATATGTTGTTATTACTGGATTATGTAGTTTCACAGATTGCTATCTAGTTGGTTTAAATAAAAAAGTGTTAAACACAGCATAGATGACATATTTCACCATCCTAAAGTGGTATTAATGTCATAAAATCAGCGGTATTAGTATAAAAAATTTTTGGGTGTTATACAAGCTTACATGCCCAGGCTTTATTGACACTTTATTTCCAAAAATGTTAATTGTTCCATTTTTGTAACACAGCAATATATTGTTTCAGCCATGACCACTCTGCCAAGAGTGTCGGATTAAGAAGAATATATTGTTTACCAAGTTACATAATATTTATAATTTTTGTTTAAGGCAACATATTTAAAAATGAAATCTTATTTCTTGGTATTATAAAAACCAGTGTTAAGGTACAGAGAATCTCTGAACCGAGTAGTAACTTCATACTAAGTAATAATTGTTCATTAACAATCACTGTCTGTGAGCAGTAAATTGTTCAAAACTAATACTTAATTCTGTCTACTAAATAAATACTGAAAATGAGAATAATGAATTAAAATTTAAAGATTGAGTATGTAATTATATATTTCATGTAATAAATTTCTTAAAGTTAACACTATGGTAAGAATGAAAATGTTTTGCAATTATGATTCTTTCATTACATTAGAATCTGTAAACACTGTATGTAGTATTAATCTTAAACTTAAGTAAATATTCCGAAAAGCTACTACTACTAGATAGACTTTTAATGGAGTATTGTTAATATGACAATTAACATTTAATTTAAACATTAATGTTTCATAGAAATGTAGTTTAAGAATGCAGAATTTATTTTTAAATAAATTATAAGGGTTAAAATCAAACCTTGAACTATTAACTAACTTTAGAATCTAATATAGTATAAGAACTCCGATTGAAGGTTAAAGTGATATTCGAAGGTCAATAAACATTCGTCCATCAAACCGATCATTCTAGAAGTTTTGGCTCAGCATTTCAAAATGTTTACGCACCGACACATCCTCGAGTGGAGACGTTTTGGCGCTGTAAGAAGCACTGCAAGTCTCGAACTTTTAGATGCGTTATTGTTTGGCGTGAGAGGGGTCGAGTGGACAGCACCCGGCAGGGAGCACACATAGTTCCTCCACCACGTCGAAGGCATCCTCCACAATAGTATCGCTCGCATTCGGAGCAGGCCCTCTTTCGTCTAAATACACTAAACTGCACGGCGCAGCTCTCGCACGGCATGTTACAGCACCCACGTCCTGCTCTTATCATTTGACATGCTAAACACTGAAAGGCACTTCACCAATTTATTTTAATTTATCCCGAACACATCATATGTCATATGGTTTCAGTGTTTGTTTAAAATGGGCTTATTAATAAAAAAACCAAAACATCATCCAACTGCCATCATGGAAACAACGTTCCGTTTTGACTTTGACATGTAGTCAAGTTTGTAGTGCGTCAAATCAAATTATTTTAAAAAAGTTTTATTTAAACTTAAGTTTATGGTTAAATGCTTATACTATGGTTTTTTATTTTTTATTCGTTTCACCTGGTGTTATGTGGTGATAGCCTCCGCCCATTGATATTTGCAACACACGTAGGAGTGCAAATGCGTTGCCGCGTTTTAATAAAAAGGCTCCTTCGGCTAGCTCACTCACCAGGTGAAACACAGAAGTATAACACTTCTACTTCACGCCAGTCTTTTGTGAGGTCTACTTACCCGGAGGGACCTGTCCATTTGTGTAACTGTTGCGTGCCCCTACTAGGAAATACCCTGGTGTATGCTATTTGCCGACGAAATTGTGCTTGTTGGAGAAAATGCAACCGAGGTCCAGACTAGACCGGAAAAATGGCGGGAGAGACTGGAAAGCGTTGGTCTAATGATAAGTGCCACCAAAACAGAACAATTGTTTTGGTGACACTTATCTTTAGGCCACATCTGTACAGATGTTATATAGTTTCCGCCAGTGTTTGCTTACGTTTAAATCTCTGTCGATGAAATTTTTGAAAGGAATATTTCTTCTTGTTAGTGTGACAAGAGACAAAGGGACTAGTTCATTTCCTGCCCAAAACTAAATGATGGCGAGTAAGCGCAAATATACGGCTAGACTGTTTGTTTGTATGAGATATGGACCGAGCTATATTAGATATTTCATATTCAATTATTATTATTTATTCGAGAAGTTTCTGGGATTTTTTGAAGAAATTTATACATTGTCCCATAATGATGATCACAGGTGCATTAGCTAGAAGATGTAGGTTCAAATTCCACAGCGCGAAGAAAACGTTGTTTTAACAACCTTTTTAAAAATAATTCACATTTTAAGTTTCGTCTACAGGAGACTAGTACTAAATATAAAATTAATCATACATTTAATGACATCTAGTTTTTTCGTTAGTCCATACATAGAATATTTCATCCATCTCTGCCATTCAGATAAATGAATGGATTATCCATTCATGTGCGACTAGCCCTTCACAAGAAGCTTTATGAAATGAAAGAGTTTTATTTTGCATTCTAGCAGGTTACAAAACGAAAGAAAAAAATACTTAACCCCAACTATTAGTTTTCACCTGTTGTTAGTTTTCATTATATACATAATTTATACTATGCTGTCTAGAAGCTGAATATTACCAGTGTATGTTGTTAAAAACTGAAAGCTCCGTTTGAAGTGTTTGCATTTTAGCTGTATATTTATTACAGTCGTTAACTGCCCATTATAAAAACGAAAAAAGTGTGGTGGGTGCATGAATGCACATAAATTTTTAATTCAAGGCTAAAGGGCGCGGAAGACATGAGTGCGCCGATAGAATGGAAAAATCCGGCGCCTCGTTGCCTCTACCCTGGGGGTGAGTGCGCTGCGCATCAATCGAACAAAGAAGTTCTTAGTTTGTGTATACCCTTACTCTTTGAGTAAAAGTGTTCTGTGCCCGTACTTGACACGGGCTCTGTTTGTGCGAAATGTTCATATCGTAATTCAACCAAAATCGATTCACTTTTATATTGATCATATTCACGCTAGGTTGTAACAGGAAACGTTTAATTCGTTGACCACATAGAAGTAATTTGAGATGCACTATGAAAATAACTAAAAAAATTTGGTTACATTTTAAAATATTAAATTTTCCGTATTATTGACTTTGCAACTATTAATTATTACTTATTTAGCAACTAAGCAAATGAAACAGGTTAAGCTAATAAGAACCTGTAACCGAGGTTTGAAAAGTAGGTAACGTATAAACAAGCGAACGATATGTGTAAATATCGTGTAAAGGTGGAACCCGCAACCCGCAATATCTGACTACACCTCTGGGATGTTTATATACCAATATGAGCGTTGTTCGAGCTCTATTTTCGCAATATAAAAGCGAGGTATTCGCCCTCATATACTAAGTCACGTACTTCTTCATACAGATTGTGGTACACAACGTTTGTTCATCCCTTTATAATAAGAGAATGATGTCTTTATATTTCGTCTCTTTTATCGGTACCTAGTAGCTTTTACGGTATTTTACTCTAAGTTGTCATAATGTTATATGCCATACTTATAGATAAAATATAATTGTTATTTCTCTTTTCTTTTAAGTACACAGACGTGTCAGCGTGAGTCTGCGCTCCACACCCACAAAATTGAGAGAAAAGATGAAAAATTTTCACTAAACGGGATTTCAATCAGACCGTGAGCTGAGATATCGATTCCGATATATGTTATATTTTGATCACCCAAACTTTTCTAATTTATTTAGAACGACCATCAGTACAATGGTAGGGGCGACGCCTGTGTATGTCCTATCCACACGGTATCCAATGAATACGCCTTCTTCGGGCTCCGCTGCTCGGAGACTCCGGAGCGCTCCTGGCTGCCTACGCCTCGTCAGGTTACCGCATTCACCAGACGAAACGCAAAAGCTTAATAGTTTCACTTTACGCCGGTCTTGTGAGGCCGTGGTAATTCCCTGGACGGACCTGCCCATTCGTGCAACAGCAGAAACTGATGCGTGGCCTTACCACAGTAAGTCAAATGCTTGTATAAGGTGCTTCTCAAGGATTTATTTTCCACAGACTAAAAAAGGACATCCTCCTTTCGGTTGTTTGTTTGTTGTTCAGAACTCTTTCTTTTTAAATGTGAAAAGTTGCCAAACGAGCAGATGGTTCACCTATTAAGTGAATACCGGCGCCCATGGATATCTGCTACACCCGAGGGTTTGCAGATGCGTTGACAACCTTTTGGAAATTGGGCTCCGGCTACCTCACTCACCAGACGAAACGCGAAGCAGTAGACTTTCACTTTACGCCGATCTTCTGTGAAGTCGTGGTACTTACCCGGACGAGCCTGCCCATTCGTGCAACAGCCGAGGCTGCTGCGTGGCCCTACCACCGTAAAAATGTACCGTTACCTACCTTCTAAATGAACCTTTTAAAATGAACCGTTCTTTTAGGTTAAGCTCCCATATTAATTTGATTGGTATTGAACCTTGGACTCCGGGGATACATCAGCGAATTAAATTACCCCTGTTTTTGGTTAATAAGAAAGCTATTTTATTTAATTACTAACTAACATTCGCAAGGTCTAAGCGTCCAGTAGCTTTTCCAATTGTTATTCTCTTTCCGGTAGGTGTCACTTATAGTTTGCGAATGTCTTGATATTTTTACAGCCCGGCTAGGGCTTCGAGCCTTTTCTAAATAAACAAATAAATTATTGATCAGTCAATAATCTATGAACCTTAACTGAAAGTTAATTACATCACCTCAATTACAATCAAGAAACGTTTTCTAGTCTTTTACTGAGATGGCGTGATAAAAGTGATCAATTTATTACATTAAATTAACATATTATGAAAGAAATTTGACAAGCTTGTATCGAGTCTTGACACAAAAGTTCCGAGACACAAGACAGTTTGTTTCTATACATTTGAGAGCATCTTCGATGAAACACATGGCTTGTTTATCGATCGTCATCAAAATGGTAGCACGTGTCTGATTACTCTGATGTCGTTAAAAACCTTAAAATTTTTGCAGCCACAGAGTTATGGCGAGCCCATGATTGTGAAATATATTTATTCAGGTGGTGAGAAATTCAGAATCAACGATTATGTTATCACCGTTAGAGATCATCAGATTGCCGTCGTCTTACGTCTTAATTAGACTTAATTTTTTGCTATTGAAAATGCGCTAAATATGTATAGGTAATAATCAATAAAAAAAAATAGGAACTGTTATTTAAAATACAATGATTTCAATGACTCAATCCAGGTGGTGTTCTGCATAATATCTTATTAATTATTTTATGTTTTTAAAATGGCATAGAAGTAAAAAAAAAGAAGATAAACGCTGAGGACAGGATTCGAACCTGCGCGGGTAGAACCCATTGGATTTCAAGTCCAACTCCTTAACCACTCGGACACCTCAGCTGTGACGATTGTGTCTTATATATCGGATGTGTTTTTGAATGTTTGTTTAAGTGAAAGATGTCGTCAAATGGCCTTGCTCCATCTTGCATCGAGTTTATTACATATTAAATTATACTAGTGTTACCGCGGCTTAGTTTTGATTTTTAAGTTTTTTTGCAATCTTTGAGATATATGCAAGATCTATAATTTAATCTGGCTTATTGGTTTAATAAAAATCAAAATAATCTATGTGTTTTTTTATGGGTGACTTGTTTTGATCTAAACTTTTATTTTAGTTCCTATATTACTATAACACCTATAAATAGTGCTGGTTATTCAAACTATTGGTTATTGAAACAGAACTCTCAAAATTTTCTAGTCTTGAGAATGTCTATTTTCGACTTTGTTTCTTTAAAATGTTGGTGGAAAACGGCAAAGGAATTACCTATTCCTTTATTTGAAGCCAATTTAGACTTATTTTTTGTTAATCTACAATATAATCATCTCCGAGATGACAGAAGTTCTGAGATTATTATTTTTTGCCTTTGAAATGGTACCTTAAAACGTCTATAAAAAACGAAATCAATAAAAAGTTAAAGTATTTCGATTGCACAGATCTCAACAACAAAGAAGCCTTCATTAATTTCGATAGACTCCACAAGAACACCACTGCTTTACCCATGATAATAACATTTATATATTTACTTAACTTATCATAGTTAAATAATTACTTCCGTAAACTTTATCGTGGTCATAATGTGATTCAATAATTTCTTTTATACAGGGAGTCTTTTCTAAGTGTTTATTCATTTTTTTAAATTACATTCTAGACATAAATAATATTATATAAAAATAATAAGTATTTTAAATCACTCGTA